GTATTTACAAGTAAACAGCACCAACATAAATTCTTCATATTTACACGTATTTACTTTATGTACAACGAACGGCATCACAATAAGGAATAATAAGTTCGGCAATCATTTCTGCAGATTGGAAAAAGCAAACTATATTGGATTCTTTAATAGTAACCAACCTGCTTTGCGTTTTTTTCACCTAGTAAAGCAATTACGTCCCACACAATAAAACGATTCTATGTCAAAAGAAAATTAACACGGTCGTGACGGTAGGGAGGAGAATAGATACGAAATTGAAGGAGTCCCTTAAAATAGTAGGTAATCCGAGTTCAAAAGTTCACTTTTTTCCGCACCATAATCCTGAAAGTTTAAGATCTTAGAGTCAATTAAAGGGTTTTACCAGATCAATAAATAGATCCAACAGTGGGCCTTAAAACTTCGTATCTGTATGGCAGCGCGTAAAGATATCATGTGAAACATTTTATACAAACAAGTCACAAGAAAAGACTGTATTAAAATGTTGGTTGAGATACAGTTAGAGGAGCTTTATCTAAGTTGCAACGTGATCATTCCGACTAGTGGTTCTAAACATAAAAAATGCTTTGGTTAGAGACCTCTTAGATATTTAGAATCGAGAGCTAGTCAGGCTGCGCGATATTGAGACTAGATAATTTTGGATAACCCACAAACAGCAAATAATTAAGAAGTCAGCTCAAATTATACAAATCAAGCTGTAAGCCGTGGCCGATGTTTCTGTCATGCAACTTATCTATTGAATTTTCTCGAGTTGTAGTCACAAAGAAAAAAATTAATTAAAACTTGCGAACAATCAATGAAACCACGGCTATTGATTTTTCGACCAGGCTAAACCTTACATTTTAGTTACCGCGCGACATTCAGGTGACACACGCTTGGTGTTTCACCGACACTATTTCTTAACATTGTTTAATTTATGCCACCTAAATACGAAGAGGAAATGAGCATGCTTCGGTTAGATCAAAAAATTACAAAAAATATGATTTTAACAAGTAATCACATGATTAGTTTAATTTTGAGTACTGTAAGAAAATTTTCAAGGTGGAAACTTCATCGTTCAAAGTCAATTTTAAATTGTGAACAGTCTCACTAATGTTCTAATGTCGTTAATGAGCTTATTGTTTTCTTGGCTAATTCTCACTAAATGTCATTTGAAATGCAAAGTGCCCCCATTGAAAAACGTAGATTACCGATACACATCCAACGCGGGTAAATTTTGATTACTTTAGTTCAAGAGAAAAAATAGACTTCTTTTTATTTTGATTTCATAAAGTTATTTATCAGACTTGCTCCTAAGTTGTTTTTCATTCTTAATTTTTTTGTCATTATTAAACTGGAATGTTTGTAGAAATATTAGACAAAAAGTCATTCTGTCGACGTTACAATGTCAACTAATTGTCGAACTCCCGGAAGCATTAACCATGAATACAATTATTTAAAACCTTTCTATTCAATGAAAAGCAAAAATAATCAAATTTCAATGTTAAATCACCATGTTTAACGCCAAAGGCCCCTGTAAAAAAATATGTTCATGTTTAGCTCAGTATTTCCTGCTGATTGTGATATGGAACTGTATACAGTTCCTAATCAAAGCTTAATATAGAACTATCTTAAAATAACACTCGTAATCAATGAGGATAAATGGAAAATTGATAAGTGAACAATTAGAACAATTTGCAAAAGCGATGATCAAAAGGAAGAAGCAAACAAAATCTAAATTGATATAAAATCAGTCACGCGAGTCAAATTTTCTCGATTTAAAGCTAGACAAGGCATATGTACCTAACTTAGCAAGCTCAAACGACACGTGCATTGAGATAAGGAAAAATTCAAGTTCTAATGCATAATAACAAAATAACGATGCAATTAGTAATTATAAGTATTTCAAATAAGAAGCCGAAAACAAATATGACAACAACATGAAATTTTTGTTCCGAGGGTACGTGGTATTCAAATTCTAAATGCAGCGAATAATCCATTTTTTATATAAAGAAACGCAGGTCACATTTTCAAATTCTATCGCGCTTACAATAGCGTTTAAAATTGACAACACCGACATGGCATTCAAAATTCACATGAGATATAGTAACCCGATCTGTGCATAGGTTTCATTTTTAGATTACTCCTATTGAAGGACAAACAATGCATTGCATTATATGCAGATACAAGCGTTGGAATTTTTTGAAATGCTGACTAAAAATCAGTATTATTTCGATCACGAGTATGAATATGTGTTAGTGTAGTGTGCCTAAATTCTTTTCGTAGCCAAGAAAACTGCTGATGTCAATAAGAGCTTATAAATCAATTTTATTTTCGAATGAATCACCAGGAATAACGTTATCAGCAAATGTTCAAATTAATAAAGAAGGACAGATAGAAATCATGAACTCCTTCAAACGATATATAATTAGGAACGATTTCATCATCAATAACAAACGTTGTAATTACTTAACAGCTACTAAAATTTTTCATTCGACCGCAATAATTTCTACCGCAGCGTCCAAAATTTTCTTCAAGATTTGTCAATCTGTAAACTGCTTCAACATCTTCATCGTTCGACGTCTGAGACGTTATTAGTATCAAATATCATGGCTACTTGCGTTCAATGAGCAGGCGATAATAGTACTATTTTCAAATCATACATGGCTATTTGTATTCAATAATAAAACAGTATATAATGAAAATATTATCAAGTCAAAATAATTACTCGCACAGAAAAATCAGGCGTAATAATGTTATGATTTTTTTCAATACTTATACTTTGATTTAATCGTAAGTAATAGGTATTTAGGTTGATAGTAATCTGATTGAATTCAACAATTAGGCAGAACTCACTAAATGAATTCATCCGATGCTCCTCACGTAATTCAATGATGTAATGTTATGAATGTCCGATGGTATTAAAAAAAACAACTCATTACTCACTGCAGTGAGTGACAGAGAGCGCATTTTCTCGTCGTCGAAAACGCGAAGTCACGGACGGACAGACAAACGGGCGGACATACGGACATGGCGAGCACAATAGTGCATTTTTTCCACATAAATGAGAAAACGCGCTAAAAATAAACTAATTAAGGCTTACACAATAATTTTTTTTATTCACATGATGCGCTTGACGAATTTTCATGAATTCATGTTATGAATTTATAATGAATATCTCCGAAGGGTTTCAAAGGGAAACTAGGCTAATTGAAGCGTCGTCTGGCACTGTTGTTGTTGAAGTGGTTACCGTTGTTGAGCGGCGGAGGCTGCAGCTGAGGATACATCTGAGGCTTGTCGGTCATCCGGGGCGGCACGCTCGGCAAGACGCGTCTGTAACATGTCACGGCGCTTTACTCACCATATGGAAGTGTCGGCATTGAAGAATAGAATGGCGGATAAGAGGAATGGAAGGATAAGATAAATGAATATATAGTGAATAGATTGAATAGATAATGAATAGATTGAATAGATAGTGAAATGGATAATGGCGGATAAGAGGAAAAGAATATAGAAAATATGGCGGTATACACGAACGAACGTATTATCAGATAAATTGTTGCTTCGTCTGTGTTAGTGCAAATATATTTACTCATATGGCTGTATACACGAATGAACTTATCATCTGAGAAATTGTTGCTTTATCTGTGCTAGTGCAAATATGTTTACTCCGTCAAACACACGAGTTTATAGTCTTCTCAGAGGATAAAGCTCATTAAAAAAATTTAACCCACAACTAAATTACGACACATTATCAAATAAAATAACAGTCCATTTTAGAACATAAATTATGCCCGTAGAAATTAATTAGTCTGCGAGACGTTATGCGTATCACATGCGGAAATCAGTCTTTGAACGAATTTAGTATGAGATTTTAAACAGAAAATTAAAGTTAAAGTCAAGATCCCAGATCATCGGTTTCGGTTTATCAGCTATAAAAGAGAATAGAAATCAAAGAGAGAAAGAAAGGTACCATGAAAGATCCAAAGAACTCTAAGACTTTTTTTTAATTTTTAGAAGTGAAAAAAAAAACAGTAAAAACAACACAAACACAAATATGAAGAGCTGCTAATAAGAAAAAGAAAAAAATCATTAACCAACAATGTTAATGCATTATTCAACGAGGGTTTGAAATAGCAAATACATAACAAGGATGAAATAAAATATTACAGGACAAGAAGAAAAAAAACACACAAAGGCAGAATTAAATTTGTAGAATATCGACGAACACAGTCATATTTTTTGAGCAATTTTACAAACTCCCACTACAAAAATAGAAAATCAGAAAAAAAACAGAAGAAAAGAAAATTCTTTCAAAAGGTACCGTAACTGTTGCCGAAAAAGCAACTAAGATCACCCTGATAAAAAGAAAATTTACGACAGTTCATGGAACATCAAACTATGCGAGCAGAGGGTTTCTGTGAGTGTAGCGAGAACCACATTGTGATGAACCACAACACTGCCGAACACGGCAGGGAATTAGGCCAGCTTTTTAACTTTCATACTCGTGCAATATCGTCAATTAGTCAAGTTCATTTCATTTTGTGAACTAATTTTATTGCTATAACTATGAATGTTATGAGACAAGTAATAAAAAAACTTGTCTCTCCCACAAAAGTAGTCTAAAAATACCCACGCATGGGGTCATTTCATTAAGATTATTAGTAGTAACATGACTCAACCCTTTGCATTACTTGAACTTCATTGCACGCAGAGAACAAACAATAAAATTAACGAAACTAATATGTTTTTTCTAGTAAGCAAAATAATAGGAAGATTATAGCCCATGAAATAAAGTCAGTTAATTTGTCAAGGAGTAGGAATTCGTTGAAAATTTTCCCTTTTCAACATTATTAATCTCAATCGCTCTCTACACACATAAAAATGGGTAAGACGGATCGGGCTTAGAACAAATAAGCAATGATCAAGTAACGAAATGTACACAAGTCCATTGCATATCTGAAGAAATTTCGCAGCTTAATGTGACGGGAAAAGAAGACCATAAGTTTACTATAATATTTTATTTCTATCACCATATTGAAGGGAAACACTGCTAAACATTTACTCAATTACAGAACGCACTCGCTTAAGAGAGAAGAACAATAGACTGGTTTCAGCTACATACATCCAGTAACGCCGTACAGTAAATTATAACCGCATCATAAATGGCCGTTGGTTGGCCGATGATGATGGCAATTATTAGTAAGAAGTTAGTGCAAATGCCCAGCCTCGGGTTAGACACTCGGAAATAATTCCGACGTCATACATCCATCAGCAATAACATGTTCAACAGTCAAAGTACCGATAATCATCACATGCTTGATACTCGAACATCTGTTTATCGAACAACTGATGATCGCTGGAAAATTTCCGAGCATAAAACACGAGTTGGGAAAGGTGCCTGAGTGCGCGGTGCAGAGTCCAATAATACATCAACGAAAATGACAGTGAAAACTAGGGTTTGGCTGGAGTTCCACTAACAATAATTAATTAAGCCATTGGACTCTTGCGCGAACGCATTAAGATGAATATTACAATCGGTATAGGTACGCTTATTCACATGTTGGTGAATTGACCGGCAAAACCGAGAAGTTACTATTAAGATTCGATCAGGCACCGAATTTAGATTTAGATGAATTATCCAAGTTAAGATAAAGGGTGGACACAGGAAGACTGGGAAATTTCAATTGCGGTATTTTTTTTTCAAAAATAATGAAGCCTTGCTCCAAGTTGTAGACTGACACCCAACCCAGAGGGCGGATAAGGTCCAGTCAATGACCCTTGCTGATACGTAGGTAAATTACATTGCAGTGAATGTCTGAAACCCTAGACTCTAAACCTATATTCTCTTGCTGGAAATTATAGTATAAACAAAAGCCGCGTAAAACAATCAATTTCAAGGTGACCGAATAATCAACTCTCAACTTAATGCCTGAAGCTTTGGCGTCTAACTTCAGCATTTTATTATTTTTCGATATTCACCGATTCCGCAACAATGATTGATCAATAAGCGACTAGGATTGTTGCCACACACACGCGCAGTGACGTGATCACGCGATATGTCAACCATCATCGTACACCATCGGTGACAACTTTCAGACACACTTCACCACAAGAAACACAAGTCAATGGATAAAATCCCAAATACGTCAAAAATCCATCATAACCTACGCTGAACCGTCTGAGACCCAACAGTGACAGAACAACATGCGGTCTAAAGTACACGGAAAACTCATGTGCAATGACGATTAACAAAGACACAGCAGATAATGGCGCGTTGGATACAAAACATGTTGTAATGGCAGTAGCGACGTCGAGTGAGACAAGGCAGAAGGAAGAAGATGGAGCCAGACAGAAAACTAACCATTCAAGAGTCCATTCCGTGCACCGAAGGAATCTTTGTTACAAGCCGAGTGAAATTTCAGGACCAATTACAAGGTATATTTGATACAATTATCAGTTGCATGTACGTGTTCCTCAGCTCATGAACGGTAGTTATCGTAACGTCTTCTTGAAAACTGATGTCCGCACACAAATGGAAAGGCGACTTCAATTGAAGCATATTAACGGGAAATAAAAACTGTCGAGTTTCAAGATCGAAGCGAGATTTTGTTAGTGAGCGATAAAATGCTTCCGCTTCGCGGTTATGCGTTACATTTATGCGGTTAAGACAAAAAAATGTATATTCGTGTTCATCGTAGTAACATAAATAGATTTTTTGAATGGATTCGTGTGAATCAATGATGATTTCCGAGTTAAATTGAATTTTAAATTAGTAACACAGTCAGACCGCCCGTCCTGCAGTAGCTCGTGAAGTCTTTAAGAATAGAACATTAGATGCAACAATTAAGCTTTAACAACGGGAATGTCTTGACTTATGCAACTCACATACACTATAACATTCAAATAGAAGTTCTAATTAGTACATGACTCGTCAACACGAGAATACGTGTACTCTAGAAATAATAGTAGTTTTTGAGGCTAGTATTAAACACGGTAATTATTTTAGAAGCCGGATATACTCAATTTTTCCAGCAAAATCGTAAATTCAAGAATAGCTTCTTCAAGTAACAGGATTAGTACAACAAACGAATTGTGATTGGCCTGCGCATTTACGACTTTCCTGGAAGTTGAGAATCTGACCTTGATCTACGCGAGCGCTCTTTAGTTAGAAACATCACAAGCGTGTTCTACGATCCCTTTGCTGCTTCAAACTAAAAGGCAAGAAATGCATTTTGTTGCACTACTCTGTTTTTAATTTACTAATTATCTTATCAACAAGGAGATCGTAATAGTACCTACACATGGTGGGATAAAAGGTTACGGAATGGTGTTGTTTCGGAATATTACTGACGTTGTGTATTACCATTAAACTTCAAATAAATTCGATACCGCATTTGTTGACATACACTAGTCATTCATCTGACACGATATTGTGTTACATTTGCTAAGATTTATAGGATTATTCTGCTGGTCCTATGGCAACGAAACTGTCTTACGCCGAAGGCTTAGAGCGTCTATAGACAGTTTTGTTCACTATAGTGAACAAGACTCGTCTCTCACGCAGCTAAGAACTACGCTTACGTTAGACTCGCTCACTTTCATTAACAGGAATTTAGGCAGGTTCGGGTGAAAGAAACCTATTTGAAATAAGGTTCCCAGTGAAATAAGATGAATTTAGATGTTTACCCAAAATATTCGAAATCCGTTGAATAATTTCCTGAAAAACATATTTGGTGACGGGAATAAGTTTGTTTAAATAGAGATATTAAAGAAGTCCTCGAACAGTCAAAACAACCGTAAAAAAATTATCGACTCGCGTGCCCTAAAAAACCTGACGGAATATCAATTTTTTCTGTGAATGCAGGTGGGCGAGATATAATCGAGGGTAAAGGGAGAAAGTTGCAGTTTGTATACAAATAAATGAATGGCCTACAAAAGGGTGTAACACTGCACACTGGAAACATTAGCTATTAGTTACGTGCGTACATGCAACGATGCCATCTCACGCTTATATAAGTGAACAACTCCTACTCTAATACACAAGCTTTGTAACAAATCAAGCTTCTGCATGTACTTATACATAACGCGACTACTTCTATATATCTTATTCTCTCAACATTGTTGTCTAACTCCTTCGATTTCAAAGCGGTCAAAAGGGAGCTTGCTTCTGGGCTTAGTGTATTTCAAGTTTTATTTTGCTAGAACATACGCATAGTTTAAAATCAGCGCCTGAAGAGATTGTTGATTATCGTAATATTAGTTCAAATCACAAAAATACAATGGGGCGAGATCCGAAATTTGCTTGCACGAAGGACTGAGTTTGTTTTATGAATGCGATCCATTATGGACTAAATATCTCCAAGGAATGCTAAGCGGTACGTCTCTTATAGGGACATTACTACGAACACATTGGTCATAGGTGTACCCATTTTTTTCCACCGGATCCTTTATTTCATGACCAAAAGCAGTGTTCGATTTGATAAAGAAACTGTAATCCGGTAAGCGAATATTTGACATAATGGCAGTTGGTACACGAGAAGGAACCAGAATACTTTGAACGACATTCAGTAAACATACGGAAACATTCAGTGAACTTACGGAAAGTAAGTCGAAGCGTTAGAGAGCCAAAATGAGTTCTTCAGAAGCCGAGCTCAGTCAACTTAACATATACGAGTTAAATAAGACTCCTAGGAACAAAAATATATTATAAGGCTCAGCTAAGGACACGAAAAACGGGGCAACCACAGTTTTTAAAAGGAATCAGAATTTGTACGAATGATGCAGCTATATTAATTAAAACGTCTAGACGCAATGCAAGAGGTGCGCCAAGTGAGAGTCGTGATGGTCACACGTTATTATTAGGGATTGTAAATAGACTGTCATAAACCATGGTCGCTCAGTATATATTATATATAAAGTGCACATGACTGAACCCAACGGAAAGGATAACTATCATCAATTCAAAACTTGGAAAGATAACAGAAGTAAAGACATAGAAAGAACAGAAGAGAGTCGGGAGTTGTAATGAGTAGATAATAAACTTTTCGTTTACATAACAGGCCTACGGAATATTTTGTACACACGCACACATGGTTAATTAACATATGCAGTTCTTGATATGCGGCAAGCCAGGCCACGCAACAATTAATCAGCGTCAGCTATCACACTTACGATGCACAAGCCATCAATGTATTTAATAAACTTAAGATATATGCCATGCACTATGTGGTAATTATTATAATTTATATATCGTCTACACAACACAGCAAAAATACACTGTAACATATACTTCTCATACAAATAATAATTATAACACAGGAATCGATAATCAACTTCGGGTATGTGTGTCGCTAGACGCGACGTTTAATTGTAAACTAGGGTTTAGATATAACGAGTCTGTACATAGGATCCCCTTCAATGAGGCAATTCTGAACTTTGCCTGCGCAAATGGACAGTTCGTCTATAATATCGTCGAAATGCGTCACTCTTTGAGTAAGTTATTATCTTTGGAATGTTGAACGATCGACCAGACAAGAACTCCGGACGTGTTATCAGCGGACGTTTCTCATAAGCTCATAAAACGAAGGAATATGAAGCTGTAGCATCTAAAAATCTAACGTATAGGAAACCACGAACGATTTAATGAAGATATTAGTGAACCAGAGAGCATTTCCCAGGTCACAGAACAGTGGACATAAATTCAGCAATTGAAAACACCTTCAGAGTACAAAAGTGGATATATGAAATTCACAACAAAGGTCAATTTGGAGAAACCCATATTTTATATCAATACATGGTATTTTTGTTGCCGAAGTGACCTTTTCACCGCCTGACATGCGCTTTTGATGCCTGATATCATTTGTCCGCTTATATACGAGTCATACTCTTACATCCCAAGAGTCGACGCAGCTCAGTAAAAATAGACAACTCGATGCAACACAAACGTAATTGAAATTAAATGAAAACAACTATGATTGCTGTTTCCATAAAATGCAAATCTTGTATGACATGGCAGCAACGCGTCCACCACAAGCTTGCAAAAAGTTTTTGTGCAACTTATACAACCCGGAGAAAGTCTAAAAACTTTTTGACAACTTCTTCATTTTTCAATCCTAAAGGAAAGAATAAAACCTTGGCTTTTTTTTAGAATACTCCCATCGATAATTTTAAAGTATCATTCATGATTGTATGACATCTGTAAATACAAGACATATCTCTAACAATTTCATCGCAAATAAGATAACTTTAATATCAGCCGTGCCTTCAAACTATTTTCAGCACATTTGCTCCTATAAAAGTTTACGAGTATGAGTAATTTCAGAGCGAGTAGTCGCTACAGACACTTTCAGAACGACAACTGCCAGACGTAGATCCGAGGCAACCACAATAAACAAGAACAAGGACAACAAGATGTTTCACAACAATAAGCATGAAGATTGCCTTATGTATAACAATCATAAAGATGAATACACGCAACGATATTGCTCTACTTTTAATAACGTAATCTCGGTACTTTGTTCTCAGTGTATCAGAACTTTAAAGATGGAGCTGCCAGTCTCTACAATATTCTCATCGAAGTAGAAACATTGAGCTCAGTATTCCAATGGGACCAAATATGCACATCCATACGATAGGAGAAGTGTGTGACGAATTAAGTTTTTGAAAAAAACTCATCTAATGGAAAGTAAGTTCTTTTACAGACTCAAGCCTAGAAGTTTAATTCGTTATATTGTAAGTTAAGTGTTGGAGCGCTGACATGCGAGTTTATTACGGATAAAGCGGGAGATGACTGATCGAGGTCTTCGTTGCGATAACCGTCGGGCGGTAGAGATTAAATCTTACAGAATCCTTTGTTTAAAGAGTTGTTGGAACTCCTGTGAGTTTTAAATGCAGGTAATGCGATCGTCGAAATCTTCAGTTTTTGTTTTACTTCTTGCCGAAGCCAAAAGCGGAATAGATTTCGTTGGTGGCAGCGTTGACGGCAGCACCAGCGGCCGCTGTCATCGCGGCGGTTTGCACGCGCTGCTGCATGCCAGCAATCCCACCACTGCCACCACCACCTCCTCCAGGGCCGCGTCTACGGTGGTGGGAAGTGAAGGATAGTCACAGAAAACACCATAAATAAGCACGATTCGTCCCGAAGTATGGATGTTGTTCAGGTTGATAATATGTCATCGAAGTTTCGAAACGTGGAACCCTCGCCGCAAGAGAAATGGCGCACAAAACCAACCATGCGATGCAGGCGAATTTGGCAGAGTTTGAAGAAGTAGCGAATTTCGAAAGAAGCTTCGTGGCGACAGTCCTCACGAAAACGTGAAATATTTTTCGTTGTGATCGTCAGATGAGCTCAAATCGAGAAGTGAAGTCAACCATAATGCATTGTAGGTAGAACAAATTCGACGGAAATAACATCAAGAATTGTCTTAAATATAAGAGATACCGAAAGACGAAAAAAACGAGTAAAAAAGAATTGGAAAACAAATAAAAAGATGGCATTTAAAATGTTTAGAAATATTATAAATTAAGGCCAAAAAATTATGTGGAACATCACACACTTAAAGATGTGACGCAGGATGCTTATAAAGAGCGGACCCGTTTGCGTGATGATGCACAAGGATCCGTTATCACAATATTGTATTACGGAGCGCGGCAAAAAGGAAGAGATGAAGTAAAGGTAATTATATATTTTACGTCCGCTTAATATAAGAGTTATCTCGGTAGATAGTAACGGCAGTGGCAAGACGAGAAATACGATTTGTAAGGGTATAGTTGTGATACGGTCGTAGAATTGTAACACGGGGGTGGTAGAGATGACACGGAATGCATCATTAAGTTAACAACGAGGCTTAAAGCACAATACGAGAGGCAGTCTCATAACACGGAGAGCAGAAGTACAACACGAAGGGCTCGTAGATGAATAGTAAGAGTTCGGCCGATATTATTCGTTAACAAACAGCAGCAGCAACAACAGAGCCGAGTCGTTTAGCGGCGACTGTTAGCCACAGAAAAACCGAGGGAGAAAATCCCGCGGTTATGGGAAGACCGGAAACCATTACATCAACGCGGCTTATAACGAAGAGCAATACAACGAAAGCAAGGGCAGAAAAAAAAGATGCCGGGCGCATATAACGATGTAGAGAAAGGAGTTAATTAATACGAAGCCACATAAATCGAGGAAAATTGAATCAAGATGTTAAATCAAGAAACGAGTCATTCATTAAATAGGAATAACGATGCACAATAAATCGAGGAAAGTTGAATCAAGAAGTTACATAAAGAAATGAGTCATAGATTAAATAGGATTATAGCAAACCATTACAGCATAATCAGTGATGCAACGGAACATGAAAATATGTTAACATAAGTGACGGAAATAAGAGCGAGGAAGAAACAAGTAGTTGAAAGTGAAAAAAATTCATGAAATGAAATAGGATTAAAAATGTAGTTTAATTAAAGACATTTAAATTAGGGCATTAATCAATAATGAAACGAAATTGCAAAAATGTGCGTAAGATCACATGAAAGTGTGCATCGAGAAGTATATTAAGAGAAAGATTAATGGAGAGAATATATTTAATGTGAGCCGAGCTTTGACGAGCCGAGACATAGAAATTCACCGTGGTAGGTGCAATGTTAGGGACGTAATATAAAATAATAAATATTCAATAGATCGTGAATCATGAATCAAATTCAATATTGAACACAAAACGGAAAGAATTATTGTTTAATATTAGAGTAAATAATATACATGGAGCACATGCATTATACGTGTTCGGAATGCAAGAAAAGTTGTGTGCATTAAAATAATAATAAAAAAACACATGCGAGAAGCAAACAGGCGAGGTTAGGGCAAAAATAGTCAGCGTAACAAACGGGTTGAAATGTTAACAAATAATTATATTAGTAAACAAAGGAGAAACATGCGCAAGAAGTGAATTAATGAAATGCAAAAGGTGTTAACGGTGTACGATGGTTGATGTTGATATGGGATAGAAGATGTTTAGGAGAGGTGGTGGAAGTTGACGAAATTGTTGATGTTAATGAGGCATGATGTTGACGGTGAAGGGGGAAGGAAGGGTGGAGGTTGACGATGTGGAGTGATGAATGTTTACGATGTAGGGAGGAAGTGTTGAGGTTGACGATGTGGAGTGATGAATGTTTACGATGTAGGGAGGAAGTGTTGAGGTTGACGATGTGGAGACGAGTGGCAGCAGCAACATCAGGGCAGCGAGGGAGAAAGGAATATCATTAGTAGTATTAGTCAACATTCTCATCAAGTTCACGGGGTTAATGATAAGGAAGACATTCACAAGCATTAACTAGATTACTGTTAGGCGTCCCACAAAGCTGCGTAATCCTATCAGCTGAATTTTTGTTAGAAGGTTACTTATACGACAAGCTCAGGCATTAGCACGTAATTGAATTCTACTTAATTGTAAGACAGTTCACGATTATTAATTATTACGAGAAAAAATAGCTGACAAACGGAAGCTCTATATTTTTCCTCATTAGTGAGTCTACATAGCTTGAGACACCCATTTATTAAGCAAATGAAAAGCGCCAAAATTAATTAAATTACTGCACAAAGCCAACAGAATATTACGAATAGGAAACGAACAAATATAATTCATTGATTTATAGCATCAGAAACGATGTTCTCAAGAAAGCACAATGTCTTCAGCACCAAGTAAAGTTATTGAAATACGAGAAATATTAATAAATAGCATCAGAAACTGTGTTCTCAAGAAAGCACAATATTTTCAACACCAATTTAAGTTATTGAAATACGAGAAATATTTACAAGTATCAATCAACTGATGGCGGACGATGAAGTGGTTATAACTTACGAGGGTATGAGGGGCGGCGGCAGCCCTTGCTGCTGCCTGCCAGGTGGGGCAGGAGTGGGGCGAGTGGGCACAGCAGGGGCAGGTCGCCCACCAGCAGGGACAGGAGGTGGGGCGCGGGACGCCGCTGCTGCAGGGAGTGGGGCACCGGCCCCACGGCCCCCACGTTGCACTCCAGGAGACGGCGGCCCACCACGGCTTAACCTGCCAACCCAACAACATTTTTAAGACATGAATAACAAAAACTAATTATGCTAACATTTTTACTACTGCGAAATTCTGTTTAAAACGCATTAAATGTTAATTCAATCATTTTCAACAAATACTAATTACGCTAACAATTTTTACACTGTGAAATTTTGTTTAAAACGCATTAAATGTCAATTCAGTCATTTCTAAACTTGAAAACTATCTTCATGGTTGATGAATTCTACTATTCATTTGCAGAAATTAGTTTGTGTGCATGTTAAAAGTCTGGTAAGATGAATTAATTTGTTTTCCGAATACAGCAATACGCTAGAATACAGGTATTTGAGCGCGTATCCGTAATACCTATCGTGTCGGGGCATCAACTGGATCCGACATTTCATCTTTGGAGGTGTAACGAGACAATGAAAAATGAAAGGGCAGGATAGAATTGGAAAACAATTAGAATTGTGCGTCACTCAATGAAAAGTATATTACACGGTCGGGAAGAAATTTATGCAAAATGTCGTCACATATGGTACAGACGTCTTCATATTGTAATTAGGAGTCAGTTTAGGGTTGTGTAACAACTGTCACTAACCAAAATTAGGAGACCGCATTCTGTCCACAACTCACATGCCGTCCACAACTTACATGCTGTCATTAGCACCAAGCCAGTCATCCTTGACAGGAGGCGGTACAGGAGTGCTGACGGTTGCCATGGACACGTCTCCTATGATCTTAAGCGCATCCTTGCAGGCGTGGTACATGCGCAGCATCTCCTCTCGCTTGTGCGCCTCCTCGGGACTCTCCTCCATCATGCTTGCCTGTAAATACAATGTAATTCACCAATTTAATACTTATTCCAAATAAATACTTATTCCCAAATCGCTACCTGCCTTCCAGTCAGCTATACAAGGCTGGCTGAGGGCGCACCATAACTAAAACCTTTTTATTGTCTGTTTCTCTTTAATTATTTTTTTTCTTAAGACGTTACAGGTTCTCCGAATATCGAAACGTTCTCCAATACATGAGCGTGCACGCAACCGTTGGTGGGGGTTTTCTTCAATTATGGAGTATCCACCGTACGGTATTACTATGAATATGAATAATAACGATTGATCCAGCATGATAGCTTCATAAGATTTAAAATAAAATCTGAGCTATAGAAAGGGAAGACCAGTTTAAAATTTTTCGATAAAATAAGACATGTTAACATATTGCCTCTCCTGAATTTCTGTCTGCTAACACACCTACACTTCACTGCCCAAAAATTATTATAAAAGACATTCTCATGGATGTAGATGTATGTGAAGGCATAACTTACAATAATAAAAAATAAAAAGCTCCCAAAAATATACGAAATGGCTTTTTGAGATAATTTTATCTAATACTAATAAGTATTGAAGAAAAGGTTCACATGCATTAAAGTATAAGTAGACAAAATAGCTTCTTTTCCACATTAAAAAAGATGCAAAAGCTCCTGCACTTAGGAATTTAGGTAAGATCTTCTCATGCACCTGCCAGAGAAATATGTGAAGGCATCACTTGAAAAAATAAATATGACAGCTTCACTTTCGCGGAGAAATAGATTAAAGAGCATCTCTTATCCCATCAAAAAGGTGCACAAGTTTTACTTGCCAACACAAACGATGTGACGGTATCACTTGCCCAACACAAACGATGTGACGGTATCACTTGCCCAACACAAACGATAACACAAACGACGTGACGGTATCACTTGCCCAACACAAACGACGTGGCGGTATCACTTGCCCATAACAAACGACGTGGCGGTATCACTTGCCCAACACAAACGTTGTAAAAGATATCACCCAACACAAATGCTGTGACGGTATCACTTGCCCAACGAGAAGCACTAAATTAATTCCCCAAACAAGTGGACGGAGAAGCTACCTTCACATAGGGACCTTTCCATGAACTGGAGCTGTTGACCGCGCTCTGCACCACCGGTTCTCCCAGTCAACAGCATTCATTAATACCAGCAATAACACATGGCTACATTTTCTACCCATTGAATTCACCACCACATAAAACATTGATTTTTGGCAAGGATACTCTATGTTTATTTTTCACATAGCCTCTCGTGCGGATTAGTTCTCCCTGAGTAATTTCTCACGTTTGCATGATGCTCCTCAAATTAGACAGCGAATATATTTAGTCAAAGTGCTTCTTTGTTTATTAATCGGAGACCGTCTAACTCGGTTAGTCGGTAATGGTTAGTAGATTAGAAAGCTGACTGATTTATATATTGACGACATATATACCGTAATCATCATCTCATGGATTCGAATAGAAAAATGTCTAAAACGTTCAAATTGAAAAAAATTTGGAAAATCAGAGTAATTCCCAATCAAGAGCAAAATATAATAAGCAAGGGAGTTGACCTCCCTGGAAAGTTCTCATCTATACTGTGAGTCGAAGCTTTAATCAATTACATATTTTGAACAAGGATCGATGTATAAATCGAGCTTCTATTAGGCGAGTTGAGAACTCTATCTTGCAAGTAGATGGTCTGATCGTAATACGGGCGCCGGGAATAAGCACGTGATGTTATTAAATGATAAAATATCAAGCCGCTCGACATGATAGCTACAAAAACACCAAAGCACCACAACCCATCAACGCCCATAAATCAGCCTGTTGTGCATAAGGCTTTAAAGAAAGAATTTCATCAAAACTAGTACTTTGAAAGTAATAAATGATATTAAATTAAATAAATTACGAGATATTCTGTTTTGGCCAGTAGCTATTCGGTGAGATAAGGAGAAACCAACAGGACCATATACAAAATAAATACCATAATATGAACCAACAATATTCTGGGCATGTCACCTTGTAATTATAAACATTTTCTTAGACTGCTTACTATTCAGTAAGATAAGTTGACACCAATCGACCATAAACAGAATTAATATGGTATCATTTAGCATAACTATTTAGGTAAGTGACCTGGTCTCCAGTGGCGTAGAGATGCGCCAGCAGCTCGCCCATGATGAACTGCTTGGTGTTGTTGATCATGAGGTGCATGACGATCTTGGGCACGAGATCGCGGGTAGTTTTTGTCACGATCTTCATGTACGAGTCGACGAGATTACGGATCGTCTCCACCTGCCGCTCCAGCTGAGGGTCCATCGACGTACTTGTCTCGTTCGAACCCTGCACACGCGGTAGCCTTTTATTAGTACCTCAATTTTAGTACCTACCTCATTTAGAACCTCAATGTCACAATGTCACATATATACAGTCCTTGGCTTTAATAAGTACGTCTCAACGAGACGTACTCGTCTCGTTAGAACCCTGCACACGCGGTAGCCTTTTATTACGATTATTTTGTACCTGATTGACACATTAAAATTCATACTTTTCTAAGAATTATAAAATTACAAGAATTACACGCGGTAGCCTTTAGTTACGATTATTTTCTTCCTGCTTTACACATTAAAATTCATCCTTTTCCACGAATTACGAAATAATTATTGTGGTATGTTTTCCAATTCATAAGGCTTGCGTAATTTCTACTGAAATAAGGAATTACTATAGGTATGCTATTCACAATATTGAGCAAGCATGTTCTAACAAAAATGTACAAATTCACAGCATTTACATGGTAGTGTTTTCACCAAATAGTCTTTAGCATACTTTTATCGATGGACGATTAATTTCAGTTCAATGCTAGTATGATGACAGCGTTACCGTTTTTGTCATAAACAAATACGAGTACATGCATCATTTCCCTACTCTTTCCGTTGCTCTGGCTTCGAATACGTAATCCAGCCTCCTCTGAAAATTATTTTTCTTTGCCTACAGCTCTCACAAAAACAACATAGTCAATGAGATAGCTATGTTTTACCACGAGCTCTTCAACCATTGATTTCGTACAGGGAAACGTAGGTATCGATACTTTTTTACCAGAAGTCTTGCACTCAGTTTTAATATTATGTCAATGCAACGTTGATCCACCTTCAAATATTGGTTTTCTTGACATAAATCTAGATCTGTGCTACAGAGAACGACATAAATCCATACCATTCTAGATCCCGCATCATCAACAGAGAACGACATAAATCCGTATAATTCTAGATCCCGCATCATTAACAGAGAACGACATAAATCCGTACAATTTTAGATCCGTGCTACAGAGAACTAGTAGAAATTATTAGCGTGCTGACCTCCTCGCTGCTGCCGTGCTCAGACACTTTCTCCGGGTAGACGCCGGCGCGCAGGAAGGATGCCTTCCAGGAGTCCAGCTCGTCCTGGGACTCTACGCCGAGCTGCAGCTCTTTGTGGTCCTGGGGGGCACGACGTGTTAGATTGTTTACTCTTATATATTCTAATTTCTACACTTCTATATAATTTATATACAACCTTTTTATGCTTACATATTCTAACCTTTGTACTCTAATATTTCACACGTCATTCTCATGTTATCGTGCATGTGTGCTGATATTGCACGAGGGACACAAGGCGTTTCCTCACATGCTAGCCGTGCACACTTATATAATCTTGTGCGCTATTCTTGTTGTATAATACATGATTACTGTAATATCATACCACTGTGTTTATTCATATAAGGGTACCTATTCTAATAGGATGATAATATTGTTGTACTGTTGTTTCGTATTGACACAACAATATACTGTATTTTAATTATATAGTGAATTTTTTTTACAGATCACAACAATTGAATAATTCATTTGGTTAGGTTCATCATTTACTACTGAATTGCTCATTCAAATTCAGGCTTAGCCTCAATTAAGTCACTGCCGTAGTTAGGTCCTTCACAGAATAAGGCCATTACAAAGCCCTCACACGCCACCAACCTTGTAGACGTTCCTGTTCTCCAGGTTGTAGAGAGCGAAGACGTGGCGTCGGGACATGAAACCTTGCTCGATGTCCTTCAGCTTCAGGCTATCCAGCATCAACATGTACTTCTTGTCTCGCTCTTCTTCATCCTGAAAGACAGTCAGGGGATATTTCTACAGTAAGCAGTTTCTAGTTCTAGTAAGATTTATGTATCTCCTAACATGTATTTCCATACGATTATCATGTACGCCGGTAAACAGTTCGCGGGATAAAGCCTACTTAATCACTGCCAGCCAACTCCATGAAAATAGCATAATTAACAATATATATCAATACCAGAATACTTCCACCATAAATGATGAAAGAGCCAATCAATTGAATGCTTATATCATAATAGAATGCCGCTAACGCTACAATTATTGACAATATTTTATGAGTACTTAAAAATACTGATTGATGGCCACTAAAGCTACAATTCCCCATATTTGACCTCTGCAATGGTCGTGTGCTATACCTTACCTAATTGGTCACCTTTTCGTTCTCTTTTTTTACGGTCGATTATCGTTACGGTCGACCACTCTTTATTAATTACTTAAGAAATATCTTTACTGTAATTAATCTCACCTTGAACCACGAGAGTGACTCAGAGGTGAGCACAAATCAGTACCAACTATTACTTAAGAAACATCTTTATTATAACATTGTTCACCTTGAACCACGTAACTCGGAGGTGAGCACAAACCAATATTAACTATTACCTAAGAAACATCTTCATTGTAACATTGCTCACCTTGAACCACGAGAGTGACTCAGATGTGAGCACAAACCAGTAGTCGCGGCCGCCACCCTTCATGATGCCCAGGTTGGTGATGTTCATGTAGCCTTTCCTGATGACCTGATTGCCGAGCTTGTGACGCGCCTTCTGACTGCCAGACTCTGATGACTGCTGGGCGCTGACAGATGCAGACCAACATGTCAACACAACCAACCCAATTAAATATTTGATAAACACACAAATAACCGAGGCTCGAGAAAGCACACAGGTTTTCAATGCATACATAGGAATGTTTCTAGTCGAATATCTGTGATATTCGACAATTATGTATTTTGGAATGTCCTTGGCTAAATATTATTGCTGGACTAAACTAAACGGAGATTTAGACAACTATGTGTAAAGGAATGTTTTTATTGAAATATTTGTGCTAAAATAAATTAACCGAGTGTCAGCCAATTGCCAGATTTCTCAATCCGGTTCTTCTATACGTTTATTCAGTAGGTGCCGGGTGTTACTCATTTATTCATATCATTTTGAGACACCAGAATTTATCGACCCTTGTCCAAATGTGGCAAGATAAAATATCTGCATAACTTTGTTCAAAAAAAGTTCGTTCAGTTCATCCAAAGTTTTACCAGATCTGGCTACCAGAGAGAACTTAATCTCACGTTGCAATCCTAATCAATTCATACAAGTATGTCTCCACAATAGTTTACAAAGAAGCATTTGGCTCATAAATAACGCAAGTGACAAGTTCAGCAAGATTATACCAGTCTACTTGCATATATCTATATCATACATTTCCCAGCATGGGTCCAAGTTTGAAGCAAAATACTGATCAGATCTAAAACAGAGTAATCAGATCCAGTTCTTCTGAGGAAGTTTGCATCCAAACAACATACCCAGCACATCGAGTGCAGATGAACTACTTACATCTCCAACGTAAGATCTCCTGACTTGAAGGCCTAAAACTGTTTTACCTAACTAGTTTTTTGGAAGCATTAAAAAATAATGTATTCAAGCACGAGGTTGAAATAAAATTATTTTATGTGATTAATATCAGCACTCCCTTCACTGAAACAATCGTACAAAAAATTCAGGGTAAAAAAGTGCAAAGAAAAAGTGTGAGAGAAAAGACAAACCAAAGCCACCCGATTACATGGATGATAACCCTTCACAAAAAAAAAGGCTACAAGATATGTAAATTACTAGATTGGTTAGTGAATCAACTACAATAAGCGATGTTAAGATGCTTAGTATTGTCTAGTTTGGGGCAAGATGTTAATGCGCCAAGTGATGCGCAGTGTCTTTAGCTAAGACTCGGAGAAAAAAATTGCTGCATAAGCTACAACGAAGTTGATGTGAAGGTGTTGTGTGCTGTAAGCGTCCGTAAAAACGTGTTTGCAATAACAACAAAAAGGTGTGAATATTTTCAATATTATCAGATGGCAAAACTACTAAAAGTGTTGATGATATGCGAGATGAGGTATGCTTGATGATTGTCACTGAAACAAACTCAGCTATCAAAATTAAAAATCAATGAATATTTTTAATGCAGGCTTGAAGCAGCAGTGTACAGGAGAATTTAACTCAGGAAGTATCATCTGAAAATTTGTGAGGTAGCTTAACTTGAAGGAAAAATTTATTTGACACTAAAAAGAAAGATTTGAGCAAAGGTTTTGGTTTAAAGAACTAACTGCATTGACACGACTATTTATTAGGTAATAAAGTTTAGTAAAAAGATACCACTTGCTAGGTAGAGCAAGAGGGGCACTTACTCGGACACGGTCGAGCCTCTGGAGAGCGAGCGCATAAACAAAGAGGTCTCGGCGTTAGAACTGCCCCGTTATATTCGAGCGAGTGAGAGAGTGGGGCATTAGGAGAGAGCAGGCAAGTAGAAACGGAGATTGAGGGGTAGAGAGAGAAAGACGAAGGTTGAAGAGTCGAGAGATACGGGGCTCAAGTTGGGTGGAGAGAAAGAGAGTGGATGATTGATTTAGAGAAACATGGAACATGACGTAGAAGAAACAAAAAAGGGCCACAAGAATTCAATAATGCAAAAATAGTGCAATGAGAAGTTCAAAATTCATCTTTCCCATTTCTGAAGTTCAGGAGGTGAAAGCAGAGAGGTGAAAGATATCAAGAAAGAGAAAAGGAGTACAAGAAAAAGAAGGAAGGAGACAGCAAGCCCCACAGCAAACAGGACGATGTGCCAGAGAATAACAGAGACGCATCGAGGTAGAGACATGGAAGGTAGGAGGTAATCGTGTCATGGCTTAGATACATGGTTTACAAATATTCTAGAAGTCCATTGATAAATGAGGCAAAATTTGAAGAGAAGATTTGCCGCTTATTACATCAAAGGAAAGTTAATATATTCCTGCCACACAAATAATTATTACAATACATATCCAAGGCAATAATACAATATATACACAACAATAGATAACTCAACAAATGGGCAAACATTATTTCAATAAAATAGACTTACATTAATTGTTATCATAATTTTCACAGTAAAATTTAGAATGATTTAGTCATTGTTGTAAAATATTTTAAGAAAGTAAGAGGAAAAATGATTTTAAGGAAGTCAGTATTTACAAGCTTATATCAATCAATAGGTATGGAGTAAAAGAACTCAAAAATTTTACTATATAAGAAATAAGGAAATTTCCAAAAAAAAAATTGGTGAACTCGAAATCGCTTTCCGAAGCTCAAGACACCACCGAAGAAAACATAGTGATTAGATTCATGAGTCAAAGCCCATGGAGCTTAGCATTTCAAACTACAAATAATTGTCTCTGTAAATGCTACCTAGTGCTTCTTATAATGTTAAGGTAATATTCATAAATTCGTCAGGAATTTAAGAGCAAAGAAAACAGCCAGAATATTAACCATTTCTTAAGAATGAAAACGTTTCGGAGTCCAGCTCCATCGTCAGTTCAAAGTTCAAAACCTATAAGAAAAGCAGAATCAATTAGAAAACTAAATTCACATCGAAGATAAAAACATAAATTGACAAAAATAAAAACAAATACACATAAGGAGACNCAACTATAAAGATGCTCTCCCTCTTTTTATGCGTTCGTCCCTAGTATATAGATACAGTTGTGCGCAGTGCGCATCAGCGTACGTCGGTATGACGTCTCGCAATTTTTACACTAGGCTGGCGGAGCATAAAGGCAGAAGTTTTAGAACGGGAACTTTACTTGCGCATCCTCCTCATTCAACTGTGCGCGTCCATGCCGAGCAGTGTAATGTTCCGGTGTCCGATAGTGATTTTAGAGTTCTAGCTTACACGACCGGTGTTACTGACCTACGAATTTTAGAATCTCTGTATATTTTTAAACAGAAACCTCAGTTAAATGCAGCCTTCAGCTCCTATCCCCTTGAAATTGTTAATAGATAGGTCTGTCTCCTTATGTGTATTTGTTTTTATTTTTGTCAATTCATGTTTTTATCTTCGATGTGAATTTAGTTTTCTAATTGATTCTGCTTTTCTTATAGGTTTTGAACTTTGAACTGACGATGGAGCTGGACTCCGAAACGTTTTCATTCTTAAGAAATGGTTAATATTCTGGCTGTTTTCTTTGCTTTTAAATTCCTGATTAACTTGCGATTTAAGCAATCTAGTAATTTTATTACTCATAAATTCGTGAAATGCATGTAACATAGAATAAGACTGAGTCAATGTCATGTTACATGTACAAGAATAAGTTCAGTAGTTCACATTTCTGAATTCTGTGTTCAATTTTATGCATAAAAATTCACATGCTTAGATGCTAAATATTAAAACATTTTTGTAGGTAATTTTACTGAAACTAGAATAATACCGTAGTTTGCACGCCATTGCATTGAAATTGGCAGCTATCACTAAAATTATGGGATACTAGTACCTTAAATTTCAACATATTGTGGCGACCTATGGTCGTAGTCTGTAAAGGCTAAAGCTTTAGCGTAGTTAGAATATTTGGGCAATTTTGCTCTCCTTCCCGTTGCGGTCTAACATTGGTGCTGCAAATTTGAAATGACAATGCCAACTTGTTCAAGCGTACAATCACGGTTAACTCTTCATGCATTTGCTAAATAAAGTGAGATGATTTATAAACGTTTAATCGTTTGTGATGACCAACTTTGTTAATGATTTTCACATGGGAATAGTCGCAAAACTTAAGCATATAAGTAGAGTGTAGCAATTAGTAAAACAAGGACTTAAAACATTTCTGGTTCAATCCTATTAATCTTAGCACCTGTTGATACTAGAAATAAAGCAATCCTAAACCCTGGCGATATCTCATGAAAGACTCAAGCATATTAAATATAGTATAGCAGTTAGTGACACAAGGACTTAATCATTTCTAGTTCAATGCTATTAATCTTAGCACCTGTTGATACCAAAAACAAAGCAATCCTAAACCCTGGCGATATCTCATAAAAAACTTAAGCAAGACAATCATAGTTGGTACGTATATCGATGAAGCCGGGAGCAGTTACGTAAAAAATAGCTAACTAGCTTAAAGGAATTACTGATATTATAACGACTGTGTTTTCTCCATTGGCAGCAAATCAAGTTGTCATTAGTTATATATGTTATATGGACCATCTACTTTTTGGTAAAACTTGCTAAGTAGAGTCAAGGCCTCTAGAAGGATGGATGACGTGTACGAAGCTAAGGAGCGGTGGTGGCAGAACAACGGGAGAACTGATACATAAAAAATAAATAAACGACTGGAGGATTAGTGTAAAACATTACGGGTTACGGAACACGACACCTCAGGGATCGATTGCCAATACAACAGTAAAAAGATCAAAAAGAATCTGAACGTAGGAAGAAATAACTAACCGACCAACGTGTCCCTCTCGGGCTCTGGCTTGCAGAGAACTGGGAACAGTAATGTATTATGCATCACGGAGAGTATTGACGAGAAAGCGAGTATTATGCAGCATGAGTAGCGGGACAAGGCATGTTCGTTACAAGACACACACCGACTGTGAGCGTTCAAGTGATGCACGGCACAGGAAAAAGCTCACGGCGAAGTATTGACATGGAACAAATTCTCGTATAAGTGGATTGCATATGATTGAGTAGGTATTTCATTGGCACAATTGACTAACCTTGTGCATAACATATATAATGTAATGAAGGTATTGACATAGCGCATAAGTAATGGATAACATTTGGACTCATCACAATCGGAGCTGCCCATATAATCGAGACATATACAGTCCTGTGACTCCTGTCTCTACTTCGAGTTTGTGCATCCTTGGATACGGTATCAATCAAGCAGAGGGCAGAGCGATCTATTAATTAAAGGAACAAAAAGAGAGGTCATGCTAGAGGCGGAATACATTAAACCAAAGAAATGCGCGTGAAAGCTAATCAAGGGTCTCATAATAACAAGCATCCTTTTCGAAGGTCATCAAGGAAACGTAATTTTCGATGACAGATAGAATCCTCTAATACCCACAGATGTTACAGACTGACGTGAGCATGAATTACAGCATTTTTTTGCTGCTACGTAGCACGGATGATTTAACGATTTCTGCCTTAATTCAACGCAACTTCGTGATAATTCTCCATGCTTACTGCATCTAACTGCTAGTGGCATTGGATGTGTCATAAAAATGTTTTAGGTGAAAGGGTTAATTTCGTTTTAAATATAAGTACTGGAAGCATTAAGCAAGCAATCTACTAGCAATATTACAAGTTAACATGCAAGTCTGATACCTACTCAGGAATCAGCTTACAAATAAATGACCAGATCAGACCCTTACGTCGACTTAACCGCGGCATTAACACACTTATCATTATGTGCAATAATTTGGCATATACATTAACGTATATACAATTATGTTGCAGTATTCATAAGACAGAAGATGTATAGAAATTAAGAGAACAAATGCTATTTGAAGCTTATAGTAATTAAGACAACAAATGCTATTCGAAGCTTCTGATTGAAACGTGTCACTCAAAATGAGAAAAATGAATCAAACTGGGGAGGGAATAATGGACAAAATGAAAAGAAGAAAGGGATTCACAAAGCAAATTAGAGACGGTTAGACTGAGGAAGAAACATGATCAAGAAATTTGAGAAGGCAGCAAAACAGAAGAGACCATAAGCCCCAAACTCACTTGGCAAAGCCAATGAAGTCCTCGTGGTTAGTGTTCATGTAGGCGAGCTCGCAGTCGTTCATGAGTAGGATGTTCTCCTTGCAGAGCTGCTCGCGCTCTCTGATGTGCGATGTGATGATGCGCTCTGTCTCCTCCTGCAGGCGCGGGTACGGCGACATCTGCACACCAGAGGGTGGATCAGTACGAGAGATCCAGCGCCTATACTTTAAAAAAAAGTTAAGAGATCGTAAGTTCATCAGCCAATCATTGACGGCCTTTGAAGCAAAATCCACCAATCATAAACAAGAAAATAGACCGTAAGTATTTGTTCACTCAGCGAGTGAAAGTATGGCCCCTGATCAACATACATTGATGTAAGTTGCCTCATTTATGTCAACATAAATGCAATCGGAGCATATAAATACCCTTGGTGTCAGCACCTAACAATAACATCACCCCCATTACAAATATCCCTCCCATCACCACTGAGGAGCACATCTTGTTCAGAAAAGCACCATGCAACACAACGCACTATTACCACACATTACAATTCTGATGATGATGATTACAATGGTGTTTCAAATGTTCTGTGCACATAAAACTCACTCGTGAAACAGCAATGCATCTGAGTTAAAAAAAGCATTTTCTTTTGATAGTCATACTGGACCGTCCAAGCGGCTATATATAATCACTGTAACACAATCTAACACTGCGCTGTTAAGTTTACACAGGACATCACCCCAATTGAATTCTCATGACGGTAGTAAATCTATCACCCGTACACACTAAACATATTACTCTCCATATCTCCAGTGGCATAGACCACATGACAGCTCACCTTCATGGCAGTAGTGCGGACAACATTTGTTAGTTCTTGCACGACGAGATCTACACACTTGAGGCTTGGCTCCTTGAGACGTGCGATCTGTGTCTTGACGATAGCATCAAAAGCCATGTCAGGAGTGAAGAGCCCCACTCTGATACCGTGGATGTTGCGGATGGCAAAGGCAATGTCGCGACGCAGTTCCTTCTCATCAAACTCCATGCGCACGATCTCGTAAGGGAAGCGTTCATGGAAGAGCCTGTTGATCTTAGCACCTCCCGACAACTCTGCTGTGTTGATGGCAGCTGAGCCCGAACCTTCGATTGCGCGCTCGAAGTCGTTCTGCAGCTGCTGGATCATCCTTAGAAAATCCAATAAAATTAGGATAAGTTGAACAAATTGTGCTGTGACAAGTAATATTGAAATTTCATAATGCAAGGATGAATTGCACAACTAACAAATTCGTGTGGAAAGTCATGTACGTAGTGCATACCTAACGGTACAGTACTTTAATCGCCTTACATCAACACAGATCAAGTTACAACTGTGTTAATAAATTATACTATGGTACCGTACTTGAGCGCAAAATTCTAATACATCGGCAGGCACACTTGCCACAAAACTCACTGCAGCATAGCTTTGGTCTTGATAGCAGGGTCATCAGGCCTGAAATGTTTGTACTGCTCCACCTCCTTCTCCATGGAGAGGTACTGCTTCTGCAGCTTGTCTCTGAGTGCAGGCAACGTCTCCCTGATGTGGTTGGTGAGCTGCTGGTTCAGGACCCGTTGTAGGTAAGGCGTGCCGCAGCGCTCTGCCAGGTGGCGGTAGGCAGGATGGGAGAGGAAGAACTTGCGCTCTGCCGCCATGGCAGCCTTGATGTCCTTACGACCGTCTATGTCCTGTGAGAAATGGAATAAGGTTAGGTCAGCTGTGGTGGCCTTAATGTCCTTACGACCGTCTATGTCCTGTGAGAAATGGAATAAGCTCAAGTAGGTGGCCTTAATGTCCTTACGACCGTTAATGTTCAGTAGTAAAAGAAATAAGTTTAGATCAGATGTAATACGTAGCTTTGATTTCATTACGACCGTCTATGTCCTGTGAGAAATGGAATAAGCTTAGGTCGGTGGCCTTAATGTCCTTACGACCGTCTATGTCCTGCGAGAAATAGAATAAGGTTAGGTCAGCTATGGTAGCCTCCATGTTTAATAAATCAGTTTGTATCGTTAAGAAGGAAATTTGAGATAAATAGTAGCAGCATTCATGTTCTGATTTTGCAGTGGGATCTGCAGAGATAACCGGTCAGACAAATGAAAGCAAAATCAAAGTCCTTACAATCATACACGCCGAGTGCAGAAACTCAAGTCTGTCTATCACAGGTTGGGTAAATTGTGGGTATTTTTAATTTTTATACGACAAATAAGTTGTACAGAAACACGCCCTCACCTTCTGAGACCTGTTGACAACGCCCACATAGCCGCGACGTAGAGGCAGCAACTTGTTCTCCAACACATCCCGAGCATCTGTGCCTTCGTCCATCAAGTCCAACTTTGTGATCACGCCGATTGTACGCAAACCTTGGCAGTGAATACAAAACTTAGGAAGAAAGAATTGGAAGGAAAACTTGGAAAGACTTGGTCAATCAGAACAGGTAATGCAACAATATCAGTTTAGATCGTAAGGCATACACCAAATTAAGATAAATGGGTCAGAAGAAAGTAAGCTGGTACTATTAAGAATGGAATTAGCAGAATATTAACTATTCAATGTAAATTTATCTAGTACAACCAAAAGGACTAGATATCTCATTCTCCAGGTTTCAACTGATAAGAGCTACGTACTAACGTTTTTTTTAATTTTCCTAGCAGATAACAAGAAATGTAGGTATGTCCTTAGATCAATGCCTTAGCATCTATCAGTGTTACAAATGTAATCGCTCACGAGTACATTTGTACTTAGAATGGCCCCAGCACAAGAAACATGTGGCAGTTAACTTAACAGATCTTTCCACTACAAGAAACATGTGGCAGTTAACAGAATAGATGCTCCCACTACAGAAAACGTGTGGCAAATAACATGACAAATGTTCCCACTACAGTAAACATGTGGCTACCAACATAACAAATCTAAAATGACCAACATCAATCCTCAACCACGCGACCCCCATCTGGTACCCTGTCGCCTCAAGCACTGCAATAGCAAGCCTTCAAACTATCCAAAACTTTGCCAAGATACTAGCCACCGGCTGCCTCAAATGGCCCCGATCGCCCATCTTCACCATGAGACCGGCGTCCTTCCCCTGTCTGCTCACCTGGACCTGGCTTGTGCCCAGTTCCTCGCCAGCGCCCTCCAGCCCTCCCATACCTCATTCCACATCGTCTCTGCTCCCCTCGGAGACCACCCCATGAAAGCCTCCATCCAGTCGAGGTTCGGCCACCTTGTTGCACCATTTCTGGCAATCGGTATCATGCCTGCCGGTGCCTATGGAGAGACCAAGCGCTCCTTTCGCAAGGAGATCGCGTCCCGCATTGCGGCGACCGCCGTTAAAAACGCTATCCTTGCAGCCCCACCACCGCCGATTGCATCAGTAGAGGTCTCGCTTCCTCGCCCCTACCGTTCGGCGCTATCCCAGCTCCGCTCGGGATACTGTAGCTCTTTGGCGTCCTACACCTTTAGGGACGGACGCACCCCTAGCGCCGCCTGCTCGGAGTGCGAGGATCCCCTCCAGTCCGTCCAGCATCTCTTTGCCTGCCCCGCCTTCCCCACGTCCTTCAGCGTCTCCTCACTGTGGGACAACCCCGTGGAGGCGGCGGCTTTCCTGGCCACCCTCCCTGCCTTCACCCTTCGCCCTCCTCCCTCCTCTTCCGGTACCTCCCCACCGGCGAGCGTGACGTCGCAACAAACAACAGCAACAACATGACAGATGTCCCCACTACAGGAAACGTGTGGCTACTAACAGGACAGATCTTCCCACTACAGGAAAAGTGTGGCTACTAACATGACAGATGTTTCCCCACTACTATAAACATGTGGCTACCAACATGGCAGATGTTGCCACTACAAAATACTAACACTTACCATCAGGGTCAGCATCCTTGGAGAGCTGCAAGGCATCGCTGTTGGCCAAGTCACTGTTTGCTGGGGTCACGGCCAGGATGAGGCACGACTCCTTCGTGATGTACGTCATGATCATCGACCTGATCTGCTGCTCAATGTCGGCAGGTTGGTCGCCGATGGGCACTTTTGTCAGTCCAGGCAAGTCGATCAGCGTCAGGTTTAGGACTGGAAAACAAATCCATGAGTATTTTATAATTGATTAGTGCTTAAAATGTACAAGTAATCCTAATATAAGTTCTGTAATGAAATTTTATGAGTTTATAATGGCATAGAAAGTTGTATGGAACTCATTTCATGGATTTCTCATATTTCACTAATTTACATTTGAATATCAATGTTAATTTTCCATAATATAATAACAATCAATGGTAATTATCTTTTATAAAATATTAACCGTGTTACATAGAGGAGTAAGCAATAGAAAGTCTCTGACATACAGGAGTGTGTAATTGGAATTCCCTTACTTGAATGAATAAGCAATGCTTATTCCCTTACATACAGAGGTAATCAACAGTAATGACTCGTGATCCAACAAATATAATTAATTCCCAAAGAACACACCATTGGGGGAGTACACGCGCAGGTTGATGGGCAGGTTGGAGATGCCCTTGTTGTTGCCTGTGATCCGGTCTGTGTCATCTTCAATTTCTTTCCGGATGGCATCAAAATTCATGAACTTCTCACCCTTTTTGTGCAAAAATTCTCCGTATTCTGAAAAAAATCGGCAATGTTTAGGACAAGATTCTCCAGGCAAATATTCAAAAATAGAAAAACACAGACAAATCGAGAATAAAAATCTTCTGTATAACAATTAGGGAAAATATTATGCTGATGCATTTTGCATATTGTGTATCGAGAGGCCTAAGAAAACATGAAAGTTTCCTCACAATAGTGCACTGGATATTATTTATACAGGTACATCTAGTATGCATATTAATTATATTACCTAGAATAGTGCCTCAAGATTGTAAATTACCACCAATTTATTTGAAATATGCATCCTTATTGGCAAAATATACAATTAAAAATTTTCACTGCAAATCAATGCTATGTAAGTGTTCATAGGAGCTTCAATAATAAATACTAAATGAATGACACAATGACTTGCATCATGACTGATGAGATTAAAAGGCAGAGAGCAATAATAAAATATGCTCATTGAAAAAAACAGGACAAAATAGGACAATGTTATCATAAGCATTAATAGGAATTTATCAGTCATGTTCATTATTTTCATTCAGTTTTAAAAATGGCCAAGCAAAAAGTAACATGATAATTTCCATGAGCACAATAAAATAAAATAAATATCCTGAAACTGCACCAGAATCAAGATTATGAATGAAAGCGGTATGAAATGAAACATAACTGCAGAAACTGTTGACTGAATAGTAATAGCATCTACCGTAAAATGGGGTAACTTAGACCACTTTTTTTTTATAAATAATGCCATTTTTTTACTAGCTAAATTAAACTTGATTTGAAACATGCAAAATACAGGTCAATACTCTAGCTTCACTCACCATAAATTGCTGGCTCCTGCCTCTCATAGTCTTTATGTAATTTTTTGATAGTGAAGGAACAGCACCTATGATGAATGCAGCAGCATTTCAGAAGACCCTTGATAGTGAAGGAACAGCACCTATGATGAATGCAGCAGCAGAATAGAAGACCCTTGATAGTGAAGGAACAACAATAGATACTTTGTTCACTATTAAAGTATCTAAATTAAAAAACTTTGAAGCTCAGAAAAATTGCTTTTAATCAACAGAAAAATTTGGTAATTGGCAAGCAAACTTGAGCTCAAAATATTGAATTCTTATACCTAAGATTCATCGGTTGAAAAAGTTCATTACCAAGCTAGCTAGGTAATGTTAAAAGTTATTGGAAATCATTCCTGAAAATAGTTCTTCAATCAAATATATAATACACAGAAGAAATATTACTACTCACCAACAGGCCCATGTATTAATTGTAAAATGAGAGGTCGTCTTGTGACAATACCAGAGCCCCGAGGAAGGAAATCCCTGCACAACAGAAAGAAAATCAAGACAAGAACAACATGTCAAATAAACTATCCATAAAACTGTGGAATCATGGCATTTTTTGCATCATTTACACTGAATCTAGTTGGTTTTGAATCAAAATTAAAACTTCAGTTATATTTCTCCATTGTCATATAAGGAATGTAACCTATACCAAAAACAAAACAATATCTACACAATAAGAATGTTAGGTTTTAAACCCCCAAAACCATTCAATCCATTTCATTGTTTCATTGATTTGCATTCCAACAAAACCAATTAAAATGTAAGAAACCACTAGTTTGGAGCTGAATATATAGATACATACATACAGTACATAAATAAAGTTAGTGGGACTGGGACAAAAAAAAATTTTTACAATTGAAGCCAGGATTCAATAATGTCATAATGCATAGAATGTTGACCAAATAGTAGAATTTTAATTTTTCAACTTTGAGTTAAAACTTGACCATAACAGTTATATAAAACATTCATATCAACGGTATAATTAGACCCCGGCATTTTCATTCCTGATACAATGATATACTGCATCAAAAAATCTACTGGCATCAAAAATTGCATAAGAAAAAATCTGATTTCACATAAATTACGAAACACCTTACTTGCTAAAAGCCTGGTTTAGATAAAATTAAAAAATATATATTTACAGTAATAATACAATCCTTCAAACATGTCAGTACTCAGTACATGTATGTTGAACCAACTTTGTGAACAATATAAGCTAAGCAAGAAGAAAAAGAAATGCACAATCAAGAACTCAATTGCCATATTAGAAAATTTCTACTGAGCATGAAAATCTTGTGGCTCCAAAATGCTATTTTTAATAACTTTTAAATCTTGCAGGCCAAGTGTGCACAATGCACTTATGTTAACATTTGTACCCACTACCCAGAAATTCTACCGCAAAATTGGAATAGTGAGGACTGAGGAGCAGCATGCTGACTTCAAAGAAGATTTTGGCTGTGAGTTCAACACAAGGGCTAAAGAGTTGCACTTTAATCCAGCTCTATTTTCCCTCGCATTGGACAGGGGAGGAATAAACACAATGGAAACTTTCTGTAGCATACTGATGATCTGCAAGTGTTGTACTAGTCTACTAGATTCTTCACAATTTATTCAGTGGAGGACTGGAGGTTTAACACAGATAAAACAAAGTCTTTCTGTAAAAAGTTTTCTAGGAACTATACCTACAGCAATAAAAAAATTAATTTAGAATCAAACTAATTTGCCACAAGCTTATTTGTTGATTTTCAATAATAACAAGTATCAATTGTACAATTTTATAAATTTATTAAGAAATAAATAATAATTAAACTCTAGGATCTAGAAGTCTAGATATTTTAGGCATCTAGGCCTAATACTAATGCAATAGCTTAAAACCTGACCAATATTTATTTTGAAAGATTTCAGATTTGTTGTTTATTGATCCTTCGAAGTTAGAACTTTTGTTGTTATTGCTGTCTTATGTTTATTTAGTACCTACCTGGTTGAATAAGGTTGCATCTTGTGAAACTGTGATAGTAGGCCTAGTGGAATTTATTGCTTGGTTCAATTTTATGCTAAGATTCAAACCCAATAGCTCAATAACTAATGAGCATTATAAGGCTACCTACCTATGTTGTGAGAATGTTAATAAAAAAAGCATGTATTGTACAATTTTGTTCACAGTTGTTGTCCTAATCAGACCAGAAAATATCTACTGGGTTTCTGAAGGAAGTTAACCTTTCCCAATCTTGGGGAAAAGAATGTTCAAAGTTGGAGACAGAGAGAAATTTTGAAGGGATAATCATAATGTGCCTATCAGAAAATTATTAATGCAGATTTGCATGGCATATTTGACTGTAAATAATTTAAATATATTACTTCCCTTTAAAACTTAGCTGATATTTTCTCAAGTTCCTCTGAGTGGTGGTCTAAATTTAAGAATCCTGATTACTGAACCATACAATTTGATACAAATTACAATTCTCACCTGCCAACAAAGTTTTCCAAGACGGATGATTTACCAGCAGATTGCCCGCCAACAACGGCAATTTGCGGTAAATCTAATTGCATATGAACTCCCAATTGTGTAAATGCATCTTGTAATTTATTTACAATAGGAATTAGCTGTTCCATTCCCACGTTGCCCGCCATTGTGTTAGATTATCTACCCACTATTATCAGACACACCAAGTTACAACCATCAGTCAGAGCACTAGAGATTATTGCTTCAAAGTTACCCTGGAGTGGGTGTCATCCCTTGTGTTAGGGTAAAATCTGTAATCAACTGATAAACTGACTGTGATCAATGCATTATTCATGCTTTTTAACTCGCGTTAGAACGAAATCACAAATAATCAGGCCAATCATTGAATCGCAAATTTCTATTCATATAGAATTCATTTCTAGGGTCATACGGATATTGCGCTTTTAGATCTACACTCAACGGCCATCATCAATGAAAATGAAACAAATCAGGTCATATAGAATTCCTGGATTGTAAAAAGTGTTAATCTTTGAAATGATAGTCCATATTCTATAGTATTGGCGTATTCTATAACCGACACTGTTTAGTGGGTGAAGAAGTCGTTACCCCATATTGAGGACTTTACGTGAAACAAAACAAATGCTTTGGGTCGATCGCACGATCGGATCCACCCTCTGTTTTCAAAATACAGATGGGTCAAACGAAAAAAAAAGTCCTCTGCAAAATATATAGATGTAGTTATGTTTCTACTACTATTCTATAAAACTCGAATCATATAGGCGATGAAGATACTGGAGGCTAATCAATGACAAACGAAGTGATCCAAAGAAAATGTTCTGGAGAAGTCAAGGATAAACTTGCAAAATTTCAAACAGCCCGATAACAATTTAATCAATACTAATTAATTGAGAGAGTTGATAAGATTGTAAATCAAGATATTTTAACCCTTTAGGAACTCATCTGCTGCATTGTCGATTACGTGATGCTGAAAACGGATATGATATAACATCTTCAACTACAAGCGATATATTGAATTCTACACAACTATTGCATAATTGGAGGACCGCAAAATTCGTTGAAGGTCGAAACTGATTGATTATTGAAAACCATTGATGTTATTAGCAGCTGGAAAACCCCACACACTAAATTGTTGAACTGACACAAGTTGGTTACGTCATAAGTAAAAAGCACTCCCGCGTTGGATACGAAAAATTTTCATGTAAATGAATATGAATGAGGAAGTACTAATTAAATAAAAAAAAAAACAATATCACTCTTTTGTGTCATTTTTAGGTACATAGTGAATAATGGGAAGAAAAACAACATACAGTAAAATTATATTCATTGTTCAGCGTGATCACATGGAGAAATTTATGTTACGTTCAAGTGAAGTAACGCACAAGCTAATCGTTATCATAACGCTCTTACGCTCAGAAGTTATAGCGTAGAGTTGTCGGGTTGAATATTATTTGTAACGCGTTAACAAATTTCAAAACCTTACTTTCAAATAAATCAAATAAAAGAATTTGACAATCTGCGTTAAACAGAGAAAAATATTCACTCGATATGCCATCGAATAATCTGTTGACAGCTCCAGAAAAACATCAATCAAAAGGTCAATGGGATAAATGGGCATGTCGTTCCAGTTAACTTATACCCATGACCGAGGACAGTGGTAACACTTTCTGGGTCATGAGCGACATTTCGTTTTCCACTCCTGCGAAATGTTCACTGCCTAACACAAGATGAAGACAATCTGGCAACGATGAGCAGCAGCTGCCACCCGGCCACTCCACTCAAACAAACCGTTCGCGGCAGCCCACCACAAAGCAAATGGAGTGCTTATTTAATGCACTAAATGGGAATTTATATTATAGAATGAAACTATAAATACATATCACTGGTTAACAAGTATGTTGAGTGGTACGCGTCGACAATAAACACCCCCAAATGGTACGGAAAAAAAGTTCGAAACCAATGATCTTGTATATAAAAAGTCGCATATGAGACCGGGATAGCTGAAACATGGACGAGCACGGGTCATGTAATTGTGACTTTATCAGAATGCATACAATTATGTCGTATGATAATATATTGAATATTAAAATTTATTGTTTCACAAAGTCACGAGTTTCATATGTATCATGAATCAGTAACTCTCGTGCGCCCTAATGAACTGACGTTGCGATCTCAATCTGGCTAGAGGCTGTACTGTTTTTACCTGGTATCAACTATAAAAACATCAGAAAACAGGGAAATCCAAGCTTTTTATCGTTAATTTTGGGATTAACATGCAGCTGTTAGGGAGATGAAATTTCGAATTGCAACCAAACTGGATCAGAATATCGAAATTTTCTGCTGACATCTCGCGCATTGTTTTGTACGAAAAATAAGAAGTAAAATTTGTACATAAATTACCAGGAAAAAAAATTCGTTTCCAATCATAGATATGAAGAGAAAACTACGATGAAAAACAGATAAATCGGAGCTAAATTTGAACAGCTGATGGCTCCTACAAAACTTAATATTCTGCGACGCTACTGATAAATACTAACTACTGCAGAAATATTTTCGGGTATTCATTTAGTAATAAACTTCATTGTAGTAAACTTCAAGGACGCCAAAATTGATCGCTAAAAATATAACGAGGAAATGAGCTCGCACACTTAGCTATTTAAGCGGCGATAGAACAATTAGTCTCAACACGAGGATTATTAACGAAAAACCGCCATTAGATTGGAATAAATTATACAGCCTTATCCATGTCACCATGAGGTCAGGGTGCATGATATACTAATATACATGTCAAGATGAGCTCAGTGTACAGGTTAAGCGTCAGTATGAGAACACGATAAGAGATAAGATTATGTACAAGTTTAGGATGAGGGATAATTGTTGTGCACATTCTTGCAGAATGTGGCAGTCTGTGATCGCGGTGCAGAATGTGGCAGTCTGTGATCGCGGTGCAGAATGTGGCAGTCTGTGATCGCGGTGCAGAATGTGGCAGTCTGTGATCGCGGTGCAGAATGTGGCAGCTGTCTCTTATACACATCTAGATGTGTATAAGAGACAGGTATCTGAGTGAGGCACGGTATCTACACAAGCACGGTACCTGAGAGGCTTGAGGCAGATGCTGACAGTCGTGCTGGTGAGGCTGGTAATGATGCTGGCAGTAAATGAGGCAGCAATGCTGGCAGTTGAAGGGCAGGAAGTCAAGTTGCTTGCAGCTGGCAAAGCTGCAGTGCTCACCAAGCGACGGTAATTCCATGGCAGAAATTGTCTTCCTTTGAAGCCGAAAATTATTTCTCAACGATCCTTCTAGAGCTTTTATTCGACGTCTGAATCATAAGTGAGCAAGGCAAAAAAGTGTGAAGTCTCAGTAGCTACTGCAAATTAGTGATGATGCAAGGGTTTTGTACAATTTTCTAAAAAATCGGAGCAAATATTGGATATGGTATTTTAACTTTGGGCCGTTTACTGATAAATTATAGGAGAGTGTGGGCGTATATTTGTCTGGAGCTGAAAATAAATGTTGGAGGTGATAAGTTATCGGAAACTTATTGTAAAGGAAGGTTGGCAAACGAAAACTGGTAACAGTATTGAGTTGAGGTGTAAAATAGCGTAACAATAGCTATAGCAGCGTAAAAATAGCTATAATAGGGAGGCTATATCTACAATAACTATAATAGTGTGGGTATATCTACAATAGTGTAGAAATAGCAGTAATATAGGAGCTATACACGTTTGTACAGCTAGCGCACATTGAGACGAGATCGTGCAGAAGCCGACAACCCCCTGTAGTCAGGATTACTGATGGGTTCGTTGGAAGGTACAGAGGGCGGAGTTTTTTGTAGTTCCCCCAGCAATAGGTCGCTCCAGCGGCTCTCCAGCTGCCGCAGGGTTAGGTTGGCTGTGGCACTGTCAGGTTCAGGGTCGGGGAGCTCCTGTAGAGGGACTAGTATGTCTTCAAAGGGCAACACGTCCTTAGCCCAGTCACAGTCTATCACCTCTAGCAGTAGACCGTCCACCAACACATGCGAGTCCAGCTGAGGATGTCCAGGAAAATGTAACAGTTGTTCTTTCAAACAAGATCACGTCGATAAATACGACAGTTGTTATCTACACATATACTATTTTACAACAGACATAATATGACCTGTTTTTAAGATTATCTTCAATTTATGTCTTAATCTAATTGGCATGCTGTAGACTTTTGAAATTAAAAAGAGGAGTATTTTCATATCAATTTTCCATAATTTTGTTATTAATGATAAGCGACTAGCTATCCAAGACATCTTAAGGTAAACATTTAAAATACATTTCTTCCTATGTTGCGAAAGAAACCATTGCAACTAACCAACACCTCTACACCACCATTACGATACAACACATCATCACACCGTCACCACACATCATCACACCGTCACCACACATCATCACACCGTCACCACACATCATCACACCGTCACCACACATCACCACACATCATCACACCGTCACCACACATCATCATCACTCACAGGTTTGTAGGCGGTCATGACGGACTAGAAGCTGCTGGAAGTGATGCGGCCACGATGAATACGTAGAAAAATATACGGGTTAGTCTAACTATCCTTTTCTCTTCATTTAATTACGTTATGACTATAAACTAATGTATAATTGAGCAAAGATTAACAATTAACCTATACGTATGAAAGGTTATATTTGATGAGCGTACGATTAATCAAATTAATCAATAACGCGTTTATAATACTTGCATAAACTACCATGAATATTTATTATTAGAGGATTATTTAGTTACGATTTGTGAAAGGTGCAGCTAAAGATTGCGTTATAGAGATACGATAAGAAGTTTATCAAGTCTACATCCAATATTTCTGCGTAAAAAGGCAAGAAAAAAAGTTTTGTGATGGCCCAAATCCTCGTAGTGGATGTAATTTTCAAAAATAAATAAGCAAGGTTAAGTAAACTACAGATTACAAGTAGGATTAGACGTTTCGACACTGAAAAAAGTAAATAGGTCATATTGTACAAATAGTGACGCACTTATTTATACCATTTGCCTGAACAGAGAGCGGACGTAGCACAGATACGCCCGTTCTCGGACCAAACTGGGTCAGGGTGAAGCACATAGGGGGCAAAAAAGTGCCTCGCTTTTTGAACAAAAGTGTAACTCATTACTGTGAGTGTAGGGCTGGCTACGGACCCAGGGGCCGCGCTGTACTCCCTTCAGCACAGAGACAGCAACCGCACACACAACCCTGTCAGAAAATTGCCGCAGTCGAGGAGCCATGCAGTCACGGATGAACATGTCTGTCACACTGTCGCACCAGCGCAGTTATATGGCAAAAATACAGCAGTAATGTCCAAGAGATCAAAATATTCACATATGACTGCGAGAAAACGACCGGGGAACATGGTCGACCTGTTAGCGAAGGTTCTTGAGCCGAACGGCCTTGGTCATGGCGAGAATTTCGAACTGGGAGAAACTTGTGAAAGAGGATAGCAAAAAAATGCTTTTTAAAGCAATAATACAATTTAAGTCTAGTTAAAAATTAAAAGCAGAGGCTCAATTTAGATAAGGAAGGGTGTGAGACTAAGCGCGTTTTGCGGGCCAAAAAAATTAGTGTGCGGGTGCCTGCTCTGTGCTGCCGTTGGGTAACTGGGCTTCAAGTTTGGCATCTTTAATGATAGAAAGTCGGATTTCTTATTAAAATAGACGGGAATTTACCTTATCATGCTCAACGGAGTATAAAATTTCGGTAAGTCTCTTAATTTTTCTCTGAATTAGTCCAGATTAACGACGCTCACTGTTTCATATCAATGGATAAAACATTCTGAGATGCAATTGATTTATTCATTGAAATTCCGTCTACAAACATATTATGAATTTAAAAATTAAAAATGAGTAGACGAGTTAAAAAAATAGATATTGAATAAGTATAAACATAAAACATATGTCAAGCCATTCATTTCTTATCGCGCGCGAAATCGGGCCAGCTACAAAAAACGTAGCCTATATCTTAGATATTTATCCTTCACTCATGTGTCAGTGCAGAAATTACCGCGTGCATTGTCCGTAATGAGGGACACTGCAATAGCTTCAATCAGACGACGTTAGAACTTGAGAGCCCTGAACGGTATACGTTACACCACAGATGCCGGTATAACTTGACGACAAAGAGTGGCTAAGTAAGTTACACCACAGATGCCGTTATAACTTGACGACAAAGAGTGGCTACGTACGTACAGATGCAGTTATAACTTCAGGGTTACACAGGAATGTTTACAACTCAATCTTTAGCAGACATGAAGACTAGGCTATGGAAAACATCACAAATAGCGACGTATTTATAAAATATGAGCGCCCTAGGACAGCACAATTCTCCTTATTCTAGCAAAGAAAAAGCAACTGAGCATTTGGATCAACAGAATAAATTTCTGAATTCCATAACTTTCATGATGGAGTGAGTGGTTCTTTGAATTTATGAAAGAAGGAATTTTGGAATTCGAGCCAACAACTTTCATCGGTAATCACTAAAAATGCTTTAGAATTGCGGATTTAACTTACAAACAATATAATGATTCACGTGTGTTTAAAAATTAGGTTCTTGTGATTTCAAAAGGACTTCTAGGACAAATATTACAGCAATAAACCAAGGCCACAGTAAAAAGGCCAAGAGTAAAAATAACAAAAAATTCTGAAAGAAGAAATATATGTACTTTGATATGTTGCTGCGGAAGATTGAGACCAGCATTTATTCCGTAAGTTGGGCTTGTCTTTACCGATTTTTATTCATCAAAAGCGAGTTACTGAAGAACCTCAAGTGGTCAGCAGAAATTCGATCGTGGTTAGCAATAAATTTTATCACGTATACGAAAACTATTCCTAACTGGTAACTACTCTAGTATGCTGGAAATAACTAACTGATAACTATTTTGAATAGTGCACACTATTCAGCGCATTTTCTCATTTATGGGAAAAAAGCGCTATTGTGCTCGTCATGTCCGTTCGTCCGTCCGTCTGTCTGTCCGTGACTTCGAGTTTTCGTCGACGAGAAAATGCGCTCTGTCACTCACTGCATTGAGTACCGAGCTATATTTTTTACATGTACAGCGGAGAAATGATGAGATTCTTGGCCTTCAATGATAGATCACAAGGCAGCTGAAACTATCTATGTAATAGTATAGAAAATATAGCCTGAAGATCACTAAAGGTAGAGGCAATGCTTACCAAGCTTCTTACAAGAGCACTAGCAAAATTCAGTGTAAAGACTACAGGAGGCAGGACTAGTCACGAAACCTAGTCACGGTATATTAATCTTACAAACTAACCTTAATACGCCGACGGATTAGTGATAAATTTAGCTCCGAGGCTAATCTGGAATTGGGTTCCTGGACTAAATTTAATCAAGGTCGAGCCTCATGACTAAATCATGTAAAAAAAAAAAATTGCGCCTACAATTTTACTAACGAATAATTTCTCTTGTAACTTTCACAACACTTTGCTCTAGACATAAACGAAGCAAGAATATTCGTAGCTGTGAATGCGAGTTTTAATTATTTGTAATAATTACAAGAGCGCTATGCTTACATGGTTAAATGGACAAGCTGACCGACATGGCCTAGAATCTGGCAGAAGGCGCTATCGAAATTCAGGCTAAACATCAGTGGGAGTCGTACTATTAAAATAGTTATGAGTTCGTAACTTCTGCAGCGAATCACTGACGGCTTTTAACACCATACCAGCCAATCACTGACGAGAAATCGGCTACTTCTCGTACTTAGGCCGCGACGTGTACGTAAGTGAGTACTGTACGGCCACTGGTAGTTAAAGTAGTAAAGCCTAGTAAAGTAGGCAGTAAAAGTACGGCCCCTGGCAGTCATTACAAAGGATTAGCAGCCAAGAGTTTCATAACAATTTCGGAATAAAGGTAATTTAGGCAAAAAATATCAATCTGGCAAATAGTTTACACTCAAAGTGCTTTGAAAATCACAGAATTTACAGCAACTGTCAACAAGATATTAATTGAAACAATTGTTGGAATTATATAACTTTAAAGTCATGAAATACCTACATAAAAATCGTCCTAATTTGTTAGCCACCAGAAGGCGTCCTTTCTTCTTAATTTGTTATCACAATCACGCTGAAAATTTTCTGCTTAAAATAGCAATTTCATATAGGTAATAATTTTAAATGTAAATTATATACATAATGGATTCGAATACCGAAGAAGAATCTCCTCACATTGAGCCGAAATTAGATTTCTGATTTAGAGCCTTTCTGCAAAATGAAAATTAAATATCACGTGACAACATAATTAGTTGTGGTGGCCCAACATTATCACAATGAAACACGGGAAGCATTTGCGTTCACGGAATAATTAAGCATTTGTTTTGCAGCTAAAAATTTGGTAAGTCGATGACGTGTAAAATCAAGTTTGTGGCGTTTAAAATCAAGAAGAAAAAGACTTAATTATTGATTCTGATATTAAATTGATATATATCTTCTTTCGCACTTGATACAACGGACAACATTGAATTGTACACGGAATTCCAGCTTTTAACACACTCAACACGTTGTTCAGTGTAAGCCTACACAATGTTCTACATGTGAACGGGAAATGCTTAAAATCAGGACATGATATTAAGTTGACTAGCATACTACTGTAATTTCAATAGGTCAAAAACAGCGTGATTTATTTTTTTTCTACGCAGGACGGTGAGGGGCATATATATTTACAAGTCAAGTTACAAGCAATATGACTAAAAAATTCAATTGTGATCTAATTCAACGAAACAAAATAGCTGCGCGCATCAAAGACTATTGCACGATTCATTAAATAAACATTTAAAATGCACAAAAAATCGTACGATGATTTTTCCCTTAACAACGAAGTTTCACAGGACAATTTTAAAAGTACTGTACAACGTACATGTGCATACGTCTATCTGATCACTGACTATACAAAAGCCTATATTTATTTAGTTTAGTTGCCACATGTTTACTAGTGATTCAGCTATTTAGCTATCTCGTATCGAAAGTCAAGATGAACATAACCAATGAGGTGTGAGATCTCGATTATTGAAAGTTTCTTAGATAAAAAAATCGTTCATCACCCACAAGGGGCGGAAGGTCTCAATTGTCAGCCTTTAAAGCTAGCTCGAAAGAAGAATCGTTAGCATTTTAAGCATTATAATCACAACACAGCTTTATGACAAAGAAAAATATGTGAAATTCATAACATACAATGGCAATTTAAGAATCGTAAAATATTGAATCGACGTCTATACCAAACCATTTGAAAGCTTCATATTGAATCCACACATTTCACAAAAAACTGACTCCGGTTAAATCCATTGCATATACGTATGCAGCCGGTGCAGCAAATGTTGATGTAGAAACAAAATTTTGGATTTAATTATGAGAAAAACAAAATGATATTTGAAATTTATATGATCTATGCGTATTTTTCTATTGCGACTATAGAACTAAAATATTTCACGCCTGTTTCTCAGCAAAAGCGACAAAGCCAGACTTCGGCTTCTATTCTATAAGTTCATCGATATTCCCTATCAGTGGGTGTTGTATTTCCCCAAAATTCCTCAAACTTGATTCATCTTAATGACATGAGTCCATGTTGTGAGGCTCTAGTTCACCAAAATTCTCCGCACATGATTCATCTTAATGACAATGTTGGGAATGGATTCAAGGTCCTGAGTATAGCATCGTTTTCTCAGCTTGCATAGCCCACTGCATGGAGCACAGAAACACCGGCTTTCGTAAAATTTTGTAAGTTTTTTCTTCAAGTTCAGTTAATTATGAAGCACCCAACTGAGGGGTACAGCGTTTATAATTCAAAAAGTTTGAAAAATTGTTTCTCTCTCACTTCATGGCTTTTGATAGTTCTTTAATTTCAGAGTTTTTGACGATAACTGCACGACCGTTTAAATACCAAGTTATAATAAAACAATCCCTATTCAAATTGTCAGTTATAATTGACTGGTCACTGGTACCTATATCACATATAACACAATTGAATAGTTTTTAAATTAAATTTTGAGCGTTCATCTGGAACTGTGATTAGATTTACACTTGTTATAGATGACCCAAATTTCTGTACACCGGGCCACAGGAGAAGTTCACGTCACCAAAGAAAAGTTGACTCGTGTTAGGACTTTCCCGACTTAGTGAAACTACTGAGGTAATAAAGCACTCAAAACACTATGACATTTTCTTGAATATAATAAAGTATCACGTGAGTGCAACACATGAGCTGAGAATTACGCAGTATCCTGGTCTGAGCTCGAGTGCATGGACTCTATGAGTGAGTTGAAGAGGTCGACGTTGTCCTCGAACTGCTTGAGGCGATCCAAGACCGAATTCGGAGGCACCGCAGTGTCCGGTGCGGTTCTCTTGTTGGGGTCTTCAACAGGGCGTGCGTCTGAGTCGTTCATATTCATTAAAACTTGGGCACCAAAAGAGGCAACTTTTCCCTGACTGAAGAGTTCGTCCTGATCGACGTGACCTTTGACGACTCTTCCACCTCCTCGCTGCGGGGTCAAATACAATCCTGTCCCACTGCCAGGACTTGATGGATCAGTCCTACCGTCAGTCTTGCCAGCACTGCCGGCGCTACCGCTGCCCTGCGCCACGTCATTTGTGCTGGAATTTGTAAAAAGTCGCGGCGCGTTCTTACACGCGTACAAGAACACGCCCAATTCGCACTTGGGACTTGGATTATCCACAAGCACATAGTCAGGGTCACCATGGATGCGATCACTTCCATGAGTACCACTGCCCGCGCTGTCACGAGTGCCCATGGCTTCATAAGACCCGCATGCAGAGAGATCGTCGGGGGGAGTGGTGTTGTAGTCATCATTGTCAGGGTCTTCGTCAGACCCTTGGCAGCTGGAGGTCAAAGGCTGGTGCGCAACACCAGCGAAAAGATCGCCCGGGGGCAGAGAGACTGGCGGGACGATGAAGGCATCAGGGGGCGGCACTGAGGAGAGCCCAACGAAGGGCGTGTGTTGAGGCCTGCTGGGGATGGCAGTCGGGGGCGACTTGGGGAGGTTAGGTGGGGATGGCGGAGAAGCTTCCTTGCGAGATGGCAGGGGAGACGAACAAGGCGAGGGGAGAGCGCCTATGCGGGTGGGCAAGCTACTGCACACAACCTCATGTCTGCAAACAAGTTTTGATTAAGAATAGTTTTAAGCATATAAATCACACAAAATAATAACAATAACAACGAAAGAATCTGTCATTTTAACACGATTTTTTCATAATAATAATAGCGGTTTCAGCGTTTATTAGGCCAAAGGCCTGTCGCCGATTCTTAACATCGCAGAACATCCAAAGCTAGTTGCGGTCTCGAACTCACAACTCCCTGATTCAAATTCTGCTGTGCTTAACCGCCCGGCCTCCTCGCCGATTCTGACCAGAAACTGTCGCACGTACAGAGCTGGGATCGAACCCGAGCCTCTCTGCGCCAATCTTGGTACTCTGAACTGTTACCACTGGGCCATCCTGTCTGATGGCCCAGGCCCAGGTCTTCTGATGGTCTTTTAAAATTTGTAATAACATTTCGTCCATCTTTCATGACAATACAGCATCGAAAACAATACATGTCATGAAAGATGGACGAAATGTTATTCAACTTTCAGACACTTCACACAACAATTCAGACTTTTATTCCCCAATGAGGGATTTTATCTCTTCACATCACTTCTACAGAATACAGCATCGAAAACTTATAATTAAAGAGAAAGAATCAATCAACAAATGAGGAAAGAGAGTTAGAATATCTAGCTACAGATGAGTTGCTGTGTTTAGAATACCATTAACTTTCACGTGTCTGCAACGATGATTTAAATAAAAGTATTTACTTCTAGAACATTTTCATGAGCAGCGGAAAAAATTGAGAAACGGGAACCGGAGAAGCGAAAAAGGAAAGTTCTTTTTCCTCACTGTCTCACTAGATATTCATATTCAAGCATAATTCCACCAATTTTACCTGCTTCACTTCCACTGCAGCAAGGCAATCGGCACATCTTCAACACATGAGTTCAAGATGTGCTATATGGAACCATGAAGCACAACTAAAATGCCAGTGGAAACCTATAAATCTCCTTTCTAATAGTTAACTAAATGAGAAAGAACTACTGATAAAGTGATAAAGGTATGAGAGTCCAAGATACTGACGAAGGAGTTTCGTGCGATGTCAATGCACAAGTGGCTACAGAGACTCGACGTGAAGGCTCCATGGGAGAACCTGAGGCTTGCGGCTGAGAGAACAATTGCCTCGAGGCTCCTTTAAAGCATTTGTTATCAGTGCCTGAAAAGTAAGAAGACTTGCTGAAAATACAATTGTAATGTAAATAAAACAATTTATTATTGCCGATGTTGAGTATCACACAATTCACAAAAACGTCATATTGCAGGAATTTGTCGAAATGAAGACTATGGTAAGTGCTCAGATTCAGATAAAATCGTGGCAATAATTAGAAGGCAGGAGAAACTTGCAAACACAACGTCACAAGAGAATAATTTAGGAAACTTATATTCACGTCGCTATTGTCAATAAACGTAAATGTCACCAAGCATATGAATACAATGTTATAAGAAATAACTACAAAGTCCTTCAACTGTGTCGCAACAATTTTTGGACAGAATCTGAAATATACTGAACATATTTTCACATATTTTCAAAATCTGAACTATATACAGCTTAACGCTTTCGGTAATGTATTCAATTTTTTTCTAAATATAATTCCGTCCTAAATGTTATTATAAGTATATCACAATCCCAGAAAAACTTTGAATAACTTCCTTCTCGAAAAAACACAGTCAACTATAAACTCAGCACAATATGCAATCAAAACCTCTTACAACCACCTATTGTGTAGCAATGCTTGGGAAGCTTCGTCATGGGCAAGCTACGTCCGAAATACATACTAAGGATACTAAGGTTGACGGAGGGAGCATATCTCACCCAAGCGACTGCCGGGGAGCTGTCGACCAGAGGAGTTCAGCTGTCGCTCAGAGCTGTAGTGGCGGACGGGCGGGGCCGGAGAGACACCTGATTATGAAGAACTTTATGAGACAATCGTGTGAGGAAGGACTGGGGCAAGACTGCCGAATGGATATCGAACTTCAAATCAAAACTGGATATCAAATGATCCAATTCTTGGACCAATGCCACTGAAGCTGGCCAGTCAGCTGGAGTATAACACTTGTCACCTTGCACGGCATCAGTGATTACTCTGTGGTAGTCATACTTAGCTTCTACTAAGATCAGTCATGAGACGAGCAAATCTATGACAGAAGAATAAACAAAAGGATTAATATGTTGTTCTTGTTTCAGTGGCACACCGCCAGATCCACTGAAGGGAAACAACAACAGTGATTGGCGGAAGGTAGAGAGTGAAGTGAATCATGGTTGAACTAGTATAAGGTTGACCCATCAGAAGCCCATTTTTGCGGATGTAGTTCGTTGTTCGCCTGTGACGTCACTGATCTCAGTGACGACACGGGCATTAACCAATCACCGAAATGCGATCAAACCAATCAACCAATCCGTCATGGGAATGACGGGTTTGTTTACGTTTCTCGATTTACGTGACGTAACAAGAAAGCTGAACTGAAAGACGGAACTCCTCGTGGGTCAACCTTATATAGTTCAACCATGGAGGTGAATAATCAGAGCCACTGTTTCACCTCTAACTGACAAGATCATGTAATTTTATCAAGCTAAGATAAAGAAACTACCCAGCTAAATATTATTGATCAGAGAGACAGAAACAACCTCAGTTGGTAGGGCTTTGACAGGTGAGCACGTGAATTTTGCAATCAAGTTTTATCGGAAATGATTTGAATCGTCTACCATTTATGGTCTACAGTAACCGCGTTACCGGTGGAGGAATACTAAGGCATAGCTCCAGCGTGGCCTGGGACTGCTACGTCAGAAACACTTGCGTAGGTTGATGGCACACACCTTGGACGTTGTCAGTGAGGCTGGCAAGACTGCTGTAGTAGAGGTCTCGGTGCACGAAGGAGCAGTTGAAGCGGTCGCCGCGCTCGTAGTCGGTGCGGTATCGCACCTCCAGCTTGTACTGCCCCTCCGAGCAAACTACAGGCGGGAACAAGTGCGTCCCTAGGTTGTTTCCTGCACACACGGACACTTATCAGTCAATAATATTTTTGTTATTGGCTATGTTATCCTATTATTCGTCTAAAGCACGCAAAATCAATATCATGAATAGACATAAGAGAATATAATTAATCTTAGCTTGTCAGATGTTATTTACCATCTTCCGTGCCAAGAAATGGACAAACTAACTGAAAATTAGAACTGTTTACATGCCAAGAGTATATGGTTAGACTTACCAATGTCATCCTGACAGTGAATGCATTCTTTAAGCTTTTAGTTCATTTATCTTAATTATTTGATAGGGACGCAGGGATGAAGGTGTTTGCTAAAACTAACCAAGGTGCCAGATGTTGGGAGGTGTTGTAGTGAAGGCATAGACCAAGACTCACCAAGGTGCCAGATGTTGGGTGGTGTTGTAGTGAAGGTATAGACCAAGACTCACCAAGGTGCCATATGTTGGGAGGTGTTGTAGTGAAGGTATAGACCAAGACTCACCAAGGTGCCAGATGTTGGGAGGTGTTGTAGTGAAGGTATAGACCAAGACTCACCTAGGTGCCAGATGTTGGGTGGTGTTGTAGTGAAGGTATAGAACAAGACTCACCAAGGTGCCAGATGTTGGGTGGTGTTGTAGTGAAGGTATAGACCATTATGTAGTCAGACGGTGACTGATGCAAAGAAAGCTGATAGCCTGGAGCTATTCTCGTTGCCACCAGCACAGATTTAAGTATAGCCTGAAAAATAAAATAAAAGTTTCTGGTTAAAAACCTTAGTTTCAATTTAGTTAAGGACTGCATATTAAAACGTTGATCACCAACATAATATTATTATATTTATTGGCATTAATTTCCAACCATAATTTTATTTTTCCACGAAACTAGAACAACATTTCTAATACAATTTTATTAAACATCATGTAAACGTCTTAAAGATAATTTTTTGTCTCTAGGTGCCCATCTAGTGCTGCAGCCACCGCCAGTTTAGTGAAGAATAAAGCACTAGTGCTGCAGCCACTGCCAGTTTAGTGCAGAATAAAGCACTAGTGCTGCAGCCACTGCCAGTTTAGTGCAGAATAAAGCACTAGTGCTGCTCCCACTGCAGTTTAGTGCAGAATAAAGCACTAGTGCTGCTCCCACTGCAGTTTAGTGCAGAATAAAGCACTAGTGCCAGTTAATTAAATGCAGAATAAAGCACTAGTGCCAGTTAAGTGCAGAATAAAGCCCTAATGCTGCATCCAAAGCCAGTTAAGTGGAGAATAAAGCACAAGTGCTTCACTCACTGCTAGTTTAGCGTAGAGTTGCATGGTGTCATTGTGTCGGGACAGAGCAGACGACGAACTCTGGGTCATAGCCAGAGACCACATCTCCACGGCCACCAGCTCATTGTCATGTGTCTGCAGCAGAATCTGTCACATCAAAGCAGATTAAATCAGGGAGATGAAGCAAGAAATTTTCTGCATCATTAAATGAAGCTAGCTGTTCTTTCTAGTGGCTCTTAATTCCTACCCAAGAATTTATGAGATACTGGATAGCCTATTTTTCATTAGATTGCTGGGAATATCATCAATCAGTAGTTATTACTTATTATAAATTGGGAAAAGCAGTTTATTACAGGTTTTTTTTGGGACCTGGTAAACAATCACAAATTTTTGACAAACATTGGCGTAGGTGTGCTGATCAAATTTAAAATCAGAGGTATGACCAGAGATGGCGTGCGCTTATCACTCAGCACAGAGAATGAACAGGCTGGGGTAAGGTTTTTTGACCTGCACAGTGAAGGTTTGGTCTGGTGTGAGGTGTACTGACCTGCACGGTGAAGGTTTGGCCTGGTGTGATGTGTACTGACCTGCACAGTGAAGGTTTGGCCTGGTGTGAGGTGTACTGACCTGCACGGTGAAGGTTTGGCCTGGTGTGAGGTACCAGTCTCCGATGAGGTTGTTGAAGTGTTCACTAATCTCAACGTTATCCAGCAAGTCCAGGTGGAACTAATCAAAAAATAAATACATCAGAAACTTGGTTTTGTTGAACAAAATAAAAATAGACAAAGAAGACTACGATGAGCTTTATTCAAGACTCATCAGGATTAGTTGAATTTGACCATTTTTATACATTTTTCAATGCTTATAGTCATTTGAAAATCATAAAATTCTTCATGTTGAGGAAGTTTACAGGTTAAAAAACGAAAACATAAATATTGAGAGAATATTTTTTATACCTATTGAAATTTTTTTAATGCCAGATGATTTGGGGGGTTTTGGACCAATTCATCTTATTCTTAAGTATTATTGTGGCCATCTTACTCAGTTTAGGTCTTCCTGAACTTAGATACTTGGTGAGTTGGCTTGACAGGGTTTAGTAGCAATGCCAATATACAAATAATACCATAGTAGCAAATCTTGAACAATTATATATCTCTTGAGGATTAGGCACAGAGAAATGCAAGACTAAATATTAGATTCAGGGAAACCACTATATATATAGTCCACAATACCCCATACCAAAAGAAATACTCCTCTCCATATAGAACAAATGTTAGGATACAGAAGCAAAAACAACATCAAATATAACAACTGGATACAATTCATAACCTGCTACAAAAGACCCAAAGCAACCAACCACATCACAAGAACCAACACAAATTCACAATTACCTGAACTCAAATATGTAAATTAATAAACAAACAGTAGGTATACAATTACACCTACAATTGCAAGAAGTACAAGCCATGCAACTATTTTAACTAATCTATTGCATTGATTATATGGGCAATTTTCATTTAATATAAAAAACATGTACTAGAAAGCCAACTGGATCTTTATGCACTTTTTGTAACTCCTCAGTTTAACTCATGTACTTAAATGTTAGATAAAACATGGTAAGTACAGATGGACACTCTTAGCAGTTAAGGAAGTTTATAGCAAAATTGACATGTAAAAAAATTTAATAACATGTAGGTTAATACATGACTTCACAAAGTAGGAGAATTCAAAGCAAGATACGTATTGCAAAAAAACCCAAAATTACAAAACATAGAATTACAACAAATAAATAAAATTACAATGACAAAATTACAAATTACATTATAAAATCAAACTAAATTTATTAACCACAAAGAAACAAGGGAAGCACACCTTACTGTCAGCCACACCAGCCACATGCTGTAGCTCCAAGTCACTTTCCACAATCTCCTGTAAGTGAAAACTCATGTTACTGATAAGGCTATATTTATGCAGGGGAATTCATGTCTAGCCTGTAAACAAATAATTGAAGCAACTAAATTACATATAATCCTCAAATACTCAAATGAAAATTTATGTAAACGGCTGGAATGCAACAGCAAAAGTTCAAAGTCTGTACATATTCAATTATCCAAAGAAATTATATTATATTTCATAACAATAAGAATTTGCATATTTGCTCAATATAAAATTTTTGAATATAAATGAAAATTGAAAATAAAAATTGAATTGAACTTCATTTTGAAGTTCTACCACCAGAAATCAGTTTGAAATTAGAATGCAGAAATATTAATGAAAATTTGACAATTATTATTGAGAAAAATTAATAAAGTATTAAAAGGATTGGCTTGAGTATCTTACCCAATCTTTTGTTTTGTCATTTACTATAGTTTTCTTGGTGCCATATCTTGACTGGACAACAACTTGGGCCAACTTGTGCATAAAGCAGCGCACAATGTGGCGATGCTGGAGAGGCTCACGACTGCTACATTCCATGGCTTCCTTGCAAGTTTTGCCAAGCAAAGAAAACTTGACTTTTACCATCCTTAAGTATTCAGTTAAACCATCTTGTACACACTTCCCTAAACATGGATATTTCAGAATCTAGGTATATTTAGGCACTGAAAAGACTTGTTATAAACATTTTGCAAAATTACAAAGCTTCACTCAATCTGCCTGGATGATCATTAGTTCAATGCTGCTCAAAATGAGTAAATGAATGAATGAATGACCAGATAAGAGCCTTAGTTTGAATTGAAAAATATGATAGGTATTGAATCCCAGTTTTTAAACTTGTTTACCTAATCATTTTACGTGCTGCATCTACATGACAACTATTATACTGGCCAAATCAATGGATTGTTCTCAGTGGCCTACACTCAGTACACTGCCAAGTGCCAACTGAATAAGTTTAGCAACTAACATGACATGCTTAACATTTTGCTGTTGGCTTTGTTGAAGATGTATAGTTGACCTCACAGTCACCCAGGCCAGCTGTAACATCTTGCCATAATGACATTGCTTTTGCAGTTTCATTTACAGCAAGAAACAAATTTTCATTGGTTTGTAGGAGGCATGGTAACTTTTCAAAATCAAGGTGTCTGCTGGTTTTTCTGACTGTGATGATTGCACTTATAAGTTATAGGACTCCAAATAACAGGAGATCACTAGGACTTAGGAGAGTTGTGCTAAACATCATTTGCATCACAATTGATCTAATTATTAGGAAAATTTTAAAAATGAACTAACTCACATAAGGAAACCTGTGTAATTTTGAGAATATGAGTAAATTGTATATTTTAAATATTTTATGATATAGTGTAATTTTAGGTGCCTGTTCTTTTATAATTGATTTCAAGACTCTTGGTATGAAGAGATCACATTCACACCTCCCACTCGGGCCACTTGCAGTCTGAGGCAGAGGCTCTGAGCTGACTGAGCAGTGGAGCACAAATTGATTTTTATTCAAGCCTTTTTTCTCTTGCCACCAGCTGTTTTACAGTTCAATTTCTAGCTCACTCTCACCAGCCTGTGGTTATTGTGACTTGTGTGAAAGAAGAGATAAAAGAATTAGTTACCAACTTACTGGGCATATTCATAGTTCATAGTCAAAGGGTGTTTACCAAAATTACCATGCTGCAGTTCAGCAACAGCAGGTATTATCCCAGCTGATAAATTGCTACTGTGCATATTTTCTGAAGGATAACTCCCCCACTAAGAGCTGATTATGCTGATACAAGGTTCCAAGGAAAGGAAGTGAAATATTTTCCAAGTTGGAGCAAAACTCCCTCCTCTGGTTTGTGTAGACTGTAGAGACTAGTAGAGTAAACACTGCAAGAGTTGAAGAGTGCTAGATGAAATGATTAATACTAATGGTGGCGGATATGGCGCCGTCCCGCCGTGCCTGCCGTTGGTATTGCAAGTAGGAGTGTAGGACACATGGTACTGAAATTATGCATATTAAAATGAACCAAGTAAGCCCTCATGCAGACAGACACTCAACAGATGCAGTCATGCCAGCATGGCCAAGTTGCAGTCGCAGACAAGCCACAGCACATTCCATAGAGCATGGCCATGCCGCCATGGTAAAGATCCATAAGCCACATAATCCACTGCTGCTGAGCTACTCCCAGACCCCAGTCATCCCAGACCCAGCTCGGCAGCCTGAAGGTTCCTTTTCCTGAGGCCTGCACTTCTTTAGTTCTTGTGACCACCAGGATGAGGATTCCGAATGTTCCAAAAATTTGGATTTCAAAATTCATGGCCAATCCTCAAAGCAAAAAGCATTCATAATGTGGATTTTGCAGAGCGATCATTTGAGTGTGCAAGATTGGCAATTCTGTCAGCAATTTCATGGTATTATTGCAGATTAACTACATCCAAAAAAAAGGGTGTAAAAAAAAACACCCTTTTTTTTGGATGTAGTTAATCTGCAATAATACCCAATTTCATTGCCAAGAATTTGATTGTGCGTGACCATGGATCCAGCACATCACCACTCTATCGAGCAACTTAGTCTGCTTCAATTTCTGCATTTGAAAGACAATCATCTAGAAGAGCCACTGAGCCACCTTAACTTTAAATGGAAGAAATCAACTGAAGTCGCAGTGCTGCTCGAGAATCAGACAAGATCCAGAACTGGTCAACTGGCTAATTCTGTACTCAGCTGTAGAGATACGTCCATGATGGGATTGATGGCTGAATCTGCACAGCCTTGTATAACGTAAAAAGTTCAGAACCCAGTATTACTATTACTCTATTTAGTCTATTAGTAGTAGGAGCCTCGAGCCTGTGTACGTGTAGTTTATGAGCCAATGTTGCTGTTTACTAACGTGTACGGTGTAAGCTGCGTAAGCTCTGCGTTTTCCAGAACGAATACGGAGCAATACTTCACTCAACTATTGTATCTAAGTATCTTATGTGTGAGGCTGTACGCGAAAAATTATTAGCTGATAAGGAATTAGGAAAAAAATTAATAAGCGTATTAACCATAGTTATTTCAAAATTTTCATTCGGTGTTCAGCTTCATCATCAGATCAAAATTGCAACGAAGTTCAAAATTATTTTTAGTGATGTGTTTTAGTGAAAAATGAATTAAAAAAACCTAAACGATCTGTGGTAAACAAGGCCTATGCCTCAATTTTTTTTTTTTGCAATTCCAAAGCGTGAAGGGTGGAAGCATGGTTGAAAGCGAAGGGTGGAAGCATGCAATTCCAAAGCGTGAAGGGTGGAAGCATTTAATTCAACCATGGGTGGAAGAAGGCTGGTTTTTATTTAAAAATTTCCAAGCCATTTTCAGGTTCATAGGTTTCAATCTCTTGATTATCATTCATTACAGTATAATACGCATGAAAAGACATCCATTATTAAAGATTTTCATAACATTGAGTTATCTCGTCAATTTTGCTAGTAGCAAGAAATTGTATGCCTCGAGTTGAATGCGAACGTCATTTTCCCTGTTAATATGTGTTGCACTTGAGTTCTGTGAGAACAAAAATCTGTGAGATTTGTTGAGATGCTGCTTGGATAACTCGAATGACTTTAATTGCGCGTAGTAAGTATGCGCACAACATCGGCCGGATGCACTTATCGTCTCATTATCTCATATGGTAAAGACGATAGTAAAAGGACAAATAGGAACATGAGTAAACAAGATTATAAATTCTTAAGAGGCTGAGGTATCGCCGTCAGGTCACATCGAGTCCTATGGAGTAATTGGCAGTTTATGCTTAGGGGAAATTTAACTGACGACGCCGGCAGTTGCATAAACGAGCATTTGAGCCTTGGAGTTTCAGAGGACGATACAGCTACCTCCGTCAGGGCGCACGACGTTATACTTCAGGAATGTGGAGAATAGACCATCTTCGAACAACGGCCGATTTTTTTAATTATAGCACCTGATCGAACCCACGAGTCACGACGACCATGCAAGTTATGGACCACAAGGGCTGCGAGACATCGACGTTTTTGACACTTATGCGCTTAGCTTGCGACTATTTTGATAGCTAGCTATTTCTGATTTGAAAGTAGATCAACGAAAGATATCCTCTGATGAGGATAAGACCAACGTTCTTAATCAGTTCTTCAGTAGCGTATTCAATGAAGAAGGCTTGAACAGTATTCCAGCTATTGAGGAGCGCCCAGTCGGCTCTAAATTAATTAACAAGTTTTGAAATACGAGAAGAAGAGGTTCTCAAGCGCCTGATTGCTGTAAATCCAAACAAGTCATGAGGACCGGACGGCTTCCACCCCAGATTACTCAAAGAGTTAGCAACTTTCCTAGCCGGCTCTATGCATATCGAAGGTCAAGTTAATAAAGCCAATAAACAACTTGGACTGGTCAGCCGCTCTTTCCAGTTCCTAGATGCAGAAGCGGTGAAGCAGTCGTTTGTTGCTGTCGTGCGCCCGAACCTAGAGTTTGGAAACGTCGTGTAGTCACCAAAACTTAAAGGACAAAAATTTAGTCGAGTGTTGAAAGACGTGCAACAAGGATAATTCCGGGCTTGAAAGGCAAGTCCTATGAGGACAGATTAAAGATTATGAAGCTTCCAAGCCTCAGTTATCGTCGTCTGCGTGGTGACTTCATCGAAGTATCCAAGTAAACTCATGGTTTATACAAAGTCCCTGAAGGATTACTAGAATTTGACGCAAGAAACAACACCAGGGGCCACGGCTATAAATTACAAAAAACTGCGTTGTAAGTTTGTAACACATCCATGCGACAACATTTCTTCTCGCTTCCAGTCACCGACATGTGGAACAGCCTCCCTGATAGCATCGTTGACGCTCCGAGTATGAACGCCTTCAAGAACAGACTAGACGAAGCTATCCAGATGCATTTGTTCAGTCTTAAAATACCTAGCAAATTACGGACCAGGCAATAAGTCCAGCAGCTATCTCAATCAATCGTCAGTTATGGAAAGATCGGGTTCCAAAGGCCGTATCCCTTGTGAATCAAGTCACGAAAAGTCCAAGAATCGGCAACAGGCCATGGGCCTATTTTATTAGTGCCGACACGTCTATTCTATTCTATTACCTACTTCGAAGAAAATATTTCGACAATATGATCTTAATGAAAATGATCGTTCAGGACAAGTCCTATTGAACGGCATTGCATCGGATTTTAAGGCAATATCATTCAAGTGTTTACACTACTACTCCATCACTCCATGTATGAGAACACATGCCGAGCTAATTACATCGAGACTATTATTTTTTTTGTACAGATTAAAGACAAGGTCAAAAATAAACAATATCACAGCCTCGTTTTATTTGATGTAGTGAATATAATTATTATCAGTACGATATCAATGGCAATATTTCTTCAAGAAGTTTCCACCAACGAAACATACGAACAAAGACGAACTAATTGAAGAATACATAAACGTCCTTTGAACTCCTATTAGTTACAGCAGCTGGAGTAATAATTTTCCTTCGTCCGTAAAATAAACGCAGTCGAATTACCAACGTTTACAAGCTTCGGAATAATGATGCTTGTAATCGTCTATTGGCAAAAAAAATGCAAACCGGATAAATGATACAATTCAAGAATACAAGCAAGAATCAGTTAACTAAGATAATGACAAGAAAAATCGCTGCAAACCAGCTCCATGGTTCTGTCAAAATGTTAAGAATGAAGCTATAAGATACTTTCAGCTGCATTCTTCCAAATTAGCTGCATTAAAAAAAATTCAGCGGCGTTCAGCTCCAGTCCAAATTAAATAGTTGCCATGAATTGATTGAATAGCACTACTCTACAAGAACTTGGGCTAGAGGAAACACATCCAGTAAAACATATTAGCATCATAACAAAACCATTACTTAAATCGACTACTGAAAGACAATGAAATGGTTGAGAAATTAAAAGGAACGGACCTGTTAAAAGCCTACGTATCTGTTACAAATTTTATGCGGATGAGAAGTAAAAGCGTTATTAACGTGAAGTTTCTGATCATAAATGCAAAGGAATAAAAATTTTCTCGAATTGGAAGTAACCAGGAATCCAGAATGGAGGCACGTGGTGTTTATAGTTAATACGTGGTGTTTATAGTTAATACAAAGAAATAGAGACACGGTAAACTATTGCAGATTTATACCTCGCTTGTAAATTAGATCCAGTTTTCAGCCTATGATAATAGAAAAATAGGTCCCTTGAGATGGAAGTGCGTTCTTACAGGAAGTCAAAGCGATTCTGCAGAGATTTCCTGTGGCACTAGAGGCCGCCGTACTAGGATCGTGGTTGTTATTCCCTCGAGTCTATACAAGATCTCTTTCAGTGCAATTTCGTAATCGTAACTGCAATGGAAGCTGTTACGGACCTTGTTTTTCGGCTGCCACCTTGTGTGAATAGGGTTTCAAGGCTAAAATAAAATCTTCTGCTGGAATGTTCACCCTGCTTGGTTGATTTCTTGATATTTAATTGCATGCATTCACACCTAGCAATTCCCGGTAAGTGTACCATCCTGATTCCACAAGTAAGGCAACTATGGGGCCTAAATTCCTGCCTCCAGATTCTTGTGCTTTGATAACTGATTCTAGATAGTCGTTACGGGTGGTAGGGGCGAACACGTTGTAAATGGGGCAAGGAAACGGGCATACCAGATACAGGCAATGACTAGCCAGCAGCCGGCACATTCTGCCGTTGCCATCAGAAAAAGGATGAAGAGCTACAAAATTATAAAGCAACCAGGCGGCACACCGGAAATACAATGAGATTTCTAGCTTAGGTTCCAAAGAAGACTTTTTAATATATTCAACTGTGCTATTGTATGTGTCTACCATCTGAAGAATGTGTTTGTATGCATCATCAGTGGAATAAAAGCGCGGATAGTAGTGTATTTTGCCGTTATAATGCGCAAATCGATCTTCCGTAGAGAACTCGCCCAGTTTATTAGATGACAATAACTTGTTCATCAAGATCTCATGAGTGTCTTGAATGCATTCTTCTACATCCAGTAAGCCTTTGCTCTCACCATCCTGGTTTATAGCTTCAAGATGGTTGATGGCATCTAACAAGTTCCTGGTGACTTGTTCTTCCCGTGTGAAATTGCTACACGTTTTATTAATTGCGTTCTTAGTTGAAGCCATATCTAAGGTGCCTTCATCTTCTCCCAAGTTAGCAGTGAGAATGAATTTTAGTTTAAGATAATACAATTTTTCATGATATTCCAAGGAGTCAGAAGGCCTCATAGTAGTTCTCAGTAAAACAATTTCTTGAAGCATGTCACTGATGGATGGTGCATTAGAATCACCTCTCCACAACGGATTCTCAGGAATATCCAGCTGACTAAGGAAGTTGTACACTCCTCTTGCAACGAAATCTCTTTGTCCGACATCAGTGGCTTCATTCTCAATACTAGGGATGGTGTCTTTGACGTGACTCTGAAATTAATAGAGAACTCTTACACATCTGTTCACCACATAATTTTGAACATGCAATGACCGAAGTAATAGCACTAAAATTGTACAGAATTCATCTCCACTATTTTAAAACTATATTATTATTAACGGAAAATTAGTAAGATACAAATATGTTATAATAGTAGTTCAAATGGATAGCAAATATGAATATAATGTTTGGTACGTAAAGGTTGAATTTAGAATGTTGCATTAACTTCCAATTTACCAGCTTCTAAATTTATGGTTTTAATGATGCAAATATTAGTGTCATGATAACATTTTTTTTTTTTGAAACCACAATTTAACACATATTAGAGAAAATGCACATGGGCCACTGAGGGGGCTAATAATCATACATATTTCCAACAAACCACACCAATTTTCATAACATTTTCTCCACCAGCTGATGTCTGGTGGTAACTAGTCAGACATAAATGCAAGAACATTTGCAAGCTGCTTCACTGGAAACTATAAAAGCATATTAACATTCAATACTTGATTGGGATAATTCCATAGATAGGAAATCACTCCAGATATCAAATGGCATTTAATAAGAAAAATAGATAACTTGAAAATCAGATAAAGCAATGATCTTTAAACCACTTTGAAGAATAATTACCTGTACATTTCAACATTACTTGTATTAGCACAATGAGCATAGTCACTTACTTCTTGTAATTGAGATCCCATGTTCAGGTGTGTAGCATTGAAATATTCTGCAAAATAACGGCAACACTTTTTCACTGGAAAGAAAAATTTTTGATAATTACAATGCTGGTCTATTGAAAATTTAGAACAGAATGTGTTCAGCATAAGAAGCAAACATTATTAAAAAATATTTTCTTATTTGGAAATGATTTTGGGAGGATGGTTAATGCAAGTTGTATAAGGAGATGTCTTGGTCCAAATCAAATTGTTGCCATGACTTGTTTGAATAGCACCACAAGAACTAGGACTAGAAGAAACACATCCTGTAAAACATACGTATTAGCATCAGAATAAGAATTGATGCCTAACAATTTTTACCATGGAGTTGATAATATGCACAAAAACACAGTATGCAATAAAATTTTGTCTCATTTCTTGCTCTCAACAATGACTGTCAAACAAATGACAGTCAACAATGATAATATAGATGGATGCAAGTATTTATTCAATGAAATTGTGAAAATGAAATTTAGAATTTAAAGTCAGTGTTAGAATGAGAGTACCGGTAGCATATTAAATGAAGTTGAAGAAAGACAAGTCACTGTGTCCAAAGGCTGCCTAGAGGCTATAGAAGTCAATGGAGACCCAATACAGCAATAGGCAGATTATTTCCTACATATATACATACTCATACATAATCACCTGCAATCATAATGCAATGAAATCATAAAAACCAATCATCACCATTACTAAACACTAGTGACCATTAATGAGTGGGAAGGACATTTTTCCTGGAGACTTCTGAAACAAGCAAGACAATTATTGTTGGAAAGACAGGAACAATTTTAAACAACACATTTTCTCTGATGTGGACAGAGCTGGGCAGCGCTACTTGGAAATGTAGCGGCGCTACCGCTACCGCTACATGCTCTAAATGTAGCGGGCGCTACCGCTACCGCTACACCCACTGGATTGTAACGGGCGCTACCGCTACCGCTACAGTAAAATGTAGCGCGCTACATTAGCCGCTACAATGACTAAAATTATATCAAATCTCTAAATATTCATTGTTCTGCTATTGGGATTTACTCATTAACATTTAATGATAATAAAACATTTTTAAAAAACATATCAATGCAACTTTATTGCAATTAACCTAACCGAACTAGTATGGGTTACCCCAGGGTTAGATACAGTAAATAAAAGTTACAGTTATTTTTATGTTTTACCTTCCCTACATGGATGTGAACTTAAATCTACCAATCTAAGAAATTATCCACATTTTTTTAATTTACATGAACAAAAAGGTCTTAGATTTCTGTTTTACATATGTGTACCAAGTTTTAAAACGATCTGTCTGTAAACAAAAAAGTTTTGTTGGAGGGTAGACGGTCCCCTTAAAGTAAAATCTAAAGGCTTTATCTATAAATGTAGCGGTAGCGCTGTAGCGGCAAAACCTCGTATCGCTACTTAAAAATGTAGCGGGCGCTACCGCTACCACTACATTGCCTTAAATGTAGAGCCGCTACCGCTTCCGCTACTGAAAATGTAGCGGCCGCTAGTAGCGGCCGCTACATGTAGCGCGCTACTGCCCACCTCTGGATGTGGAATATATCTACATTTCAAGCTGTGACTACAGCTTTCCTGCCATTCTCAGAGGCTCAGAGCCACAAGATTAAAAATTTTTATGAAATTGGACACTTTGAAGCTGCAAGATTTTATTCATAAGTAGGAAAATTCCATTCAGGTACTCCTTAGTCCTTAAAAAATGCTTTACTTGTATTCCACTGTGCAGAGAGTGGATGAATATTGCAAGATCTTTGGCGACGCTTCAGTAGCAAAATTTACGCCTTCAGAAGATCTTGCTGACACATTTAGATTGTAATTCTTGCATTTAATATATTTGTCAGTCTTTGGCAACTATTTAGAAAAAAAAGTAAGGTTTCCGGTGCGTTGGATGGATCAGGATGCAGTAAAGCTTGTCCGGAAATCGGTTGCGATGAGTTCCCACCAAAAAAATGTAAACAAAATGTAGTTGCGGTCACATTAGAGCGGTCAGACTGCATCATCACATGTTCAGTTGACACTTGCTGTACAATCGGACTGTTTTTATGGTAAAATTAGTAATTTGGGGTAACACGTGCATGCAACCTTGTAAATAAGTTTGTGGCTTGTAAATAGTTTTTCATTACTCAGCATAAATGGCTTTTCATTAAAAATTACCTGGCGACGCATCTTGAAAATGGTCAGTGATGCTTTGGGCTTAAAAACCCATATATTGGCGATGCTGCTTCCACCTTCTGCACCCTGGCTTGTATTCCAAGAATAAAGCAGGCATGGAATATATCTACTTGGCAAGCCACAACTGAATTTTTTGAGCCATGGTTTTATGGATTTGCCAGCAGCAATTCAATTTTTTCAAGCCATGATTCCATTTCTTTGAGCCATGAATTTCAAATCTTGGCCATGAAAAGCCATTAAAAAGCTGCACAAGTTTTTACAAAGTCATACATGTGTCACCCCAAATCTCTAATTTTACCCTGAAACAGTCAAACAGCAAAACTAACACTTGGCTTCACTCAAGAGTCAAGACTCAAGTGGCAACTGTACACATGATAATACATTCTGATCACTCTGACATGCCCGCAGGCTGCAGCTAGGTGATCTTCAAGCCTCAGCCAGTCAGCCCTCAGGGTCCAGGCCAGGCCCCAAGGAAACATTTTGGGTTGACTTATTGACTGTTATTAGCTACGTTTTGCAGGATATTTTGGCAAGAACATTGAAGTAATGCAGATTGCGCCATCATTGCGCAAGTTGAAAATTTTATGAACAACAGGTTTGCAATTTGCAGACCGCAATTTTAGAATCTAACAATTACATGACATTACAGTCTTTACTGCATAACCTACCTAGGTTGGAGTGTTCAGTGTTGGACAGTTGGACTTTGCACTTTGGACGCCATCATTAAAAATAAGGCTGGTCATATTGAATAAATACTTTTGAGAATTGTTCAAGTAGTTCTTGACTTCAGCTCATCTAATAAAAAATTAATTCACCCGTTTTTTCATTGAAAAATAAGAAAAACATGCGTGCCATAAAGCATAAATATGGCAGAACCTGTCTAACAGTAACCGGCACAGCCTAATACGTAGGCTAATCTGCCTAATCAGATGTCAAATTTAGAATGCTTCAGGCTGACTATATAACCTATAAGAGCATGCACTATATACTAACCTATAATTGCACTATACCTGCAGCTGCAGGCTCCACTCGCACCAGAAGCAGAGTGGACTCACTGGACTGTTGTAAAGAAGTGGATATTCGGTTCTCAGGAGACTTGACTCAGTGAACCCGGAACGCACGTTTTATTTGGAACCAGCTGAAAAGTGAGAAAACAAAGACAAGCGACAAGAGGATGTCATGTTTCGCTAATTAAAGTTAACAATGAATGAAAATTATTTGAATAAATTTCTTATAAAAAATTTCAAAACTTTATTAATATAAGTAGTTAGGCCTATGTACAATATAGTCATAGTTCATTTCTTCATTAATATTAGTTAAAATAGTTCATTGCTCATATGACTAATTTCATAATATCAGTTGAAATTACGCAAATATCAAACTAATGAACAGATTTGAACGAAATTTTTACCGAATCGACACTTTAGCGAACTCAAGCGCGAACTCAAGCGCGAGCTCATGAGGCAAACCTAACTTCACCTTCAACTTACCCAGTCATAAATCCATAAATACCGAACGGATTTCTTTCCAATTTGAAATATAAGTAGATAATATTAGTAATTTGCGGACAGATTTATTTCAAATTTTTACATCAAATACTTTTATATTAATACGGAAAACATGACTTCATGTTTAACTTACCCAGTCATAAATTAGGTGAAGTTAGGTTTGCCTCTTGAGCTCGCGCTTGAGTTCGCTAAAGTGTCTATTCGGTCCTTCCAACTGTGGTTTAGCTCGCACAATTTTTTTCCGATTTTGCCTTTGTTTGCGAGTTATCCGGCTATACGTATAGCCGGATTGATTTTCGACTCTTGGCATTGGCATTGACTCTTGGTCAATGCCAATTTAAAAATCCATGGTTGAATTAATTCAACCATGTAAAAATCGGCCTCATATGCCGGTCGTATTTCCGTATACGGTATACCCGTATAACTCGCGGACGAAGGCAAAAAAAAAAAAACGAAAGCGAAATTTAAAAAATTTTCACTAGCCAAACATCACCGTTAGGTCATAATGAATAGGTGTACCAAGCTTCATCGAACTGCGTTTCTTAGTTTGGGAGATATTCCTTGATCATTTTGAATATTTGGAGATTGGCCGTAAGACCGGCCGAAGTTGTCTGAGACGTCAACATGAAGTTCGCTGAGCTCAATTCCAAACTTTTGCCTGCTAGATCAACGGTAAGTAACAATTCTTCAAACATATTTCGAATTTTCGGAGAATTTATATACTAATACGATAACTTTATTAGCTTGATAAGATTGACGGAGTGCACAATCCAATCACATACGAGTATCTGACAGTTTCTCATGAAAATGACGCTCAAGTGTAAAACACGCGGCGAACGAAAAATTCATTAAATGCGGGGGATAATCAGGTGATTGCGTAAGTAAAGGAGCTAGAGAAGCAATGAAATATATCTACAAACAAGTGGAGCAATTACAACCACGACTTTTCACATTTTATTAACTCCAGGCTCCTGTGCTATCTAGTTTAAAACGATCTACCCATTGCCTGGTATTACACGTTCAGCTGTCATATATGATATCTCCAGTAGTACACAAAGCAGTGGTTGCAAAATTATTCAATATTAACGGTCATCAGGTTATTTGTTAAAAATCATCACCCCGCACGTGCTGGTAGGGCTCACAACAAATTAACGATCTGCATTGAGGTTATCTGAAACGCTTATATCTGTGAAAGCATTTAACTCGGAAAGATCGGCGTGATTAAATCTCAAGTCAATTTATCACTTAATCATTGTAGGACACCACTCCTCACTTGACAATAACACATTATCACTCGTTAATGCGGTTTACAGTAACAATGACATCGCAAAGTATCCAAGGTTTAACGCTTACGTGTCGAACAAATATCTAAAAAAATAATGTGGAAAGAGGAAAACAAGGTGAAACCATCCCTCACTCAATGTAAACCACAAATCTGCACTTTGACAGTAATATTTAGCACTCGATAATAAGGCTTAAAACAGCAATGACCCAGTCAGGTTTCAGAGGTTCAACCTTATTTCTCTCAAAGTATATTATACTAAGAGTGTGGGAGTGCGTAAGGATGTCTTATAAGTCCTAGTGAAGGAATGTCACGTAGTTTTATTAAGGATGAGTTCATCGGCATGAACATCATCGGAAAAGCATGAGACTAAAGTGGGGACGTTCGACTGAATTCTGACATATCTCATACAGGGAAGGAGAGAAACCGATGGTCAAAAAATGCACAGTTAATTAAGCAACATAAAGTGCATGGAACACACAGTTCAAGCAACACGAAAGAGTGCTTTGAATGATGCTGAGCGTACGATTTAATAAAGGTTAAATAGAAACAAATTTATTTGGTTCCACGAAATATATTTAAGCAATCTCTGATGTAAAACAAAATGCTTTCACAATACGTTAATAAAGCACTTATCACACTCGCAAATTCAGTCATCAGCCCACGTTTTTTTTAACTTTAGCTTTTCTTCCAGGAATGACTGAATGAAGAAATGTAACGATCGGCATTAAAGTGAGAAAGAATTAAACATCAAATGGTTTACCTTCGATGTGAAAAAGATATTATTGAGGTATTACCACGATTCAGAAATAGCATGGTGCTTTCACATTGAGCCGGTAAACATAGAGTGAGGAGTAAATAGATTACGCGATAGATAGACCACATTGTGACAGTCTCACTGACAGATAATGCTCCATAATACCTCCATTACAGTAATGGGACATAGTTCACGAGAACCCTCTATAAAATAGATAAAGGCTTATTGAAAAGTTCATGATAATTTTAGTGCTCCATGTAATGATCGTAAGGGAAATTGGCATGATTATGCTTGGTAATAATCCAGTAAATGTAATTCATTGATATCGTAAGATCGAAAAGAAATGTACATATATTAAAATAAAAGTAATCAAATAAATTTCACGTTACATCACATTATTTCTGAATGAAGCTGAGTCGATAAAGTTGGAACATAATAAATTTCTTACAGTTTTCAATTTTTGCCGATATTGTGGGTGTTCTGGGGCTTGTCAACTCGGTAGAGCACCTCAGCCAAGTTGTAGTATGCTTCGTACTCGACGGTGTCGGGCGTCACGTCATAGTGGTAATGTCCTCCGTACTCTGCACCGTATCCATGAGAATGCTCTAGCCTGAGGTCCAAACCCGGATCAGAAGACACCATCACACTAAAAAATATCATAGGTGCAGCCATCTCAAAGTATTTGAGCCAGTTCGAAACTTCTTCGTCATTGTTCAGAGCGATTTTCGAAAAATTCGGCATGATGTGACATTTTGCTGCACCTGAGAGCATTCGAAAAATGCCCCCAAGCCCAACTACTTTGTTCGGAAATCCTTCAGTGATCGCTTTTCTAATGCAGCTCACGAAGTTTTCTTCACCAATTCGTTGACGAGCACGTACCTTCAAAACTTTTCCAGGTGCTCCTTCGCAAGCAAAAAGGTTTACCATCAACGAACAGCATGCTTGATCCTTGGCAAGGGAGACAAGCTCATGTCCGTCCCCAGACAACTTACTAACCTTCGAATTATTGTCTGCGTTGGTGCCCGTACGCAAGTTAGGCATCATCTCACTGTTCATACCGACGATTTCGTGCGGCCCTCCTCCAGCGCCGACTATGAAACTATCAGGCAAATCAATGAGCTTCGCCAGCTCGTTGAAGTCATAGTTTTTGCTGAGGTCAGCGAAAGGGACTAAATAAGGTGGCCCCCCGACGTCAGCAATGCGAGTGGATCCAGCGAGACCAGCAGCCGGCAAGTTGAATGGAGCTTTGGTAAGATCAGGACACTCTTCAACACTCACTGACACTTCTTTGAAATTTTTTTCCAAGCCTTTACGCAAAATAGAACAGATATCTTCTAGTGGCGAGGTAAAAAGTCTCACAGATTCAACAGGCCAAGACATTTTGATTTTAATATCTGAAAAATAGGAGATAACGGATAACATCAAATCTGTTCTGTGCAGTGACTAAACACCTGTATCAGCAGTAAAAGGCGGGGCAACATAAGTGAATAAAAGGAAAAATTTTCTCGGTGTAATCATTATTCAGTTATTGATAGGTATTTACTGTTCAATATAATTCTATCTATTGGTTTGGAATAAACTCGAAAGAGATGAAATGACCAGGACTAGGAGGGACAGGTGAGAAGCAACAAAAACTACGACACTGGAACATGAGGTCGCTTACACGGGACGTCGGCCGCCCGCACGAGAGAGACAGAGAAGGGAAATGTAAGGAAGTCTACCTACATAATAACTTAACCCCACAACTGAAGCCCGCAGTCGGGTACCGCGAGCTCAGCGGTGGGGCGCTCGGCCCGCCTTAAGGAATAATCCCCCTAGGAGCGCGAAGTCCCATAGGACTTCTGACGAGCACAGACGCGCGTCAGAAGTCCCCACTGAGGGGAAATTGTATCACAAGATTCAAGGCTAAGACAATATATCAATTCAATTAAAATCAGACGTTTGTAAGGGATCGTTCGCCCGAACTTTCTACAGGATAAAAATATCTTGCAGCATTGTATAAAAAATTCAATGCTAAGGCAATATATCGATTCCTTAGGAATCAAGCGTTTCTGAGCGATCATTCGCGTGAAATCTCTATAGGCCAAAGATGAGTTTATCGTTTATGAACGAGCATTCCACAGTCGCCACCAAACGAGAAAGATATATATACTCTAGTAACCAAAAATTTTATGCAATAACTTTCAGTTTGACGCTGAGACGTCACTTAGGCCTCACACGATAATAATTTCACAAGGGAGTACCATGCTAAGTAACAATATGGTCAATTCGGCACGTCAATGCAAACGTAAACCATAAAATTCTGTTTGAAATATCGAGTGATGATTGCTTAACGTCGAACTAAGTAATAGTGCGTCTTAGGTTTAATCAAATTTATCAACCCAACCGATAAGAAACATACGCCGGCTGTTGTCCAGCGAGTAGCACTCGATATTAAGATTCAGAGAATTACTTTTCAACGAATTAACAACTTGGTCTTATTAATAAAAATAAAGTTTCATAAAAACATCGTTAAAAAATAACAAAATAATAAGCAATTAACTGTTGGCAAAATATAATGACGCCTGAAATTGTCGTAACCTACCATCGGCATGGACAGGGCCAGACTGGCCTCGAGCTGCCAGCTGCCCACAATTCACTTGTGTTTATTTTTTTTTATGGAGCTACTTGCTGCTCTAGCAAGTTTTTTTTGTTAGGCTGATAAGCTCAGGTTCATCCTTGATTTTTTTTTCAGAATTTCGTAGTCAATATACAATCATTATGCAAAACGCAATGAAGATCACATTAAATAGATCATTAGAATTCCGATGATTACGTGTCCTTGAATGTACTCGTATCATCTCTTGACTTCGGCCGTGCCGAGAGATTAGGTTTCACTTCTCTGCTCAGAGCGTGCTGGTAATGTTATAATGTTAAACAGAAGTTTCAGTTTCGATTCCTCGAAGCACTTTGAGAGCGGCTGAGTGGGATTAAAACAAAATACACATTCATTTCGAAAATGCTTAAACTAAAATATTCACGATGCTGAGTGGGTAATCAGAATATTTACTCAGTCGTCCACTCTAGGGGCGTCGAAACTGGTACAAACTAGATGGCCTTCTTGGCTCATGTCTAATACATGGCTGCTATCATTATAGAGTGAATTGGATTCGTGTGCGCAGAAACTGATACCTTATGAAATAATTTCTTTCAGTAATGACTTGGGTTTAAAACAAATTACAAAATACACAAAGGAGTGTTTATGGTCGGATAAATTTTTCTTCACTTTTTACAATTACATCAACACTGTCGAATGCAAACGTGAAATCCACGTTTTTAGGAAAAAAGAAAAAAGGTTGGCTGCTGGAGTAAACGTGAAATATCATTTCTCCAAGGCAGCGGCTCCCTTCTCAGCAGGCCGAAGAACAGCCAGCTTCCCTTGCAGGGACGATTTTTTATGCGTGATTGCCGTCGCGGTGAGGAATTGCACCAGTGTGGGTTTGCTATGGCCAAACGGAAGGTTCATTTTAGATAGTTGCTTCCGGCGCTTGACTTCTTGTTTGCAGATTGCCATGGGCCTATTTCTTCAGTGTCGACACAAATTCTAGCCGGCAAGCAGATACAAATCGCATTGACGGTGCTTAACGTAACCATATATCGAGGGTTTAAGGACATTTACCAAATACTTACAATAGAATTTGAGTTGTTGCAAAAGACGAGCTATCTTGAGGGTCATAAGTGATAATAATTTGCCAGCAAGGGAATCAATTTTACAAGTGAACAAGGCACTGGAAATGGAAACGAAAATCTAATGAGACGCTTTAGAATAAAATACTCACGGACGAGAGGTGTGGATAGAAGTTAGTAACGTGGCCAAATATTTATTAGCGCTCAAGCTATTTAGATATATCGCACCGAAAGTAAAGATGAACATCACCAAAGAGGTGGAAGGTCTCAGTTATCTAAAGTTTCCTAAATCAAAAAATTAATCATCACTCACTAGGGGCGGAGAAGATTAATCATCACTCACCATCTGTCAAAGAGAGGTGACAAGGAGGGACAGATGGAAAGCAACTGAAACTAAGACACTCGAACAAGAGGTCGCTTACACGGGACGTCAGCCGCCCGCACGAGAGACAGAGAAGGGAAATGTAAGGAATCCTACCTACATAATAACTTAATGTAAGGAATCCTACCTACATAATAACTTAACCCCGCAACTGAGACATGCAGTCAGACACCGCGAGCTCAGCGGTGGGGCGCTCAGGAAAAATCCCCCAAGGAGCGCGAAATCCCATAGGACTTTTGACGAGCACAGACGCACGTCAGAAGTCCCCCCCCCTGAGGGGGAGAGGATAGGAACAAAAGACACTCGCACGAGAAATGATCAGCAGCGCAAAGTGTAGACGCGATACGAGGCTCACCGACACAACTTCAACGTGGAGTGAAGCTCGAAAATATATCAGGTGGATAGATGAGGAGCACTGCCGTAGAGAAAGCGCACCTCTTCCAATAAAAACGTTATTGCAAAGCAGTGGTTCGTTTCTAACTACGTGTCCTTGGATGTACTGATGATGAGTCGAAGTTTTTAATCGGAAACCATGGAGCTACTATATACGAGGAAGCTCATGACATGCATCATGCCCTTATTGGACGTCGACAGCGGAAATTATTTTAAACTCAAGCGAGCGATAGCCGAAAAAGGGAAGTGATACTCGGCTTGGTATCACTCACTTCACTGATACAAAAAATTGAATTTCCATATATTTACATATATACCAGGTAGATTATTACATGAATTGCAACTAAATTTTGTATTTACATTAGTACAAAAACCGAGTAAAAAACTTACATGTAACAGGTCATTATGTCACACCAGCAAGAATATCAATATTATCAATCAATACGTTAAGATTGTTATGTTGAGAGCATCTTAGGGGTTATCCTTCAATTGCTCGGGTTCAGGTCTCCAATTAAGCAATCAAGAGTTTATCTAATTTTAGCAAGTGAACAAATTACATCACTGACATCACGTTTATTTCGGCAATAATTTTTATTGCTAAAACTTGCCACCATTTTCGATTAAATTGGCAACTTCATAGGTACGACGAATGCGGGAAAGTGCTTCTTCTGGATGTCGGTATCAGCGACAGCCTTCTACCGATAAAGTAATAAGCTGAAAACCTGGCAAGAAAACAAACATTTGGTAACAGGCAGAGTGCCTTACGGTAAGCACTAAAAGTGATCATCAAAAGCTATAACTTTAACTGAGACCAATAGTAATTTATATTTGGCAAGATTTGAACAAAATTTTTCTGCAGTGAAATACAAAACATTCTAGAAGGCGTTGTAAATTAATAATAGGAATGACAAAGCCTTCTAACCTCACGTGTAAAGAGAGCTTTTGTCCATTTGTAAATAGTGGAAAAATAGCGTCGCTTATTGGAGTTATGCAAATATATGAAATATAAAACATTTTATATATAACTAAAAATGTTTGCAATATAACTGCAAACATTTTCGATATAATGTTAGTTCTTGTTAAAGTTTTGTCTTTGAATTTTGACTTTTAAAGTGATTTTATTAATTTTTAGTTTAGTCGAACTGATGATGGAGCTGGACTCCGAAACGTTTTCAATATCGATATGGTGAATTTTCTTGGCGTTTTCTTTGCTCTTAAATTCCTTGTGAACTTGCTATATAAGCAGACTAATAATATAAGTACTTAAAACATTTGAAAACTGAAACAGGACAAATAACTCTTGAGGTCACTTTTGGGATAATCAGAATGCCAAAAGAATACAAATAGCTTACAAAAAACACCAAAATAATAGAAATTTGCCCAAGATAATTCGTGATAAATGTTTGACACGTCTATCGCAACAAATTTTAACCAACGCGCGAACTTCATAATCAAAACATTGTGCAAAATATAATTCGATATCAGGGGGAGAGGCCAAGTCTCCAAATAACAAGAGTATCAATGTTTTATGACTTGACTTTCAACGAGACAAGAAACTTATAAACGTCTATTATTTGCAGGGTGAAGGTGATGACCAGAGCATAAAATCACATTCACGCTTGATGAAAAACTGCCAAAGATTTTAAAATCTCGAAAATTATTGCATATTGAGTCCTATCTTCAATCTTCCTTCAAGGAACAACTTGTCAAGCGAGACAAAATTTACAATCAACTCTGAAACCATAAAGTTTTTGTCTACAAACCAACTATGGATCAACTCACGGCGATAAAGCGAGTAAACTTTGATTTAAGTAAGGAAAATTATCTTTGACAAACGAATAATTCATCCGTAGAGGTCGACTTCTAACGTATAGGTAATGCGTGGTTTAGAATTTGATCCTGCAAATATACTAAGCATAGTTTGTCATCAGCGGATTGATAGTTTTCTAAAAACATCCAGATTAATCCACGTGATTATTAGTAGAACACATCAAACGATTCTACGTGATCCAACGCCATACAGAATGTATTATTACACAGCATTTCCGTGTATAAATTTATACTTAATGTTTCACAACACTTTCGTAATAAAACAATCTTTGGTTCAACGGTGATTCCAAATACATGAATCAAGTTCCATATTATGCCCAGATAGATCAAAATATGGAGCCTGAAATACAACCTCGGAGGGTTTCTTGGCTTCGTTCACGACGAATTGTTGCCCGTGTTACATCGGTCCTATTAGTTAATCCTTTGTACCACGTTCAAGAAAGCAATTATTTGGCTGCTTAGCAGCAATGACCGACGTGAAGTGGCAAGCGAGCCAAATTAATGAGAAGTTCTTTACAATATACGACTTAATGCCTCTTAATGACTATATACGGTTCATTAAAGCTAATGGAACAAACAACGGTAGCGCGCTGCAACCATGACCGCACAATGCATGTTCAATATGTATTCTCATGAGTGAAAAATTACTTGGCACTCCACCCAAGCAAGTTCACTTCGTCATCGGATGAATGAAGGCCTCGCACAACAAAGCATGACGGCCTCACAATGGAATAATCTCGTATCATTTTAGCTAATACTAAAGCAGAGCATGAAAAAGAAATATCTTCTTAAGATGGCTTATTGTTATTAATTACTTCGCGACGAAATAGAATTATTGTCGCTTCATAACATTGATATCTTGCAATGTAAAACATATCAAAATTAGATTTGGTACACGAAAATCGTGAGTTACTGACGTGTGCAGAGGCGAGTAGCAGCAGCGCTCTACCATGGTCGTTCAGATTGTTCAGGTACTAGATAAGCTCCTGTACAAGACGAGAGCTTCAGCGGCTGCCAGTCCAAGTTTCCCTTAGCTTATCAAATTTAAGTTTCAAGCCCTTTAACAGACCCTTTATTCATTTTTATTAGTTTCAAATTCCTCCCAGACGCCCTACATACAAAAAATACATAAATACAGCCCATGCCTGATACCCGTTTATAATTCACCAACCATACAATTTTTTTTCATACGCCATTTCCTAACTCGCGCATCCGGAAATTCATTTCAAAGAATAAAATTTACCAGATTTGTATAATGCACCTCAAAATGCCCTCGACTTACAAGCCAGCTTAAATTCCGTCCATAGTTCCTCAAACACTCAGAAATATAATAGATCACTGCAAATTGTAATAAATTACAACCTTAAGACAAAACGTACAAGTGTTTTAAGCAACAGCTGCATGCATTAAATGCTTCTATTTCTATTTTCATAACAAAAAAGACGCTAGCAAGAAAAATTCCCGATTTTCAAATCAAAATTGGATGAAAAATAAACCACAACAGCTATATAGCCGTTCAGGTCGTCATTAACAATAAAAACATAGAACAAAATTAAATAGGACATCAAAGACACTTGGCCTCAAGACCAGGCGACATCAAATCGTTATTTACAAGCTCAATTTGAACCAAGATGCAAATAGAGAACATAACATCCGACATAATACGCAGCTTACTATAAAAATAAGTTCTCATAAATCAGCAACACCACACTGCACTTTTGGCAGATAGAGAAAATACAGTCGTATTTGTCAAAATTTTTATGATGACGTTATATTTTCACTTCGCTGAGTTGATTGCTCTGAATCTTAATAAGTATTTTACAAACAGACTGTGTTCCAATGTTGAAAGACGTACATCAAAACAGTTAAACGCGGCTCTGCTTACCTAGAAATTCTTTCGGAGAATTGGATAAGTGTTAGCGCACGTCTCTCCAGAATAGCGCGTGAAATTTCGTCTTATCTTGCATCAATAATTTTCGTCGTTGACTTAGAACGCTGATTATAGTGAAACTATTAATAAACTATATAATTTGATAAGAGCATTTTCGAAAATGTTACCAAAAATCTAGTACGCGATTTCGAGGTTGACGTTCTAAAAAATATTTTAGAACATAAACAAGTTCAAAATAGAGTAATTTAGATAAACGAGGTTAGTGCAAAACGATCACCGACACCCTATTTTGATAGTACTGTACTCATCACATTTTTGAATGCTTCTGAAAAGAGCTGATTCGTTCTCCTAGCTCATTAACAGCAGTGATGCACGAGCTGCTGCACAAACGACCGTTGCAGTAAGCAATTGTGCTTTCGAGTGCATTTACTGACGACTGATTATCGTAGCAATGAGTGGAATATGTACAGCTCAACGAAATTACTCTCAAATGCCAGTATTTTGTCACTCGGTTGTAAACCCAGTCTCACAATTGAATTTGACAGCTAAGGAATAGTAAAGAAAGGTACAATATAAATTTGTTAAGATCATGGTGAAGCTATACATTCTCATCATTGTATAACACAGGGTGAATTTATCTACATCAAAGATAAATTCACCGTCTATGTTCACACAAAATACATTAGAACTATCTACTAAACAAAAAGTATTGGATAATCCAATAAATGACCAACAAACTCGACTTGAGGGACTGGAGCTTGATACTTATAGTAAGTTGGCTCATACGAGCGATTAACATTTTACAGGTAGGCTATATCACAGAATCCTTGCCAATTGGTAAAAAAAACTGTACAAAATTTTCACGGAAGAGTGAATGCGTTTGTCCACGACAAGCGTTGGATGCCACACAGTTAGCACAAGTCATCGTCATTGTAATAATACTTTGCGTTGTACTAATGATTTAAGGTACAAAGATTCACTCAAAAATTTTGAACTCTTTGAGTGGAACACACTCAATTTCTAGAATACCTACACTACTATCGATCATAACAGGATTAGATCTGTTTACGAAACTCGGTGTAAGACTGAAAGCGTTACATCAGAGATTGTTTTCAAACACTGCACATCAATCTTCTGAAGCGTCCAGAATTCAGCAACAAGTTGTGAAAAGAGCGAACGGTACAAAATATTCTTCACAACACGAGTGAGTCAGGTAATATTGACCGTGTAACAGGTTTTTTACATTCGTCTACATATTTGCAGTCATGCGGTTTTCAAGTGTTGCTGCATTTATCAGAATTTGATATGTTTCATTCAAAAAAATGCTGGCCATCGTGCTTATATTTCAAATCGAAATCGAAGAATTGAGTCTGAAGATTATTCTACTCAACATTTTATACCCAACAGAAAAGAGCATGTCATAATCGTTTGTACCATGTAAGAAATTTATGAAGCCAAGACCAATTTGGATCGTATTTCATTGGCCCTCGCAGCGGATAATTATATCCTATATTCAACGAAATAATCCATTTCGCGACAGAGAAAGAGAAATTCAAGATTTACCTATATAAAGAACATAACTGCTGGGGGATATCAGTTCATGCTTTTGGATCAGATACGGACGGACGATAGGAGCAGACATATCGAGCAGACCACAATATATCGATGAAACTCGCTCCACTTGAAACAAGACAAAAAGAGATCATTAAAAGTTTAAAGTAGTCACAGAATAAACGTGAATAATATTTCCGCAAAGAAATGTGCACGTTCACAAAATTTTGCAATGCTTTTTCAGCTTGTGCAAGCGAGATGATAATTAGGACGACTTCAAGTGTGACAATTTTTGCGAGAAAGCATCGTGACTTGGAAAAATTACTGACAAAAAAAGCCTCAGGAGCAATAACTTAAGCAAATACATAAGCTGCCATTGACTAAATAAATCTAACTAAATAGATCGCGTCAGGTAATCTCTACTCAGAAACACGCCCATATGTACATAATTATGCAAAAAATGTTCAGAAGTCGTCGCTCCTGGAGTGGAGTAGTCAGCTGCAGAGCCAGAAGATCACTATGCTCATCCCAACTGTAACGCTACAGCATTAATTTGGAAACATCCAGCGATTTGTCCTGTCACGTAGATTAACAAATACGGTACATATAAAAATACACATTAAGATTGGCTTAGACCAGATAAGCTCAAGTCGACAGCACCAGGATGACCAATTATTCACTATGTACAACACATCCATGAAGAGAAGGGCTCGCACCTTCAAGTTTTATTAAGAAAACTTGACTCTAACTTTAATAAAACTTAAAAATTAAGTTTTATTACAAAAATAGTTTTTAGTTTTATTAATTAAAAAACTTGAAGGGATGCGTCAGTAGTACATAAAATATGTTCGCAAATATTCATTGCAAGACAGCATGCAGAGGAGAAAAGAAAGGAGATAAGACGATACATGAGTGCTTAGGGAAAGGCCTGGAAGTGCGATGTCGAGGATGTACCAAGTTTAGGCACTCCATATTTACTTCCTAGTTTAATAATGCGAGCATCAATAGAATCTGAAATCACCAAGAAACTTTTAAACATGTGTCTGTTTTAACGTCGGATAAGAAAAAAATTAATGATTTATTTCAGTGGACGGTTTACCATAGAATCGGAAAACTAATTTTCCTGAAAGCAGGAAATTTAGGAGTCTTATTGCATATCATATCAGAATTGCATTTACGGTGAAAATTTAGCATTTTAGGTGAGAGTTGTACAGCACACTCAGGCGTGGACGGTTAAGCTATCTTAGCGTTGCTTAGCACGAGTCTGTTGAGTCCATGCGGTGAGCCCAGAGGAGAGTAGACATAGTTTGCCCTGAGGGATGAAGCGCGCACCGGAGCTAAAGGCAGCTTCCTGAGCACGAGACTCCGAGGAGAGCTTAACACACTCACATTCGCGGCCGCGCTGATATTGGCCGTGATGTTGCCTAAATTAGAAGTTACAACTCCAGACGTTAAGTGGGTAATACTGTTATTGCTAGCAACAATAGAGCCCAGACTGGAAACGTTATTGGATACCACGACACTAGCTATCGGGGATACGTCAGTAGCCGTGACGCAAATATTGCTGCTCGAAGAGACCTCGTCGTCAATACTGATCTCATTGCCAAGGCTGTCTATGATACCCCCAGCACTGGTCTGGAAGCTGATCTCTGTCATGGTCGAGTCGGGCAAGATGTACTCGGGCGAGCTTGGTAACGTGGCGCTCACTTTAGTCGCGAGAATCTGTTGTTGTCGATGTGTGTTGCTCTGCCGCAGGATAGCGGGTTGCTGACACTTGGTGACGTGCAGAGCAGTACGCGTCTGCTGTATACTACCACGGTTCAGTACCGTCATCGAAGATGGCGGCTCCGTGAGAGTTAGCGCATCAACTTCATCGTCATCATCGTCGTCTTCGCTACAAGAAGACGCGCTGCTTGCAGCCTCGAACTTCATCTCTCCTCGCTCGAGGGCGCCCAGCATATCTGCTCAAATGGGACGCATTGAAGTCATTTGTTACTCACAGGTGAAATAGAAAACCAGAGTCGGCAATCCATTGAGCGGCATGGAAACCATTTGAGGGTTTCAGAGATTAAACGGAAGCTATGTGGCTGAATTTTTCATGAGCCACACTGAAAAATATCTGCTCCAAAGTAAATATAGCAACGATTGTTGGAGTCCTTGACTCCAGCATTAAAATGATCGGTGATACGAAGAAGGATAAGTTTTGAAGTTTCAATTCAAGTATGCATGAACTTACCATGACCATTTATGGAGAGAAACAAGGAAAAGCTTCAATTGATGCTGCAAGTTCATCACATACCTGGTGTACTCATGGCATCTCTGATGCCCTGCAGGTCCTTCTTACTCCACTTCTGTATCTCCTCGTCCATCTTGTGCACCTTGCTCGGGTTTAGGGCCCACAGGCAGCCTTTTCGCTGATTGTTTCCTGACACTGAAAGAGGAACAGAGCGTAAGCATCCGCAAACAATGAGAAAAACAGTCGGCTTTCTTGAAATTTCGCCCTAGCTATTTATTCACGAGGTGTTCGCTTCCAAGACTTAAATACATATGCCGGTAGTAAGCGGTGGTTGATGAATTGAATATTCAAGCTCTACAGAATGATCTTATGAATGAACACTGCAATGCAGGCTAACATGCGGTGTAGGCGGCAGTCAGGCATGGTTAGTTGCGCATTATAACATTGTAAAACCGCCATTGGAAATCGGAAGAACTCGATTTTCATACACTATAGGAGTTTTAACTAACACCCTCCGAGTTACTTGAATAACAATTATTTGGTATATCGGTTAATTATATGCTGTTGCGCCTTGTTTATTCAGCACCTGTATGGATAAATAAGATGAATATACAGAAAAGAAATTAGGTAAATCCCATCATTTCACACTAGTACAATACTTACCAACAGGTTTTTCTATTTTCTCAAAGCATTTGTTGAGGCTCAAGTTGTGCCGGACGGAGTTCTTCCAACCGTTAGGAGCCGTCCGGAAGTACGGAAAGTATTCACTGAAAAAAATAATGTAAAATTCAGACATATAAGAATTAAGAAACAACGCATGTAAATGTTTCCTAGAGTAGTACTAAAACGCATAATCACTAGAAACGAATGTGATATAAAATTTATTAGCGGCTATGGACGGTCAAATACCAAAAATTTAAGAAAGTTGAGGCAAAAATACGTGAGAATCTAGATATGGGTTCCGTCAAAATAAAGCAACATCAATACATAAGTAAATGGGTTATTCAGAATGGAATAAACAATGGAGTATTCAAGTTAACTCTCTCTTATAACAGCTCATCCAAATACAAACATTTTGACAGTAAGAAATGCATCAGTAAACATCCCTAATACTAAGAGGACAACACTGCAAACATTGACCACATGACCTTGACCGCAATACTGGCTTAGAAATAACTATGGAGGCAGTCTCCTGAACCAAGCTATGGAGTATCAAGAAACGGGTTCCAAGTCTAGTCTCATTCCCGCAACGTTTCCTTCCGTTGCGCTGGCAATTAGATTCAGGAACTTTACTCAATTACATTAAAACCCAACTGCATCGTTCAGGGTAAAATGATTGCGCATCACCACTGAGAGATAGTTCGAAGTTACAACCATCCTCGAAGGTCCTTCACCATTTTTTTCCTAGTACTACTTATGTTTTGCTTTTATTTATTCTGCACATCACGTTTCCGAAATATTTCACCGACCAGGACTTAGTTTTATCCCGGTTTCGTATAAATAAACACACAGACAGACAGACCCAACCTTTATCGTGTGCTATAAACAGAGAAACGTGTGGAATCCCTTGAAAACGCAGCCGTTGTCGGAAAAAATTCACTTCTAAACAAAAGAGGATAATCTGGTTAAATTATACGAGGTCCTACTTTTACTCGTAAGTCGTTCGTCAAGATAAGTCGCATCAGTAACTCATTAAAGCCAACAATCAAATCCATCATGAGTGCCATGAAATATTTCGCATACTGTAACTAGGTGCAGTAATAAATCGATAATGATAGGGGAACTTCTGCACCGCTAAAATTAACGTAAAATATATCCTCTGGCGTGGAAAAAAATTGAACGTGGCATTTAATGAGAAAAAAAAAAAAAACGAGCTGAAATTTGAGCGGAGGCGCAACAACGAGAATACGAGTATTAAAGATTAAGGAGAACAGTATGAAAGTGAAGGAGTAACGAGAACAGCGCGAAGGTGAATGCGTAACGGGAACAACATGAAGGTGAAGGCGTAACGAGAACAGCATGAAGGTGAAGGAGTAACGAGAACAGCATGAAGGTGAAGGCGTAACGAGAACAGCACGAAGGTGAAGGCGTAACGAGAACAGCACGAAGGTGAAGGAGTAACGAGAACAGCACGAAGGTGAAGGCGTAACGAGAACAGCACGAAGTTGAAGGCGTAACGAGAACAGCACGAAGTTGAAGGCGTAACGAGAACAGCACGAAGTTGAAGGCGTAACGAGAACAGCACGAAGGTGAAGGAGTAACGAGAACAACATGAAGGTGAAGACGTAACGAGAACAGCATGAAGGTGAAGGAGTAACGAGAACAGCATGAAGGTGAAGGCGTAACGAGAACAGCACGAAGTTTAAGGCGTAACGAGAACAGCACGAAGGTGAAGGCGTAACGAGAACAGTACGGAGGTGAAGGAGTAACGAGAACAGTACGGAGGTGAAGGTGTAGCCCACAGCGCGGTGTTCAGACACTCGCTCTCTCCACGTCGCAGCGTTAGGCCTAACGAAGAGCAGGCACTACGTTGCCGTGGCCTGACTCTCTCACAAATCTTTCCACCTGAGAACGGTAGCTACGAATTCATTGAAATGATACCCAGAAATATTTGCGATGCTTAACTTTCGTCGTCTAGAGCTGAAATGTTAGATTAAATTCAAATATTGGCCGATTAATTTTCTGTGCATGTGAGAAGCGGACCGAAATTATAAAAATTAAATTAAAAAGTCAAATTGAAAGACCATGCAATTGTTTCCACTGGCATATCACAGGTTGGGTTCGACGGGTTTGTAGCATGCAATCGGAATTATTACCAAGTACCTGGACAACGATCAAAAAACTGTAAAAAATTCGATTCGATACAGCATATGCAATGAGATTGAATAAAATAAATTAAAACTAAACTATTATTATTCATAAGTTACGCGCTAGAACTATAAGAAAAATCCAGCTCGAGATGTCCATCAGACTCGAGTTAGACAAAAAACTCAGTCGAGTTTACAAACACTCGAACACTGTGAAACATGTCTCTAAACAATGAAAAACGGGAGATACGAAAGAAAACGAAACAATCACTTGAAACAGAGATAAAAAAAACTCATAAGAATTGTGAGTTTTTTCCCTTGATACGCTATGAAAACCTGTTATTTATGACAAGAAGTTCTCTCACTTGAATTATACAACGTCGAATATTTGAAGGAACGCATGATTTCATTGCAACAAAGGATGAAAATATCCATATTTTACGTTAAATTCTCTTTTATAAGTTTAAAGAGTTAATGAAATAATAATAACTAGGAAATCTTCCATTGTTGAATAACAAAAATTTAATACTCAATGTTAATATAATCGCAAATCATCAATAGAGAAGAATAAAAAACAAATGAAGAAGGGAGCGAGAATACTAACAGAACATCGGAGTCGAGATTGCCCTTGAAAAAATAAAACATTTTAGAATATCAATTGACTAGACTAGAAGACAGAGAGTGAAAGAGAGAGGGACTGTTAAAGAGCTGGGCATGGCACGATATTTGGCGCCATTGCTTGGAGCGAAGAGAGCAGAGTAAGCCCACCCCAGGCATCGCATGAATGACGACAGCCACACAATGCCCGCGAGGCGAACACCACAGCGTAGTACAGGGCACGTCTCGTGTGTGAGACTCGCTGTGGCATTCATTGTTGACTCGACAAGCAATTTATACGGCGTAGTACAGGGCACCTTTCGTGTGCGATACTATCATCACGTTGGACTCGCTGTGACATTCATTGTTGACTCGATAAGCAATTTATACGGCGTAGTACAGGGCACCTCTCGTGTGCGATACTATCATCACGTTGGACTCGCTGTGACATTCATTGTTGACTCGATAAGCAATTTATACGGCGTAGTACAGACTACAGAGCACGTCTCGCGTGTGAGACTATCATCACGTTAGACTCGCTGTGACATTCATTGTTGACTAGTTCAAAAAATCACGATCGGGTTGCGACTACACTTGACTCGCAAGTTTCACAACAGCTCGAGTGAAAAATGTAACGTTTCAAACATAATTGCACTTGATACTGAATGCGATGTTCATGACTCTGTAGGCGAACAAAAGCACCGATAATGCTATCGTAAATGAAGGGCTTTCATCATAAGTGATTTTAACCCACCCGAGGAAAATGGACGAATGGTTTTAAACGCTCATGCATGATTAATACCGCGTAGATGTAATTATATACTAACGTTTTTCGCAGTAGCCACAACTGATTAGAATCGATTACAGACTCCATAACCGAGATAGGAGATGAAAAATAATGTTGCTAATAACCAAGTTTAGAACAAATAATTTCGTCCACATTGAAGAAAAAACTTCCACAAGCACGCGGCATTGACAAAGAAATTGTAGAAATTCAACACCTCATTTCGAGGTAGTAAAATTCATAATTTTTCGGGAAAAGTTCACGATATGTTTAATACATCGAAATATTCTACGAGATCGGGCATTAGGCAGTTCTTTGTAGTTTAAAATAATTCATTATCAGTGAGTTTTATTCTCATCAACTGGGTCAAAATACTAATTGCGTCGAAGAACTGTAACATTGAAATTGACTGCAAGTTTTGGCTTGTATCTAGACACTGCATGGCTCTTTATAATGAAGGTGTACTTTGCAAATACAACACGAATACCGGCCATACTTTAGAATAAATAAAGATTAACTGCTTCATCGACTGACCACAAAATGGATTCGTAGAGCAGGTTTGAATTAATAGTTAAACGCGCCAGTAAAATTAAGAGATGGTAATATGATGGAGCAATCTCAACGGTTGTCCTGGACAACTTTTTAAAACCTTAAAAATGATCGCGCTCAGTCGATCAATAAAGAAGGAGATCAGATCACAAGAATTGATCAGCGGAGTAAAAACTTGGGATCCATTGCCCACACAGGAGCAGGTAGCGGGTAAGTTGGGAGAGGAAGAGAGCGCTGTTGTGGTGTGTACAGAGAGGCAGCCACAGCGACTCAATGAGAACCAAATCGATAAAAAGGTGCCGAGGCAGGGAGGCTCCGGCAGAGGTTGGGTAGAGCGGGGACGGTATCGTGGCTACTATAGCAACATCTGCCGCTGAGATCAGGGTACAGTGCACGTCTCGTGTACATCTGCCGCTGAGATCAGGGTACACAGTGCACGCCTCGTGTACATCTGCCGCTGAGACCAGGGTACAGTGCACGTCTCGTGTACATCTGCTGTCGAGATAAGTGCACTGTACATACCGTACACTGACTGTGGTACTCGTAATTTTGTCTACGACTAAGAAACTGACAAAAGAACATAGTTTCATACCTAAAAATAATAAATAATATTTGTCTTTTAATGAGAGCTAAATCAAGACCTCAGTCGTTTCAATAGATACACCATCATCCGGCTGAGCGCGCACGTTCATATCGAAACGACAAAGAACCTAATCGGGCGACTTTTTCTTAATTTTTGCAGCATGGAATGTAGGAAGAGGTATTGAAAACTCGTAAGGTAAGTGGCTTTATTTTAGAAGTGGACTTGAACGAGTTTACCACGAGAGCCATGTTATAAGTTGCCACTTTCGACGGTACTAGCAAGCAATTCGGACTTAATCCGTTCGATCTTTAGGCATCTTTAATACAATATATATTAAAGGCAATATGTACACACATCAGGTTAAGGTTAAAATTTGTTTGAACTTGGCGAATTTGAAATCAGTATTATTTACTTCTACTTTACCTTCCTGATCATACGATTGAATGAAATCATTGATTGCAGTAATATACGGAGGTGACTGACCAGACGGCTCAATCCCAGCACGTTCTTCCATTAGCAGTTCATAAGAACATAAATCGAAGTTCAAATGATTATTTACTCTAACAGTAACTAAGCATCTTGCGTCTAGGTTTAGAAGGGCTATTTATACAGCCAAAATAATGATAAGAAATTAAAATCTACTTTTCATTACGGAACCAATTTTAAGTCTTCAAGATGTTTTAGACATACATAGATGGCGTGTATAATAGGAACTTGTCTAAAACAGTTCACTTTTCTCACCCGTGTGAAATGCAAACAGTAAATCGATCCGGAAAAATAGTCGTACGTGATAGCAAAATTTGTCATCAATTGCCCCGCTCACGTAACCCTGAGGCACACACGAATATCCATTTTCTCCTGCCCTGTTTATCTTCTCTCTAAAGAAATTCTAAATAAAAATGGCATTATTTTTCAGCAAAAATGTTCTCGTGTGTTTATGTTTTTTATGAATCGAAAGACTGAACACGCCAGCCAGAGTGAGGGCTCCCGCGCCGGCAGCCGAGGGGTGAGCAGCACAACAGCAGCGCATACGAGGGTGGCTGAGAGATCGATAAAGCGGTGCGTGAGTGCCGCTCCATCCTCCCGCTTCTCATTTCCTACTAATGGCATTACGGCCCCTTTGTATGAACACTACACTAACACCCTGCCGAAAAATAATAACATAACACTGTAATTAGAACGATTGTAATAACTACTAGCATAATAATTGAACACCGCGGGATTGTAAATTTTACGAGTCTGTGCCAGTAGAATGCAATCCGGGCAATCCAAGTATTTGCAAACTTTGTGCATCTTAAACAGTAAGAACGAATTAAAATATTCTGAAGTAGAACAATTCAAGTGGTAGTCTTAAATTTGAAACACATGACACTATGAGTAATTGATTCTTGTTAAAATACAACACAACAAGGGAACATGTGATATCTGCCTAAAATGAGAAGGCTACAGCAGCATTATTAATAAACCGTAAAAATTTGTCTTGATTAGCAAATTGAGTCAGCATAGGTTTACTGATGAACTGTACGACCTAGGACAGGCAAAAATTGGTAGTGCTTGAACAACTAGGGTAACGATCGGTAAACTTTCCATTTTTAAGCTCGTCCAATTTGAATTTTCCGCTAGCAAGCACGGGGTTATAAAGAGAAGATACTAGCATTCATTAATTCTAATTAAGTCTTTCAAATGTCCGCAAATAAAAACAAAAACTGAAAATAATGATAAAATTAGGCCTCCCAAACAAAAATAGAGTTTACAAATCACAAGCAACGTAAATGAAGCGAAAGTATGATCAGGAGAAATAAATTTTACCCGTAGCCTGACGGAAGAGAAAGAAATAAAAGGTAAATGAAAAAATATCTAGTGATTTTTCAGCACAGACGAATTGAAAACAAAATATGACAGATAATGAGGTGCAAATAATTGTGACAACAACGAGCTAACACTGATTAAATGTTCAGCAGGAGATGGCGATAAGTCAAGAATTCAATTTTGATCATAGAAGAAAAATTTATTCATACGTATGTACGTTCGTTGAAAATGGTTCCGGTGATGGCAGTGAGCCCTGGCTGTAATTATTTGGTTGAGGTACGAGGGGAATGAGGGAAGGATATTTTGAGAGCAGTCCGCAGGCAGAGGGGAGAGGGAGAGCTTTAAAGAGGTACGACTCAAGGCGCGGCCAGGCGCTGCTGCAACTCTCCCTCGACATCTCGATGTTCTTCAAGCACGGACACTTTAATGTGACACTGCCAGGTGCGCAGTTACATTGCCAACAAACAATCTCAATTGTTCAAACTGAATACACACGAAGGAAGTGGTAAAATCGCAGAAAAATCTTAAACGAAAAACTATACCCTTTGTTCCACTGCATTGAGTGAACTTGCTTTACGTAAACAGAAAAAATATAACTCAGTACTCACTGCAGTGAGTGACAGAGAGCGCATTTTCTCGTCGACGAAAACGTGAAGTCACGGACAGACAGACGGACATGACGAGCACAATAGCGCTTTTTTTCCATAAATGAGAAAATGCGCTAAAAATGGAGAAATGGCAGTTGAAATCGGTCTTAGTTTGCGAAGAAACACTGGAATAATGTCTTGGGTGAACACAAAAAAAAAAAAAATACGAGCTTCAATTGTGAGAAGGCGAACTCGTTGTGAACTAATCGGCAACTTTCTTCAGCAAACTTTTACAATAAGTTTGATCGAGTAGTTCATCGTGAATAGACCGGAACACCGCAACTCCTGCAGTGGAGACTTTCGTCCTAAGTGCAGAAAGACCCTCTCATTGGGAATGTTCTTCGAGCATTCGTTTGTCAAACGAAAAATATTCCGAAAATATACAAAAATATGCATATTTGTTCAACGTATGCAGTATTATCCCAGGTTGTAGCCACCCAAAAAATATTCATCGATTCAACAATGAATCTATGGCGGTTATTAATTTTAAATGGCGGTCGGGTAATTAAATAATCTTCGACTATACGTGATAACACTAATTCCTACACAAATTGCCACATCGCAATTCATAAAAAATAATGTAAATCATTCCTAATAATCATCAGAGTTGAGTAATTCTATTGACCTTCACTTTTTCGCGCAAACCTGGTTTTTATACATCATGTAGCTAGCAAGCACCAATAATACACTACTACCCATTATAAATCAGCCAATAATAAAAAATAAGTATGAATAATACACATTACCCAATAATAAATAATTGTTTAGAATGCGTGATGTCGTTATCATCCCTTTACGCTGCATGAATACTAATCATGACTGCACAAATGCTCACCAAATTGAAGAAGCAGGCGTTGATTACAATCAATACTGTACAGCAGATTTGTTAAGATTGTGCAAATAAGACTGTTAAGGAACGGTTGCTGCATTCCTGTTCGAGACAGTCACTCGGCATAGACACATAACACACTTGTCATAGACAAATGCCATTGGTTCATTGAACTCCTGGTATATATGCGTATAATCTTAACGAGAGTGATAAGTAACACCGCCTTGATAATATGGCCGAGGATTAGTTGACCGGATATAAGATCAGTAGCGTGAGAGTGTCGAAGCCTCTGCAGTGCAGCGCATGCAATGCAGGCTACGACGTGTAAGATGATCCGCATCATCCGCACCCCTCATAAACACCTGCAGCCTTACTTGTGGTCAGCAGGCGTCCAGAGTCAAATTCACGATAAAGGCCCCATAGGAACCTGACTACTGGTGATCAAACATCTCAAGTACCCGAGCAACTACTAATAACATTTCCGTGGTAACCTGTCCGATGAAGCCGGTTCGGTATCCGTGACCCGCAAGCACCATCAATGTGGTCCTTAGTCGACAAAATTTCAATGATAGCGGGAATCTAGAAGTTGATAAATAACTTTTACCCAACTTTAGTTCTACCGGCAAAACTTCCTCATTCTGTGTTGAAAAAATTGACGCGAAAGCTAATAAAAAATGCACATTTTTTGGTTCCAATACACAGTTTGAAAGCCATGTAAAGTAATAAAAATTTCAAATAATGGAGAATAACGAACTTTACAGCATAAGTAGGTGCAAACAAAACACTTCATATACAGTTCAAGACGGCCACATGGATATGCTGAAACGCATTCAAAATAAACGAACCTAAAAACTGACAACTGACCGGATGAACAATCGCGTAGAAGACCATTGCACGATGGCTACAAAAAAGGTAGCGCGCTCGCAAAAGGGCAAGACATCAAGCCAATCATGTGCAGGTATCAAGATTGGGAGTTTGGCTCATTTTCAGTAACACGCTCACAATAAGTAAACAAATTAACACAGTAAAATCAGCAAATCATTACGAATTGTAGTTGCCACTACAATGATAAGCGTTTATTTCTCTTTATCAGTGACAAATGAACTTTTATCGTATGATACATTCGAATCACGAAACATTATATGCGAGTAAGTGTGGTAATAATAGCTCATCTCTCCCGCGTATCACACAACAAAGAAACCAAAGCGTTAAGCAGACCACATGTCACACAAGACGAGTGGCTTGACACATGCAGTTGGCCAATTGACTCGCAAAAGCTGATCGGCTTCCAATGACATTGAATGATGTTACGTGGCACAGATCTCCCCAGAGTTACAGTGGAAAATATCGAAAAATATCCCAAAATTAACAGCACTTCAAAAGCAAAAGAATAGATAGCCGAATGAAAAATATCTTAAGCAGGGAATTTTCAATGAGAGATGTGACAAGGTCGACTTGGCTATCGCTATTTACAAGTCGTGATGATATAGTAGTACAAACGATAAATCAAAGCACCACATTTTGAGTATACGCTATATAACAAAATAGTCAACAGTACAGGGTATAATATATTCGACATCACTTTAGTTACCATTAATACGCTAATATATATGTGTGTATAGCAACGAGTTGCCAAGTTGCATGTAGTACTCACTACATGAAGCTGTATAAATATATCTCGGAGACAGGGAGGCTGCCGGAGGTTAACACATGAAGGTAAAATATACATGAGTTACGAGTTGCTAAGTTGTAGACGTGGTGTGGTACTCACCACATGAAGCTGTATATCTCAGAGACAGGGAGGCTGCCGGAGGTCAACACAGGATGGTAATATATACACAGGCTACGAGTTGCAAAGTTGTAGACATGGTGTGGTACTCACCACATGAAGCTGTATATCTCGGAGACAGGGAGGCTGCCGGAGGTCAACATAGGATGGTAATACATACATAGACTACGAGTTGCAAAGTTGTAGACATGGTGTGGTACTCACCACATGAAGCTGTATATCTCGGAGACAGGGAGGCTGCCGGAGCTGGAGTTCTTGAGGGCGAGAGCAATAAGGCAGCTGTAGGAGTACGCAGGCTTGGGCAGGGCGCGCTCGTCTCCTCCTCGTCTGCTGCTTACTGAGCGAGCGCCTCCAGGCTTCCCTCTATCCCACACAATATAACACAGTTTGATCATAACCCTTCAGTCGTGTGTATTTTATATTATCAGCACGGCTTTTCCACATAAATTAATGCACTTTGAACGACAAATTATATTCATGGTGACCGGTAGAGCCAGAGATGCAACACTTGACTATAACGCAAACTTTTGATCATTGCTTTTGGACCTAATTAAATTTTTAAACTTCATTTCATTTGCGCCAGATGCAAGCGAACATTTCTTTGCCGGTAAAACTATCGGCCACTAAGTACGACGGCTGGGAAGTTATTTTGAGATGTTAAAAAATAGATCTACTTCAGTCCACGCGAAGACTTCCAAGTTGTAAATAATGGACGTGGGGAAAACTAACCTGAACATTGGTCCGTTATTGATGGTTGTGTGCACAGAGGCGATGGATGTGGCGGTGACATCCGAGCTGTGGACGACGTTATTGTGAGGCGTTCTGTTGCCGCTGTATCCGTTACTGGACGAGAGCTGAGCTCTGTTGTGGACTCCTAGAGTCTGGTGGTGGGTGACCAGACTGTTGGCGATCTGTTGTTGGGTGAGCTGTTTGGGTGACGTGATGAGGGTTGTCGAAGGGTTGAGGGAACTGTTGACTACCCCACCACTGCTTACAGTCACCGTAGGCCGTAGCACGGTTACTTGAGATGAAGACGCTGAGGTGCTCTATTGTGGGAATTATAGAAGTTATGATATTAATGATAAATTAGGAAGGTATTATTAGCACAATACATTGAAATTAATAAAATCAAGAATCTGAAAAAGAATACAAATGCATAAGCCTCGCTCAGAGCTTTTTAACTACTAAACCCAAATACATGTACGTACCTACACAACAAAAATTCAAGGCAAGCCGACAGCCGATTACCCGACTGTAATTACTATCCGATTTGATAAAACTTTCTCGAGTAAAACATATTATGGATTATAAACAAGTCACTTCTCCAAGCAGGTACTTATTCTCTAGATTATTTTTTGCGACACGAAATGCGCGTAAACTAAATAGATTGTCCTACCAAAAGAGAAACTTCTATTCTTGAAATACAATTAAATTTCATCATTAGCTTTAATATTAAATCTAAGCCAGCAGTAATAAGTCCAGGGAAATCTGTCAGCAATGAGATTTACACGCAGAGACGCGAGCTCACCTGTGATACCGAGGACGGTGTAGATGACTGGAGTGTTTCTGTCTTGATGTAGATGCTGGGGGACAAAATACTAGGCAATGATACCCTCGTGGGTTGTGCTTCAGAGAGCAGCGTGTCACTCTGAGTTGTATTGTCCCCATTGCACGAGGACAACATAACTGACGATGATGAAAGAAGCGGAGAAGGAGAAGTGAGCAACGGTGAGACGTCCGCATTGCACCCAACTAAAGACGGCGAAACTAATCCAGGAGAAGTGAACAAACACGTTGCCGCCTCTGACGTGATGATCTGACCAGGATGAGTGGACACTCTGAGCGCCAGGGAGCTGGGCAACACAACGGAAGGGTTCACCATGATTGCGTTGTCCAGGTCGAAGAGAATATCTTTTCCGTGCGTGCCACTGTACCATGTGATGTCACTCAGTGATTGTTCCATGCAGACGCTCGCTTGGTCGTCTTCTAGGCTGCTGGCTGTGCTGGAGCACGAGCTGTGGGCCGAGGAGCTGGCAGGAGGCGTCATTATCCCGCCTGGCAGGTCCACATCCATGCTCGGGAGGCCGTCGAACAGAGGCTCGAACGCTCCCATGCACATATCGCTCTCGAAGCTGACCAAGAGAAAATCCACTCAAAAGCAGATACGTGACTCAAAAACGAGTTAAGTACCGAACGAATGAATATCAACTTGAATTTAGATGCAACCGATCGATTAATTTGAAACAATATATTCAATGTTAAATTTCAAATGACGTAGAGGTATTCAACGATATGATACCCCGATTCAATGGAATCATCGAGAACTGAGTGATTAAAAAGCTGATGAAAAAGTCTAACGTTCAGTTATATTACCAATCAATAGAGCACCAAACAAATAATCAACAAATCGAATGCGAACCAAAGTTCGAAGCACGTTAAAATTATCACCCCGACATAGACCAATTTAGAATCATAACTGACACTTTTTATCATTATATACTTACTCGTGGTCGTAGGTGCTGAGCGAAAGTTCCGACTTCATGTCTTTCTCGATCATATCCTGGAGAGAGAGATCATCAGGCTCTCCATTGAGCAGGAAGAGATCCATGGTGGTGTTTTATAAGAGGAGCGTAGTGGAGCAGTCCTCCACATCACTGGGCCATGGTGAGAGCGATGGACGCTATGTAGCTACGACCACAGCAACGTCAGATGGTCGGGCTTTGTGTTGACGAGTTCTGTCCACATGAGGCTAAACCTGAGCTCTCACTCCCCGACACCACTGCGAGAAGAATTACAAAGTCAGGTTAGCTATTCGCACGATCTTAGGTGAATCACGATAATTATATTGTACGGAATATGAACTACAACGGGATGAAAGCTAACTCACATCATCATGGTCGATGTGGAAAAAATCGGTGCATTATATAGGATTAGGAAGTAATTAAGCATTTTACTTCTTCAATAATACCTTGTTGATATTCAAAGTGCAAACAAGCTGAGGAAGCATGGCACGCACCAGGTAAGAGTTGCAACTAGGCATTACTTACAATTCTAAGAACTGAAAAATGTTTCAAGATGTAAGTAAAGTTAAGCAAAAGCCTAAAACAACTAGCAGCCGAATATGTACCGGTATCGAATTCGTTATATCACCGTAAAACTCGTCACAAATTCTTTCTTACTTGACTCATAATGGACATTTGTCATCTAAAACGAAATCAAACTCTCACGAATAATGCAGATCGACATCGATACTAAATACAACCTGAACTTTTCTTAGAACTTATATAATTTCATTTCACTCAGGAGAGATATTTTGCCAACGATTACAAATACTGAAAGAACATTAAAGATTTTAAGAAAATACTATACATTTTTTCCAATGAAACTTTATACTAAAAAAATTAACTTTCGTGTGCTGTGAATGGATTAAGTGGGGGCTTGTTCGAAAACTAATTAAAAATAATAATAATAATAAAACAACGAAAATTATTTCCCTTTTCTTTAACAGAAACAGTCTAAGCCATAATTATACAATATGAACAGAACACACAGCTAATAACAACGCAGACGACAGTAGTTTCAGCAACTAGAAGGCAAAATTCCAACAGCGACTAGCAATGCTGTTCACTTCGACAAATCTAAGCTCGAAATATCACCATTAAACTTCTGGTCGCTCAACCGATAAACCACAACTGCAGAAAAACAATTTTCCTGCCAGAGAACAATTAAATTGAGACGGCATCAGATAAATTCAGAGAAAAGAACGAAGAGCACTAACTGACGACGAGTTTGGCGAACGCAGTTTCGCAAAATGAATTATATTGTATGTTGCGACAACTACTATAATGCGTACAATGGAGAACTGGTTTTGCAGCACGATAGTCACGATTAGTTACAACTTTTTGCTGAACTGTGGACATAGAAACATCAATTACTAATTATAACACTAGTAGCATAGTGTAGATACCTCATATCGCGGAAACATTGTATGGATCACTTCGACAAGGACGAACTGCTGCAAAAAAAAACGCTACAATACTAAAATAAACACGGAGAAAGTAGCGGCGGGTCTAGAATACAATCACAAAGGGGATTTTCACGCATTCAAAAACACAAATAATGTGTTAGGAAATTGTGTAAATGTTCTAAAACAGCAATGTGAGGTCGTATTTCTTGAATCTCGTAGATGTGGGTTCCTTGACTTATGGCAGGGCCATTGCAAAAACATAATTCTTCTGCATTTTGGTCAAATATTGAATTTAGTTGTAAGCAAATTGTACCCAACATTGAATCTACGTTTCCATCTGCAGTTCGTGAGGTCCGTTCAAAACTTGAAAGATAAGCCGCTGCATCTACGATGTCGTAAGTATTTTAGAGTATCCGTTCCAGCAGAAGCAGAGGCAACAGAGGGAGTGGGAAGGAGGGGGCTGGAGGCCTGGAAGAGGAGGCGGATGCAGGGGGCAACGACTGCGTTCATTGCCACTCGCCGTGACCCTGAAACGCGAGTCGCAAGAGTATCGCGCCACTCTAAAGCTCTGCGCTGGTAACTTGGTTGCCATTAACATGGTAACGCGATGCAGATTACGTCACGGTGTTTAAAGCTCTGCGCCGGTAACTTGGTTACCGTTGAAAAAGTAACGCGGTGCATATTACATCACGATGTTCAAAGCTCTGCGCTGGTAACTTGGTTACCACTAAGAGGGTAACGCGGAGCAGATTACGTTACGATGTTAAAAGCTCTGCGTGCACCGCGCGAGTAACTTTACTGCAAGTGTGCGCGGTGGTCGTTAGTCTCAAATTTTGATGGTATTCAAGAAAGAACTAATCAAGACAATTAATACGTCCAAGTAAAGTCGAATTTTATGATCACAGTGAATATCATGCTCGTAATTCATCAGCCATTGAGGGGAGTACGGAAATTTATAGGTAACTATACAAGAATAAAAGATAAAACCTGATCATAAGTTTTTGATATTATGAACGCGTTAGGCTTCTCAAAAGTGAATTTTCATAAGCTACAAGCTCTGGCTGTGATCGATCTTGCTTTACTAGCACAATCCATGTTGAAATCGGCGACAAGAACTAATCTTTTTCACTTTTTGAGAAGTTGCATCTTAGAAGTGCGTAGTTGACGTATTAAAGGACTAAATCCTCAGTACTTAACCTAATACACATAATTGCGTCTTCGTTAATTTTAAAGGTCAAGTCCGGTAATATCACAAGACGCAACAGTGTTCGTCCGTCGATCAACAAGCATCAAGGCTTCGTATAGGCTTCAGAACTTCACGAAGCCAGTCAAAAAAGACCTTCATAAACTGAAGTAAACTTAATTACCGAGCGCTCAATCATTAAATAGCATTGAAATGCAGTTGTCAGACCGCACACTAGAGCAGCGTCACACCCGGAAGCCGTTCGTCGCACGGACCAATAAACGCGACGACGCTCGGGAAGAATCGTTTTAGGGACATTTGAATGTGTAGATAAGTCAGCTCGGTTAAACTTCATCTTGGGATGCAGCTGGTGGGATGTAGCTGGTGGGATGCATCTGGTGAGATGCTGGTGGGATGCATCTGGTGGGAGGCAGCTGGTGGGAGGCAGCTGGTGGGATGCAGCGGGTGGGATGCAGCTGGTGGGAGGCAGCTGGTGGGATGCAGCTGGTGGGAGGCAGCTGGTGGGATGCAGCTGGTGGGATGCAGCTGGTGGGAGGCAGCTGGTGGGAGGCAGCTGGTGGGATGCAGCGGGTAGGATGCAGCTGGTGGGAAGCAGCTGGTAATATACAGTTCGTGGTATGCAATTGATATTAAGAAGATTGTGATATACAAAAGGCCATGCAGTTCTCATGCAGGCTGAAGTGCAGCTGGTAGGCGGGATGACGACTCACAGATGGAGGAGGCTAAGTGATACGACACATGGTTTATGGAGCGCCAGGTGGCGGTTAGGAGGCTAGACTCTAAATGGCAACAAGGAAGGCAGGTGCTGAGCGACGGCTACAACCGCGTGTTGTCCCCGCACACAGCACGTAGCGTGATGTTTTCATGCATCACGTACCGTGTTGTACTAACACTGCACGTAGCGTGTCGTACTAACACAGCACGTAGTGGGTTATCCTAACACATATTACTCCGCGTCTTGCACACACACACACACACACAACGCACTTCCTTTTACGATAGTAGCTGCAGAAGCAATGCAGTTGCAGATAAGAAGCAGCAGCGAGTGAGTCAGAGAAGAGTACACAGTACAGCATCGAAAAGTAAAGCGGAGCACAGCACAACACAGGATTAGAGTAGAGCAGAGTACAGTACACAAGTAAAAAAGTCACTAGATTGCTTTAATCGCAGATTCACTAGAAATTTAAAAGCGAAGAAAACACCACAAAAATTTAGCATATCTCTTTTGAAAACGTTTCGGAGACCAGCTCCATCGTCAGTTCGATAAATCTTATTAACTCCAAACTAATTTTCTGCATTTATCTGTGTTCTAGATTTATCGAACTGACGATGGAGCTGGTCTCCGAAACGTTTTCAAAAGAGATATGCTAAATTTTTGTGGTGTTTTCTTCGCTTTTAAATTTCTAGAGTACAGTACGACACAGGAGAGTTGAAAATAGCAGAGTACAGTACCTAGATCAGAGAAGATTAACTTTAATTGCAACAAAGACGGAAGTGGTTCACAATACATTAGGCATGGCTTGATCCGGCCAATAAAGATGGGAAGATGAGGAAGAGAAAGGATGTAGAAAATGTGGTAGATGACTTGAGGACACAGCGCAGCAGCTCACTGCAGTAGGTAATATGAGGAGTTTGGGGAGGAGGCCTGGAATATAAGGAATGTGAGGGGTCCTGTGAGGCTGCGAGGGTACGAGGAAGATGAGGGGGAAATTGTGGCATAAGAATTGAAGCGACTCAGAAAGATATAATGGATGACGAGAATGGGAGAGGTAAGAGGAGAGGAGGGAGGATGGGAGAGGGTAGAAAATGATGGGTGAAGGAGGATGGTAGAGGGAGGAAGAGAATGGATGAGGGAGGAAAAGGATGGATGAGGGAGTAAGAGGATGGAGGAGGGAGGGGGAGGATGGGAGAGGGAAGAAGGGAGGAGGAAGCTAGCGCTGGAGAGACCAGACGGCAGTGACCCAGTGACCTTGAGACGGACGAAGCCATCACCTCAATAACATCGTCCAGACCAGCCTAGTGCTGCTGCTGCTGCAGCCGACCGTGCTTAGCAATAACCCTTCAGTGACAGCATAACATCTTCAACAATCACCTAGCAATAACCCTTCAGTGACAACATAACATCTTCAACTATCACCTAGCAATTGTACTCATCAACTACTCTTACTAGGAACAAGTCAAACTAACGCTGCATGCACTCCGAACACCGGAATTATCGCAATATATTTTCACTCAAATTATAGATTTTTGGACGGTGAGGTTGCTAATTCTATGGCACGTTAATACAGATATTGAAATAGAAAAAAAAACGATATCACGGCATTCACGCACAGGGTTTGTTATCGTACTTGAGAGTTAAGAATATAATGTTAAATGGATATATTGCCGCATTAAACAATCATTGCCTATTCAACTGTGACGGAACTATACTTTTATGAGCTGATTAGCAAAGAACAAGTTTGTGAATCGGAAACTTGATTGGCGGTGAAGATTTAGTACAGAAGTGAATGAATAATTCTTTCAGATAAGTACGTTTGGCAAGATTTTGTAAAGAAGTGAATAGATAATTCTTTCCGTTAAGTACGTTTGGCAAGATGTACAGAAATAAATGAATAATTATTTCAGATATATACGCTTGGCAAGATTTTGTACAGAAGTGAATGAATAATTCTTTCAGATATGTACGTTTGGTAAGCAGATTGCGCAGCCCATATTTCAAAATAAGCTGTACACTATAAGCTACAAGACAATTTCACATTTTATATGGCTGGACAAACAAACCCTCTGTTTGTTTGCACTTTTCTTCAATAGCTGCAATCAGTTCAAATTAACATTGGGACAGGCTCTGTGATTTCAATAATTTATACATGGAGGAGATTTATGGATTTCTTTTTATGAGGTAAAATGTGAAGTTCAGCTGGCAATTTCTGGCATTAAACATTTCTTCCAAGATATGGATATTTGAAACAAGTTGTGTCAGCTGCCTGCTAATAATGATGCGCATTTATTCTTGATGGAAGAGGTTTCTATTTTTTCAACAGAGTGAATTTCAAATCTCACCAGCAACAGGGCCTAGTGTTGTTATAGCAAGGTCACAAATTTTGAAACAAATTTTCATGAAGTTATCTACAAACTCACTCAAAATATCTCACATGCCTTCAAATAATTTAAATGATGCAATTATTAAAGTGATTGCTTGACCAATTCACTTCATTACCTTGTCCTTGAATTTAAACTATAAAATTATTGAAAATTACATTAATTGGTGATGAGCCAAACTTGGCCTATTCTTCCTGACAGCAATATACTATTACTATTATACTATTATTATTATATCATTATTATCACCAATATACTATTATTCTTCCAGACACCAATATATTACCATGTGATATACTACACAACATATACAAAATAACACTGAATTTAAAATTACTGGTCAAGATGTAAAATTTATGTTGGACAGAATTATGAATATTGACCAGTAAACATAGTCAAACTCTAGAAATACATGGGTCTGGCCAAGGGCCATTTTTTAGTACCCCTGACCAGACTCAAATGGAAACAGATCTTGTAACTTTAAGTGCAATCAATTCATTGACAAATGACTACCTTCTTGATCCTGCTTCAACCTAGAACCCTGGATCTTTGGAGATTAGATCACTTTGTTTTTTTATACATTTTTTGAATCAATATTTAAGATGAAATACTTGCTGTCCGAGTGTCAAGTAGCACTTTCCCAATTTCTTCCCTGAAAATAAGAAAAATGGCTATTTTTCTTGGAAATCATAGTGGCAAACCAGAGTTTTTTAGACTCTCCCTCAAGTTGATTTCTGAGTCCTATAAGTATAAGTAGACCAGTAAAGTATCATAGATACTACCAGCATATACATAAGAAATTGGTTGAAATCTCGAGTAAATGAGGAAATTAAAAAGGAACCGATTCTAAAAAATGTGTGGTTTGTCACTATGCTGAAAATTTTGGTAAATCACCCATAAACAGAGTTATTGCAAACTTGTCATTTTTGGAAAATTCAGTCCAATAGCCCAGAAGGCCCCAGATTAGGATGGAATCTTGATACAACTCACCTGTAGGCTGTAGCTGATGATTGAGCTCCACTTTTATTGCTGGTGCATAATGCTTGAAAGTTGAAACTGACACTGTAACTGTATGTAGACCTAGTAAGTTAGATATGATTTGAAATTGAATACTGAAATTGCAATTTAATTCAAGGCAAATTCACATTACTCTCTATATTTCAGGTACTAATGGAATGAAGCACAAGCCGCAAGATCATATTTAATTATTTAATAAAAGTTTTGCCTGGATATTCTCAGTACATTTACATCTCACTGCAATAAATTTGTTGAATTATTCACCAATTCAGTTCAAGCAAGAGCAACTGTCAAGCCTGCCCTGAACTTCAATGATAAAATTCATGAATTTTGTTATGCTGTCAAATTTTTAGTTTTTTTACAGTAAAAATAAATAAATCGAGGCTCAGTGTAAAAAATCATTGGCACTTAGTCACAAACACAAAAAAATAATTTAATGTAGGTAGTCTCAGTCTCCCCAGCCTGCTCCCATCTCACAAAATGAAAATCTGATTTTTGGAAAATTATGGCCCATAACCAATTGTTAGGGTAATAAACTAAAAGGAAATTAAATGCAAGAAATTTGTAATACCTACTATTAGGCTGACTAAGAATTAGATTTGTTGCAAAAATCTGGATTCTGGCTTCAATCTTCAAATGACATCTAGGTATTTTTACAACACTTCTCTTCAACTTCACTTCATGTTTGTCTGTCTGTCTGCTACAAATCTAATAATAAAAATTTAACACACTTCTACTTATCCTATTGATATGAAATTTTGCAAACTTGCGTAAAGTTGGAGACAATGCAAGAATCAAATGACAAAATAAATGATTTTGAAAATTAATTTTTTTCTATATTAAAAAAATAGAAAAAATAATTTTGTCAGCTACAAATCTTAATTATAGCTAACTGATATTTGACACACTTTATCCTGTCCAATTGATCTGAAATTTTGCACACTTGTGGGAAGTCGGAAGCAATGCATGAATCAATTGACAGAATAGCCTAAATAATTTTGAAAAAGTTATATGTTAAGAAAAATTAATTTTTTTAATATTAAAAAATAAAATGAGAATTTCATCTTACATCTTTAACATTGGAGGCACTGGATTCTCTACAAGTGTTGTCTTAGTAGCTAAGTAATTTTTAAACGTATATTATTCAATTTGAATCAAATTCATTCCTTTCCAATGCGGAGCTCGTCACACTCACAGACGTCTCACTGTTTCAGGGCTCAGGCTGAGCCGCGAGCCGCCGAGCTCGAACTTGAAGTATACCTTAGTTAGCAAAGTGCAAACTATCCTTTACGCAGTTTACGATAGTTACCTATTCATGTGAACTAAATTTTGGATGAATATGGATTCATAAAAAGTCATAAATAGAATTCGAGGCCGCAAATTACACGTAGGATATTCTAACAAATTTCTTATGATACAAGTAGAATGCGGAGCGCATAAAAAGAAAAGAACGCCATTATTATAGATTGTGAACTGAAATTTGCATTGAAATAACCACACGTTGGAGCACGTCAAAGCTCCGCCCATTCATCATAAAACAACACATGGTTAACGATTGACACACGTAGTATTCACTTATAACCTCATTATTAAGCAGCACCTGCACGACACACACATTCGCGACGACGTGAGTCTCAACAATGTAGAAATGCCGGTATCAGACCAATCCCGGCCAGTTCCGCAGCACGTCTCGCGCCTTTTTCGACCAGTCTCTTCTACTTAGTTAAAGAATAAAACGATAATGATCTAACTAAAATTAAATCAATAAGCCTAATCTAATTTTATTTTGAACTATTACATCGAAATATACTTTACTTAACGGTAGGCAGGGAGATAAATTAAGAAACTATAAGACTGCACGTCCTCACTGGGTATGGCAGACGTTATGACAAAGCAGAAGGGACTTTTGAAATGGGCTCTCTCATTGGTCCACAACGGTCACGTGACTACTTTCCGCCTGTGCCAAATCTCTAAATCGTTGCCATAGCAACTGTTGGGATTGGTTTATAACGTGACAAGTTCGAAATTATTTAGGCAAGTGTGTAGAACCAGCAGATGCTCGATAGGCAAGAGAGAACGACAGCCACTTCATAGGATTGTTTTTAAACCAGATGCATAAATTTTGTGCAAACTCACTATGAATCACTTCATTTTTTGTCGGTTCCTTTAGAAAAAATATACCGAAAATGTTTTTCGTGCTCTGGTGACAATCAAATTTTAAAGTGAAAAGTGCCCCAAATTTACCTGTATTGAATGAGAATTCTCAATGTTTTACTTATAGCAAGCAGTATTGTATATAGTACACCTTTATTAAAATAAATATCTTGAATGAAGAAAATAAAACTGTCAATTCAAAAATAGATTGATCCGCGATCGTTGAAATTATTTCACATCTTTTCAACTTAATCCTAATGTATGCTCACATGATCATATCTTTCATAATCAAATTATGAGGTAGCTCTGGACTGCAAACGGCCATGAGATAAGCAATTCATGTGTAAATTTTCAGATATTTTCCACCTAGTTTTGGAGTCCTGCAGGAGCGGAAAAAACCTAGAAATTAGGAATCAATTATTAAAATATATGAAGAAAAGTCTATCAATATGCATGTACTCTGAACACATTTCTCGAATGGAAACTGGATTCGCTTGCACATGGGCCGTTCACGTTTCACAAATCCAATAACGTTTTAAATAAGCCATGCTGATTTATACGAATAGTCATATACATACTCACAATTCATAATTTGAATAATTATGATTGTAGAAACATTCCATAAAAATTCCAAAATTTTAATTTAGTGGTTTAAACAATATAGGAGTACGATCTGATTACGCTAAAGCAGTTATGCTTTTGCATTTCATTAATGAGGGTTCAATAATATCATTTCACATTTCCTACTAACCTTCAGCTGTAGAGCAGGTATAAGAACAATAACCCACACCCGCGAATTGAGTTGAACTTGTATGTGAATGAGATTGTGCCAACTTCCTCCACAACATTGGCCATGTGACTTTGTTGTCAAACATGAGAAGGAGGCCTGCAGAAGTAAACTTGAACATTTGGCACATCTGCACTTTGACAGCTTTTCATTGGTCAAATAAAGAGCAGACTTATTTAAATGTTTTTGCTTCCTACCGGTATTATATGCAATTAAAGTATTACCAAAATCACAACATTGATTTGTGTTTAATTTGTATAATTCTTTTATGTCAGGATCCATATTAGTTTGACACACCGCACCAGTCTACAGACGAAGAAAATATATGGAGCAAATGGCAACTCCCTTCCTTCTTCCTATTTTGATGTAGATATATGAAATCAATGCAAATTATGTTTCCCTGAAAGAAGTTATAAATAATAAGGAGTAATGGTCTACAAAATTGAAAACATGAACACACGTAAGTTTTGGTTCTAAAATAAAGACACATCAGCCATATTTCGACGACATTGCAGGATGGAGTGCAGTCCATTTCGGTGTGAGTAGGGGAAGACCCGTGAGTAAGCACGTAGTAAGGCGGTACGAGGGAAGAGAAACCCGGTTTTCATGGAAATCGATCTTCTTCAATATTGGTTGCTATGTAAATATGCCAACAATATTTTTCGAGTATTGTAAAGCGATAACTAGCACGTAAATTATCTACTTCATATTTTCATCTTTGATTTTAGCTTGTACATTACTCTACGAACGTGATAGTAACTGTCTGGTGCCGCTGGCCGTTACAATCGATAGTACAAACTTGCCTGGCAACACCAAATCGATAATGGACCATTCAGTGCCGCATGCATCCATGGCTTAGATCTCTTCTTTGTTCTATTATTGATTTTATTATCGAGACTGTAAACAGGCGCGCTTCAATTGGAGGTTATTTGTCGAAAAATTCATTTCGTACCGCCGCTTCTTTCTTTTGGAATAGAATATTAGATGTTAAATCCTTATGTGAATGAAGATCTAAAACTATAAAATACTGTAATTATTATCACCTGGGGTGATGCTTCTGATGCGTAAATCCCGTATGAATATTATCCGTCATAATTTCTCCCATAAATATATATGAGAACTTATTTATGTCGTGGGTTTACTCACCGCCTGGGTCTGAGGTTTTGATCTACAACTGGTCATTATAGATTATTTAAAATACAATATTATTTAAAAATGTTGTGAAAGATTGTTAGTATTATATGCTAAGTCCATCTGCTAAGTCCAACCCGGTCAACACGTTCTCGGCGAGAACGAGACACACATTATATGTGTCAATGTTACCTTATCTAAATAAATTGCCAGAAAGCAAAACACTCTATTGAGTTACTTGTTATTATTAACAATTATTTAACTATAAAAAGTAACGAATTGAGTGACTGGCTTCAATCATTGATAAATGAAGCAGAAGATTTGCAGTACCTTCTATTTCGTTCAATTGTATTACTTGATTGATAAGGTACGTTTCACATTTATCAATTAAAATTTTGAATATCATGAAATTTTGTCACACGCATTCCGCTATTGTATCATTTCTTATTGCAATATCATCTCGGCCATTGCAGCGAAATTAGTCAAAGTTTGTCCGAAAAGGTCTATTCGACTATTTTACTTTTATTCGATTAACGAAATAAACGCGATTACAAATATCAATAACTTATATTGCCTTTTGTGCTTCCAAATTCCATTAAAAAATATTGATAGCAAATCGTTTGACAGTGGGCAAAATTTATATAGCTTTCAATTTTTAGAATAGAACATACGTTGTTCGCAGCGATTAGGTTTATACAATCTCCAAAAAATTATTAGTGGTTTAGTTCAATTCTTAACCGTATGTATTAGTTCAATTATTAACCACACTTAGTTATCATAGAATGTCGCGATGCCGAAAAGCAGTTTTATCTATAAATCTCATCAGATTTCTGTAAATAAATCCATATCGATGGATGAAGATCGTCCCTATTCAGACAATAACTAAAATTATCGGAGGTAAGGCTAAGTCTTAGAATATTTTTAACGTTTATTTGAAACATGCAATGTAGAGCAAAACGTTAAAAACTTGCTAATGTACATTTTAATGCAGATAAAATAAAGAATTAAATAATATATAAATTTGGTAGTAAAATGACAGTAAGTCTGCCAGGTGCAAGTCATAAAGTAAACAGTGATTGGCTGCTGGAATTACAGATGGCGCCCGATTTACTCATACCGTGACAATTATAAATGGGAAACACTACTTGGCAACCGCCCGTGAACGTTCAGAGAAGTTTTCTATGAATACGACTGCAGAACCTTACGA